TGTCTCACCTACAGTTACCTCATGTCTCACCTACAGTTACCTGACGTTTCACCTTTAGTTACCTGATGTCTCACCCACAGTTACCTGAAGTCTCACCTACAGTTACCTGATGTTTCACCTACAGTTACCTGATGTTTCACCTTTAGTTACCTGATGTCTCACCTACAGTTACCTGATGTCTCACCTACAGTTACCTGATGTCTCACCTTTAGTTACCTCATGTCTCACCTACAGTTACCTGATGTCTCACCTACAGTTACCTCATGTCTCACCTACAGTTACCTGATGTCTCACCTACAGTTACCTGATGTCTCACCTACAGTTACCTCATGTCTCACCTACAGTTACTTGGTGTCTCACCTACAGTTACCTGATGTCTCATATACAGTTACCTGATGTCTCACCAACAGTTACCTCATGGCTCACCTACAGTTACCTCATGTCTCATCTACAGTTACCTGATGTTTCTCCTGAAGTTACCTGATGTTTCACCTTTAGTTACCTGATGTCTCACCCACAGTTACCTGATGTCTCACCTACAGTTACCTCATGTCTCACCTTTAGTTACCTGATGTCTCACCTACAGTTACCTGATGTCTCACCTTTAGTTACCTGAAGTCTCCCCTACAGTTACCTGATGTCTCATCTACAGTTACCTCATGTCTCACCTACAGTTACCTGATGTCTCACCTACAGTTACCTGATGTCTCACATACAGTTACCTCATGTCTCACCTACAGTTACCTGAAGTCTCACCTACAGTTACCTGATGTCTCACCTACAGTTACCTGATGTCTCACCTTTAGTTACCTGATGTCTCACCTACAGTTACCTCATGTCTCACCTACAGTTACCTGAAGTCTCACCTACAGTTACCTGATGTCTCACCTACAGTTACCCGATGTCTCACCTTTATTTACCATATGTCTCACCTACAGTTACCTGATGTCTCACCTACAGTTACCTCATGTCTCACCTACAGTTACCTGATGTCTCACCTACAGTTACCTGATGTCTCACCTACAGTTACCTGATGTCTCACCTACAGTTACCTGATGTCTCACTTACAGTTACCTCATATCTCACCTACAGTTACCTCATGTCTCATCTAGAGTTACCTGATTTTTTCACCTTCACTTGATTTACCAGTTGTCCAAAATACAAGTCATGTTCTCTTGATTTCTCCAGTTATTTCTACATTATTTGAAACTGCAATAAAATTGGCAATAAGTAAAATGAACAATAAACATTAATATATTGTATAGATTAATTGCAACATTTCCGTTAGAAGAAAACACTTATTATAATTAACTATAAATCTTGTTTTATTTTTATAACAAAATAATACAAATGCTTAATTAGATTACCGGTATAAAAGTAGTAATAAAACCAACATCATTAATGATTAATTCGGTTCGGTAGTCGGGAAAAAGTGGCAATGAAATCTCATGAGGCATAATCACGAATTATTCTTTCTTGGTTCGTGACGTGAAAATACATATGGCGACCTTCGGGTCGAACACTGTATTTGAATGACGTTAAATCCTGTCGTGTGTTTCTTGTGGGGGTCGCTTTACACTAGACCAGTGGTTCCCAACCTTTTTCGAGTGGCGACCCCCTTTTATAAAAATTAAGTGACCCGCGACCCCCATAGAATTAAAAAGCCGAAATTAGTATGGAAAGTAATAAGCACTAAAATAAGATTTTCTAGTTGACTTTCAATATGAACTACTCTTGGTAACTGTTTTAATAGCATGAGTAAAATTGCATACTATTCACTAAATCTTCGTGGTTAAGTTTTTAATTTTTAAATTTTTTTGTTAACGCCAACCTATGTCATTATAATTATCTTAATTTTGTTTTTAATCGAAGAATAGTGTTGAAAATATATTCTCGAAAAGTCAATCAATTTTACGTTTGGGTATGAATGGTGAATACTACGCCAAAATTGTGTGTGCAGTTTTTCATCTTACTCGGAATCATTCTGCAAATCAAATAATTCATCTTGCAATTCATCGGGAATGCTGGCAACATCAAGGGAAGAAGAGAATGGGTAATGCGTAAATGCTTATTCTTCTTTTTTTCAGCTCAGAGAAATAGCGATGCAGTTCGTTTTCAAGAGATTCAAGATGCCCAGAAATCGCTTCTTTCAAATTTTTAATTATCTCACAATCAGATTCATCTACCACACCGCAGAGTTTCTCAAATTTACAATATTTCCAAGATTTATTTTCTTTACCGATTTTGCAGCTTTGATAAAAATGCCCCAAGATTATCATGAAAAGTTATAATATTCGTTCATTTTCCCTGAATCTTCAGTTTAAGCTTATCTTGATGTTCGAACACATCTGCTAGGTATGATACTCTCTCCAACCACTCTATGTCGTTTTAAGTATACCGAAAAGTCTTGATTCCTTTGCACTTCCAAGAACAATTTGATTTCAGATTTCAATTCAAAAACACAACAACAATTCGTTTGACAGCCAGCGTACTGTAGTGTAGAAGAGCAGAACCTCGTGATCTATATCTAATGTTTTTGCTCAGTTCTTTGAAGGCTCCAGATTTTATATAATTTACGACTTATACTAGCAATGGACTCTTGATGTCGATTGGTTAGGGCAGTGTTTAGGGAGCTAAATCTTTTCTGTTTTCTGAAAGCCCGATTTTGAGCTAAACATAGATGGCGCACCATCCGTACAAACCCCCACAGCCGTTCTAACCCATTTTAATCATCCCGTTTAAAAAAAAAACGTATTTATTTTCTCCATGCTATCTCCACAAAATAGCAACTCTTCTTTGTTATCATCTGCATGAATATAGACACAGACCAGCAACTGCCAACACGAACTCACGTCTGTTGATTTATCAACTTGAAAAGCAAACAATGGTGAAAGCTTAATTTCAAATAAAAATGTATTATTTAACATTTACGTACATGCAGCGTTTGATGAGATTTTCTCCTATTGTTTTTTTTTTTTTTGCTTGGCATTTTCTATCGCGACTTCATTTGATGCTTGCACTAATGCTGGTGAAAACTTACTGTTCGATCAAGTCTCTGGCGTTTGCAATTAGCTTCTTACCGACGAAAGAACTCCATATATTTTTTGTGTGTTCCGAATGACTCGTCTCAAATGATGTTTTAGTTTTGAAGATTTCATAGATGCTTGACTGAGAACAACTTTGTACAGTGCGCTTTGTTTCTTCTCTATTATGTTTCCAGTGATGTTAATGAAGCCGAATTTCAAAAATTCTTTAAAATATTTATGTTTTGTTTCAAATTACTAAGGTTTAGTATACCAGTTGGCGACCCCTCAGAAAGACCTTCGCGACCCCCATGGGGGTCGCGACCCCCAGGTTGGGAACCCGTGCACTAGACCGACCCCCCACATACTGTCCACTGAGTAATTAGTCGAGGGTCATGCTGCACTCAAACCAGGTCACTAAACCACTGTAGTTAGACCAAGAACCGTAATCTAATGTGTATGGGGATTAACTGAGATTGAGAGTTAATTCCCTTCTTATTTGCCGCGACTCTCTACTTAGACCAACCGGAACTGTTTGTTTCTGTACGTTAGACTACCAGTGCTTAACGCGTCTATTCCGTTGGTTTTTTTTTTTTTTACTTTAAAGAATTTAAAACCATTCAAAGCGATTCAAAAAAATAAAGTAGGCTACTAGATCTGGTTTATTAATATTTATTATATTAATTCTACTCACCAAACCCTTTTAACTTTTTTTATTCCTCGTTTTAGTAATCTCCCCAGTTTGTACTTTGGTTACCTCCCTTTAATTGTTTGTTAACTTTTCCAATATGAATGATTCTTAATTAGTCACATCAATAGTACAGCAATTAGGTACAGTAACCCATCATAACTAACGGCCCAAAATACTCACATTATTTTACATTACATCTCCAGGGGTCACTGACCCACCTCCATCCCCTAAAAAAAATTAATTAAAATATGTTTTAAAAATATGGAAATCACATCATTTAAGAAAAATAATACCGAACACATTTTTATAGCCTTAGTACAATAAAACGGAACACTGAATAAACAGAAACATTCACACACACACACACACACACACACACACACACACACACACACACACACACAAACTATACATTTTAATTTTGTCATATTTTGTGGAGAAATGTTTTATTATGCAACAATGTAGTAGGCCTACCTGTATTCATTCTTTGTAAATGTCTATAAACTTTCGATTTAGTGGTAAAAATTCACTAGCGCACATTTTTGTTTTCAATGGTGCATTTTCCTTTTGTGCATCTTTCTGGTCACCGTTTTGATTTTATACACACACACACACACACACACACACTCGCGCGCACGCATGCACGCACACACGTACGCACGCACGCACACACGTACGCACGAACGAGCACACACACACAGAGTGAGAAAGGGAGAGAGAGAAAGAAAGCAACAGAGACACACAGACATACCAAACAGTGCAGACATGTCACACAAAGACATAGGTAGACAATGGTGACATTAAGTAAAAGTTTATAATTTATTTTAGTAAACCCATCCAAATGACAAGAAACTGCATAAATATGTTTAAAGGGAAATAACAATTTAAATTTTACACTTCAAAACAAGTTTTACATTTTGACTTCCCCTGTCTGAATGCAGATAACTGTAGGCTAATTAGTAGGCCTACTAGTTAGAGAAAAAAATAGTCCTGCGTAATTCACTTAGATCAATATAGTTCCAGGATCCATTAACGATTTATTTTAAATTCCATACAGACTTATGTTCGTGCCTTGCACTTCAGTGTCTAGGCTACTTAATTAATTTAATTTGTTGAAGATCTGTTTCTTATACATTGTCTTTTCACTTTAAATTAATATTGCCTCATAAATGTTCAATAGTTGAAAATAATATTTTAGCATTGACTAATTTTATACGCTCGCAAATGCGTCTCTAATTATGTATTTTTATAACTAATCATTTGTTTTGTAAAATACTTTGCAGTTGTTAGGAAGATGTATTTTTAAAAACTGCATCCGGGTTCTTTGAAGCTTCTCCGGAATCATTTTGATTACTGACACGATGTTTCAAAGTGGAACGAAAAGAGGATTAGGCCTCAGTGATGGTACAGTAGAATAACAGTGTTTATGTTTTTGTTGCCTATACCTGTGTATTTTTATTTGGGATCATTAAGTGGCCGAAGTATAGATTTAAGACGGTAGCTTAAGACCTCCCAGGGGCTAGCGGCTAGTCGTCGTATGTTTGTGGTCAGGTTTTCAAGATGGCGGATGATTCATATTCGTGTCGTTGATTGTAAACCAGGAGTAAACCTGGAACTGAACCGAACTTCTCTCTTGAATAAACACATTTAACAGAGTCTAGATCTAGATCTAGGACTGCAATAAATCTCCATTTAAGTAGGATTGTCGTAAATAATAGTAAATATCTAGAGTCTAAACATATCTAGAGTGAAGTTCCACAACCGATCACACAGGGAACCCCCCCCCCCCCCCCCCCCGACTTTCATCAGGCGCTAGAGTCTAGATCTAGTCTATATTTTGTAACCGCTTAGCCGCTTAACACAGAACAAACCCAAAGTACTAGATCTATATTATTCCTCTGCCATTCTACTCTTAATATGTATCAATCATTTTATATTCCTATGCATAGAATTTGAGATATTCATGTTTTAATGACGTGCTACTTTCGATATTTTTTTCCCCTCTTTTTTTTTTCCTGCGGCCGCCTGAACCAGTTAGCGTAACGATCGTATTTTATACGTTTTAATCCAATTTTAATAACGAAGATAAATATTTTACACTTTTAATAAATTGCAAAACCAAATAGCCTAAAAAAAATGTTAGGGTTGTTTTTTTCCACAACCCTAATCAGTCTTAAAGTCTTAACTTAGACCTACTGATGTCAACTTTTAAAAAAAAAAAAAAAAAAAGCAAAATTAGAACTCTGAGCCAAAGGCAGAAAAAGTAATACCACTCACATCACAAAAACATGTTGCCTGATGCACAACCTTTTTAACCTCCAGATCAATTGAATCTACATTGAAAAGTTGAATGTAAAATGCAAGATGATAAAAAGAAATGTGCACACATGCACAGGATAAGGCCTATAAAGTTTTAAAAAATTCGAGTGTTCAGCGGAAAAAATAGCAAACTACGGAGTTTGAATAGTGAACTACAAATAAATTCTTTTGGAAAAGACATGCTTATTTAAAACTATCTCAATAACAAGATGGGAGATTCTAGCCGGAAGAAGATGTGTATAGCGCTACAATGACCTGGTTTTTCTTGTCATCTGAATGTTTGTTGTTTAGGCCTATGTGTTGTCTTGATGGGACAGTGATTATCGCAATAAATATTTAAAGAGTAGATTAAAATAGGCTATTAAATTAGCTTTAAAAAAAATTATAGGCCCCTACTCCTAGATAATAAGATATACTATAGGCCTAACAACTATACTAATACTATGAACCCTCATCCCCTGATAACCCGCCTTCAGCAAAACTGCTCTAACACACAGTACAGATAGTTTTTTCAGAAGAATAAGGCTAAAAGGATCATTTGAGCCCATTGCACATCTATTAATAGTATTTAATTTGAGTTTATTGCACATCTATTAAGCCAAGGTCATTGCGTTTTGCATCTTCTGCTGGCCAGACTAGCTCTAGGGGAAGAAGCCTCTCCTGAGTAGTCCCTTCTAAACAAGAATTCTGCCCCTCTACCCTTTCTGTCAATGTAAGAGCATCACTTTCCCACTCACTTCTTGCTTTACAATAGGAAAAGCAGTTTAGGGTTAGATCTATATATGTTAGTTTTACCAGTGTCTTATGTGACAAATCTTCTCAAAAGTTGTGTTAGATTTGATTACTGTGTAACACATTGCGTTAGTTATTCTCTAAATTTAAGTGGCTATTCACCATTTGGACCTAGGTCTGTTCTATTTAGAATTATCACAGTTTTGATTTAGGTTGTTTAGGGACTTCACTCCGATCAATGAAAAATCTGCTTGTCTTGTCAAATATCATTATAGTTTGACATTAAGACTATTAAAAGCTAAATGAACTATCTGCCTCTCATTGCTAGAAAAATTAGCACAGTTTTATTGTAGGCTAATTAATTAAATAAAATTTTAATTATTAAATATTAGTGTCACCTGAAGAGCATTTCAGTTAAATATTCAAACCATATAGTTTTTACTGTTAAAAGTAAAATTGTATAACTATTTCTTCAATATTATTAGGCCCAGATGCTTGGAATAGTGGTGAGGAGCAGAGTAATAGTGGAGATGCAAGTGATCGCAAAAAGAAGAGGAGAAGTCGTTGGAACACTGATGAAGACAAGATTATTATACCTGGCATGCCTACTGTTATCCCGGCTAACCTCTCTGAATTACAACAGCGACAATATGTTGGTATGTTGTCATGTTCTCAAATTGTTTTGCATTTTCTCATCTACTTTTTAATTCATTTTCATGCCTCATTTATTTTAATCTTATTTGATGTCTTACTTAGTTATAGTTAGACTATGTATAGTTTGATTCTATTATGTGAATAATTCTGACTTACTTAATCTGAATTCAATAATTATTTTTACTTACAGCAGAATCAAAATAATCTTTTATAATTTTGCAAAATGACATCGACAATGATGAAATTAATTATTTTTATATGGGTAGAAGTTGATTGTGGAGTAAAGCTAACATGATTTAATATTATTTTCTCATTGTTGATGATATGCTGCATTTCAATTTTTATGCTTATAATTTATATTGTATATTTATTATGACTAGTCTTTTAATCATTTATAAAAATATTAAACTGTCTTTTGTTTACTCATGTTATCACCAACATTTTAATGAAAGTTGCGCAGAGATGTTCTTGTAATGATTGCTATGCTATGGTATAATGTTGGCTTTTGTTAACCACTTTTATTGCAGTTCATCTTCAAATTGAGGAAATTACCCGTAAGCTGAGAACAGGAGATCTTGGAATTCCTGCTAATCCTGAGCAAAGGTTTGCTTGGTTTACACACACAAAAAAATATAGCACTGTTGGTTTTGTGACAAAAAATTCATGTCCGGCAAACTCACTCCAAAAATGAATTAACCCTAATCGCTGCTCAATTTATAGCACAGTCCTGATTAACTACCCTGTCAGCATCAGCTTGGATAACAATTGGTGAAGTCTCTTTATCCAGTAATCTTATCCTTTACTGAAGGATATCTGTGTTGCATTGCTTTTTATTTCCTACCAAAGTTATTCTTCAACTTTTTGCTCTAAAATACACTTTTGCACAATTTTGATAGGGTTTTAAAAAGCAAGCACTAAGATATTCTTATTTCAAGTACTCTTAAGGTAATATTGTGTATGTTGTGATTAAATAATTCACAAATGCCAGGAACAGGTCAAGTCAGGTGCATGGACCACCTTAATACAGTAATTACTGGGTTCTATTTCAGCTAGGTACTAATGACAATAGTCAGTAGCGTTGTCAGAAAATATTCATTCTGTGTAGTCATCACTCAGTTTTTCTTTGAAATGTTCTTTTTTAACCAGCCTTAATTACTTTGTTTGATCTGGAGCAATCATTTGGGGGGAGAATAAAAGCTATTTGGATGGTTTGACATAGGTTTTGTAGTGGACTCATGGTGTTTCTGTTTGCTCGGAAAAATCTTGTTTTAATCCCAATCTGTTAGTTATCTAAGTGATCTCTTATGCAGGTGTATTTCTGTAGAAAGTAAACTATTTTTTTTTTAAATGCTGAGATGATCCTTAGACACCTGATCCATAATTTAGGGTTGAGGTAATTTTTTTCACTGCTTTAAATCTAGACCTTTTTCATACCTTACAAGTGCAGCTGCTTTGCGGTTTGGCATTTTATTCCAATCTTCTGTTTTAGTTATTTTGCTGATTGATTTGTACAGGATGTTTTAATAACTTTAATTTTGATAATACAAATTGCAGTAAAAGGTGTTTGCAGGGAGTCACTGAATGCTTATAAGATGTTTAACTAATGAATTAAAATTTAACCAATGATCATGCTAATTGACTTTCTGCTAATTACCTTACAGGTTAGGTCTTATAATATAGCGGAAGGATACTACTGATCAGATTATCAAATGTTCCACAAATTAGTTTAAGAAAACATGCAAATTTAAGAAAAAAAATTTCCAAGTGTTTGAGAAAAGTTAAACAATTGTTAAAATCCTAATTGCACCAAAATTTTATAAGCAGTCAAAAAAATAAATATTAAAAAAACTGATTGTAAAATTAAAAAAAAAACTATTTTAACAAGTTAAAGTTCCTGTTAAATTTCTTTTTAAACTGCTAGTGAATAGAATATATGCTGTTTTAATTTTCATAGATCTCCATCTCCTGAACCCATTTACAACAACGAGGGCAAAAGGTTAAACACACGGGAATACAGGACCAGAAAGAAGCTGGAAGAAGAAAGGCACAAACTTATTCAAGAGGCAATCAAACTCAATCCAGAGTTTAAACCCCCTAGTGATTATAAGTGAGCTATTGTACAATTCTTTACAAATCTGGTCCTTATAAGTTGTACAATTCATATGAATTGATTTTACAAGGCAACATGTCACTAGGGCTTTCTGGAGAAAACCTTTGGCCTGGTTTTATTTTATAGATATACTATGAACCTTTCTACTTGTCTTTATTTTTAGAATCTTAAAAATACATTCTTCCTTTTTTTAAAAGAGTGATAATATACAACTACTAAAAATGTTCAGAATGAATTTAGTAAGCTGTGAATAAAATTTATTTTGTAAAAATCATCCTATCTTCCAACTGTGCAGACCTCCTGTTATACGTGTGAGTGATAAAGTAATGATACCTCAAGAAGAACATCCAGATATTAACTTTGTTGGACTATTGATAGGACCAAGAGGAAACACTTTAAAAACACTGGAAAAGGATGTAAGTTTACACATTTGCCAAAAAAAATATTTCCCTCTGAAATCCAATTTTCTGCTGTAGAATAAAATTAGAGATTTTCTGCCTTTTCTATTTCCCGACATTTAAAAAATGTAATTAAGCTGAGGTTAATTTTTTGCTGTTGATAAAATTGTTTCTTTGTTTCCTAATTAAATTCTGTTCTACGTGCCTAGGTATTTAAGCAATAGATATCTTACATAACTCAAACTACCCCTCACTTGCTTCTCCTTGTTGCTCTTACTGTGGGTCCCTGCCAACCAATAACTTGTTGCAGGCTGTCTCAATTCGAGTTCTATAGTTTAAATACAGGATTTTAACATAGATATTATTTTATTTTTAATCAAATTAATTCATGTTAGATTAGTCAACAAAGTCTGAGAGATTCATGGGAAAGAAGATTAATCAGAAACTAATGTAACTTGCTTAATAGAATCAATGAAAACTGAATTTAACCATAGTATATAATAAATTAACTTTTTTTTTTTCAATTTTTTTATGATTTATAATTTCCACCTGAAAAGTTCAAGGAAAGCATTAAATAGCTTAGGTTCATTAGGAACTTCAAAAGAAAAAGGTGCAAAAAAAATATGATTTTTTAAAAAGAAAAAAATATATTTTAGGTGCTTGCACTTAGTTTTTCATTTCAAGAAAGAATAACAAAATTTTGCATTAAATTAACTTATATGTTACTGACATATTTTTTTTTCAATATTCAGACAGGTGCAAAAATTATCATTAGAGGCAAAGGTTCAGTTAAAGATGGTAAAATTGGGCGTAAAGATGGGCAACCATTGCCAGGTGAAGATGAGCCTTTGCATGCCTATGTAACAGCTAATAATCCTGAAAACGTGAAGAAAGCTGTTGAAAAGGTAGGAGCAGTAAAAATATTGTTTTTAAATTACTTTGTTTAAGGCTGTGCTTACATTAACTATATAATAAATCTATTACCTAGATCAAAGATATAATCAAACAAGGAATTGAAGTTCCTGAAGGCCAAAATGATTTGCGTAGACAGCAGCTAAGAGAACTTGCACTTCTTAATGGAACTTTGCGCGAGAATGATGGGCTTGCGTAAGTTTTCAGAATTTGGGTGTAGCCTGTAATTTGATATTGTATCTTGCTCATTATAAATAATCACTTGAAATTATTTAAAAAATATTCTCTATATTGATAGTTTAAATCATGTTCACTTATTGATAATTTTTGTTTTTAAATAATCATTCTGCTTTAAAATGTAAAAAAATTTTAAGGTCAACTTGTACCTATTGTTTCGCATTTTCCATTACACAATAATCTGTCTTTTTGTATTGATGTTGAGCATGAAAATGTTAACTGCTGAATGTAATCTTGATTAAATTTATTTTCAGCAAATTACGTCAGCTGGCAGAATGTCAAACTATAGTTACAAACACCATTATCTGCACTGTGTGTGGTGGAACTGGTCACATAGCACAGGATTGTAAACAGAAAAGGTCATTTATTTACACAAATCAGTCTCTTGTCTTTTCCATATTCTATGGGTGAAAATAAATCTTTTACTTCTAAAAGTAAATTCATTTCACTTATCTTTGCTATCTAACAGTAAACTTATTCCACTTATCTTTGATATATAACAGTAAACTAATTTCACTTATCTTTGATATATAACAGTAAACTAATTCCACTTATCTTTGATATATAACAGTAAACTAATTTCACTTATCTTTGATATATAACAGTAATCTAATTTCACTTATCTTTGATATATAACAGTAATCTAATTTCACTTATCTTTGATATATAACAGTAATCTAATTTCACTTATCTTTGATCCCTACAGACCTGGTGACACATTCCGCATGCAACAAATGCAGAATCCTGCTGATAGAGCTAAAATGGATAGTGAGGTTAATATTTAATGCTGCTATTTTTTGTAATTAGCTATCATTTTAGTTTACTACTAATTAAGAAATTTAGTTTTGTTGTTAGAAACTAGTCATAGAAAATGTACGTTAATCGTAATGTTGATGTTTTGTTAGTACATGTCTCTGATGGCTGAGCTTGGAGAAGGACCACCACCACCAAAAGTTGAAACAACTAGTTCTAACCAGTCAAACTTTGGGAGGCCGTTGTTGGCCAATCCTCCCCCTAACCCAATGGTATGTTCTTTATTTTATTTGCCCTTAATTTATAATTGTACATCAAAAACATGTTTGTTTCTCAATATGCATCACCTAACTTATTCTTGTCTGGGTCAGTTTTGTTTGGTATCAATAAAAAATATTTTTACCTTTTATCTAATGCTGATACTTTCAATCTGACTTCTTTTTCTATTAAGGCTATGAACTCACCTTGGCAGATGAATCGACCACTCATGGGTCCGGCTAGTCAGGCGCCACCCCTATTAAGCCGACCACCTATGGGCATGCAGAACTCTCCACAAATCAACCCACTTGGTCGCCTGCCTGTGCCACTCATGTCCACACCCATGCAGCCCCCGCCTGGCATGCAGGCACCACCTAGCCTGTTGTCATCATCTAGCCAACAGCAGCAGCAACAGATGATGGGTGGCATGGGTAACATGTCCCAGATGCAACAACAGCAGGGTTCAAACATGATGAGGCCTTGGCAGCAACAGTCTCAGCAAATGGGGCCTCAAGTTAATCAACAGATGATGTCTATGAATAACCAGATGAATAGTAATTCTGGCTCTATGGGTGAGTTTTACCAGCTATCTTTTCTAACATTGATTAATGTGGTGTTCATGAGGCAGTTATGTAACTCAAGTATCTAAAATAAGCAATTAAAAATTTGAAAATTCTAAACAAAATGTATTAGCTATCAAAGTGTTTGTATTCCCACATCTGTATATTCTGTTGTAATCCTAGTTTTGATTTAACAGGAATCTTCCACACACACACACACACACCCCCCCCCCCCCCTTTTTTTTTTTTTTTTTTTAAAAAAAATTCTCCAATTACAAATCAGCTATTCATTTTTATAGGAGACCCTCTATTCATGAAATAAAGAACATTAGCACTTTCAGTTTAAAAAAAAAATAATTTAGGACTTAAATATTTCAATTATAAAACCTCTTTCTTTATAGCATTATGTCTATTTCTATTCAGCTATGCCACCTCCACCTCCATCGTTGCTTGCACCACCACCTCCACCACCTTCAAGCAATCAGAATCAAACAACACCTCCCTGGATGCAACAAGCTCATGCAGGTAAAGTACCTATACTGGGTCCACCACCACCTCCGCCACCACCACCCTCAAGCGGAGCTTATGAAAACTCATTTAATGCTTCAAATACCATGAATGCCCAGCAAAATACTCTAGGCATTTCTAACTATACTTTCCAACAGCAAAATATGGTAGGTCAGAATAATAGTATGAGTAACATGTCTAATGTTATGAACAGAGGAAACTCACACAATAGTTTAAATGGTCTTGGGGGCAATTCAAGCAGTATGGGCAACTCTAGAGGCTCCAGCTTGATGAACCAAGGAAGTGGCCAAAGCCTGTTTAACCAAGCCAGCAACAATATAAATTACCCTCTGATGAACAGGGGGAATAACATGAACCAGTCTGCTTCTAGTGCCCTTCACCATGGCAACCAGCAGCAGAGTGCTAACTCTAGCCTACAACTAAATTATGGGAATAATCAACACAACCAGCAGTGCATTCAGGGTCCAAATCAAGGGATGAATCAGAGCAGCAACTCTCTACTGATAATGAATCAAGGCAATAATTCTCAGCCTGGTCAAGGCGGCAGTGGCCAACAAGCTGTGGGACCAAATCAGCAAATGATGAATCAAAACGGTAATGGTCAGAACAGGATCAATCACCAGAGCTCTCAAGACCTTGGCCACAATTCACAAAGATCCAGAAACTCAAATCTATGGAATTAATTCATTTAACTACCTGTGAATTTTTCTGCTGCTTAATGTATGCTGTAATGTAATTGTCAAATGAGAAAATTATTTTTAAACTTTTTAAATTAGTGTACAGTATCAGTATCTCATGAATATTTTTAGTATCCTTTATAACCAGGCTAAAACTGTAAAAGAAAACTATTCAGTCATGTCTTGTACTTCATGAAATAGTATTAACATTTCTATTTAATTTTTTCTCATTTCTTAATATCTGTTTAAAAATAAAGACCTCACTTAAAAGTATTTTTCATGTATTATGTTTGATAGGCTAAGTGTTCTGTTAATCATTTTGTAAATTATTTTTTAACATTTAATTTTCTTAGTGAGGTATTTAATAGAATGTCTATGAATATCAGTATTGATGAAAACCATTATAACAATAAAAATAATTATCTTTTAACATGTTATTATTTTTCCTTGGTTTTAGTTTTTTTTTAATTAATGTTTTTTGTCTATTACCTCCAAATGTTTTAAGTTTGAATTTGTGGATCAATTATTATTATTATTATTATACATTTTGTGTGGTTAAAAAAATAGTGAGATGAAGAATGAAAAAAATGGCTGGAATAACATGCAGAAGGTAGGCCTTGAGCTTGTCGGGCTTTGAGATTTTCTCTTGTGTTATAAGTTAGGTTGACATGGTCATTTGTTTGTACATCATTTTTATTTATTCTTTTGCTCTGCTTTAGGGCATTACTTTTTTTTGTTGAAAGCATTTGAATGATGAGTTGTATTTTAATTTTCTGTTGTAATATTTTTACAAACTTAATTGCCAAGCCATTGGTAGTTATCACACTTAGAAAACATTTGTTAGTTTTGCTGGGACATACTTGTTAAAGCCAAGCTTTTATAGTTTCAGTTAAAATAATCACCAGATTATAGTACTTGATAAACCAGATATTTAAAATCCTGTTGATGTAGTTTGATTGGATGGTTAAATTTAAGCATGAAAGTTGAGTCTGCAACGTTTTGTTTTTCTTTTGTAGGTCTACAGGCCCAGCAGCCGCCACCCCCACCTGTGTCGTCACCCACAGCGCCCTGGCAGCAGCAGGCACCACAGATGACACCACCTCCACCTCCTGTGTCCCTGGCACCATGGCAGCAGCCCCCACCCCCACCAGCCATGTCTGCTCCTCCACCCCCCAGCCCTGTCCAGCCGCCATCACTGGCGGTCCCTCCACCTCCCCCACAGTCCAGCCCCAGCCAACAGATGCAGTACAACAGTTTTGCACCTCCTCCGCCACCACCCATGAGCTACAACAACCAGCGGATGGGTGGAATAACCCCCTTGATGATGGCAGGCCCACCACCACCTCCACCACCCAGCTAGTCGTAGTTGAATGTATGAGTCAGTCGGTAACGAGAAAGTTGTAATTATGTACATTGCTAGGCTGTTATCTCTGCATCAGCTCATGGGTGGGACTGATTTAGGAGAACACTTGAAATTGTACTTGTCTAACCAGGGCATTTTCCTAATCAGTCCCAACGTATGGTTTTAACTGAATGTCTGGGGACTTGTGTGCTTACTCAAGTTGCAGTGCTACTTTATTTTGGTTCATCTGCCTTCTAGATATGTATAAACATAACAGAACTATTAAGGGCTATGGTCCAGTAAAAGTTAATTAGCCAGTTTGAAACATTGCTGCTGTATTTTGTGGAAGAAATAATTTCTTTGATTGTAATGAAATTGTTGATGTAAATGAGTTATTCAGATAATATTGTCAGATGAATCACTGGTTCAAGCAGAAAATAAAACTGTAATCATTTCTTTGTTTTTTGTTTTTATTTCCTGACTTTGTCCATGTTGTGCTCAAGTACAAGACATTTGTCTCATGGTACTGCTTGATGTATTTAATTAGCAATAATAAATGATTGATGAAAATCTGATTGGGGGGGGGGGGGGGGAAGGAAGTTTCAAAAGTACAATTCTCTGTGTATATCTTGAGGTATTTGTAAAGTTCAACAAACTAACTACAGAAATTAAATTTTATTTCTTTATAATTTATACAAGTTTACCGTAGCAGGAAGACCCAGAGCAGTCTGGGAAAGGAAACGTATCTGGTACTATGTTTACTTCCGTTGTAAATTCTAGGGTGGAGTTTTTGATACTGTTGAATTGAACCTGTACAAAAATGTTATAGCATAGTTAATTCTGATAATGGTATGATAGATTTTTCACGTCATCTGTGTTTGAGTGTTACTAAATGCTGCACAATCCACTTACCAGGAGTGGATGCTGCCCACCCCAAATTAAAGATAAACGCCCCACCTCTGCCTAGATATGAGAAAAGCTAACCAATTCACCAAACCCTCGTCTTACCTGTATATAGCTATCAATATTACCTATTCTCTAATGTTCCCCACCCTCGCCTTACCTGAATGTAAAGCTATCAGTTCCCTAATGTTCCCCACCCTCGCCTTACCTGGATGTAAAAGGCTGCCCATCCTGACGCAGGTGCATCTATTACCGCCTCGTATTGTGTTTCATTTATTTTTATCGCACCAGTCGTCTGCCAAAGAACAGGGTGTTGCATGGGGGCTCCCGTGTTAGGGTTAAGGGCAGCCACTCTAAAATCACGCCTGAAACAAATGTCACGATATTTAGCACACACCGTATTGTCCACACTTAGTCGAGGTGACTCGATTTCCTACACATGTAAGCAGAAATAAAATGAACAAAGGACGTACAACTAATTAAGCAGTAAACATTAAAGAAACTATTGTTCTCTTTCTTAAGAAGAGAGCCATCACTGGGATAACATGAAGCATGTATTATTAGCATGTCCATGCATATTCGTTAATTCTACATGCTTTTTTAAAAATAAAGCGGGAGTGAGCTCCCCTGAAAAAAAAATCTCGTATATTTTTCTACAAGCTAACTAGCACTAGTCGTCTCCCCCATCTCTATTTCGCACCTCCCTTACCTCTACAAGATTCAAACTGTTAGGAGAAGGTTGATCCATATCCATAGCCACCTACACTCAGGATAACCTAGCAACTCTTGGTTTCCTAGTTTTTGTATACGAAATGTGAGTAACGATTGGTCACGACAAATTACCGGAGTAGGTTTGTCCACGTACCAACCGTATGTGAGGATTGTGACGACATAACGGACTAGGTCTGTCTACGTACCAGCCGTGTGTGACGATTTGTGACGACATAACAGACTAAGACTGTCTACGTACCAGCCGTGTGTGAGGATTTGTGACGATATAACAGACTAAGACTGTCTACGTACCTGCCATCGTCCAGGGTGTTGGTGTAGTACACTGTGACCTTGGCCGGCTCTTCTGACGTGGTCAGTTCAATCTTACCGCCCAGGTCGGTGGCTGTCTTGACCCACGTCATGACCGGAAATGACGCCCTCTCCACCACGTTGAGGTAGAAACTCTGCAGGGCCATCACGTTGCTGTCGGAATGTGCGGCCACACTATGGCCGGAGTTGGGGATGATCCTGTCATAGAAATGTTTTCTTTAGACGGTCAGATCAGTGTTTGACTTTAGGAATTTAGGCTTTAAACCATCAGTTAAGCATCTAAACACACAGACAGCACACATGCATGCATATATATATATATATATATATATATATATATATATATATATATATATATATATATATATATATATATATATATATATATATATGCATGTGTGCTGTCTCTGTGTGTGTTTCGGATATACTAAGCTGTAAAATAATGCAATCTGGTGTCAGTCCTATCAATCGATCTATAGATTGTAAATCTATATAACAATAAATAATAAGTTAGTGAATTAATTAACATTTGCAATTTATTATTTTGATGTAAGCCCATCATGTTGTAATCCCTCCCCCGACCCCTCTCTTTGACGCCCTAGACTGTATCTTCTCCAACTGAATCCCTATCCTAATATGTTAACTGAATTACTGTGTTAACAATGGCACACATTACCATATACAGAACGACATGTTATTTAATGCTTAGACGTGAAACACCTGGGCCAGCGGCTTGTGAAAACTCACCTGAGAAACGTGGGACCAGGTAGCAAATCAAAATAATAGTGTGAGTCGTCAGGTAAGAAAAACTCGTCCCCTGAAGACGACACGATCATTTTGGGGATCGTGTACCGACTGGCATAAGCTGACAGAGAGAGACAGGTGACACAATTAAAATCAACACATCGGTGATAGTTCATTTAGTAACACGGACATCTAACTATTGACTTTTCACAGTGTTTTAATTTTCTGATTTTTACTTCTGTACACCCAAATATTGAAAAATACTATCTAGTTCCTTTTGTTGTTTCCCTTGGAACAAATGTATCAGAACAAATTTATAAAATATTATTTAGTTACGTCCCCTAGATTAAAACAGTGAGTACTTTGTATTGAACATTAAAAATATACTCCAGTTCGTGCGTTTGACATATTTAAAAACTTAGAACATTAATCGTTTCAATAATATATTTGTTTTTAAGTAATTGGATATTTTGTGAAATTAAGGCGACGTCTATCTTATAGTTTAGCGTTATACTGTAAGACAAGGAAACCCGCATGTCGTAATTGTTAAATTGTGTACATGAGATAGCAGTTGTTGAATATGAAGTTGACCACTGGTGCATGAATCAGATTTTAGAAGTGCGACACTAAGCAACAGGGGTAGTGCCACTCTACCCTACTGGCACTCGTTGACGTAGGTTCGGGCACCGTTGTGTTCTGAGTTCATTTCGGAGCAGACGACTTAAAATCGTGAAGCTTAAAGGTGAATTTTAACACAGAAAACAGGCGACAAAGATAAACGGCCAGAGGGCAAAGATCAGAAGACTGAAAGCCAGACGGCAACCAGACGGAAACCAGATGGCAACCAGACGGCAACCAGACGGCAACCAGACGGCAACCAGACGGCAACCAGACGGCAGAACTCACTTAACGGGTCGACGACAGCGGCAAGTTTAGGCATGTTCTGGCCGTCCAAGTCGTCGGTGATGTTCTCCCTGTAGTAGTCGTCAAACGCGAACGTCCAGCCTCCAAGTGACCGGAAGTGGTGGTGAAGGTTCTAGACAAATATAATCCAGTAGGAATTAGGATTAGAATTCACTTCGTTTATTATCTTTTCGACATATATTTCAGCGAAATGGAAACGAAATAAAAAAAATTAGTGAGCAAGACTGTTAACATTTCTGCTAATGCTGCGGCATCAGAAAGTCTTAAGTCATAAAATCATGAAGTCATAAAGTCATAAAGTTACCTTCTGGACGTTGAGCAGATCCATGACAGTCGGCACCATGCCCACAACTCTTTTATCCACGGCTGCTGTTGTCCAGGTCGTCCAACCACGCTAGAAAAAATAGGAAGTGACGTCATACCAGAATACCTGCACTTTATTATTTATACACGCTCATTTTACACATTCATTTCTAGGTCATTCCCTACTACATCACTAAGTCATTCCACACTAGCCCTCAGTCATTCCGCACTATGTCTCTGCCTTTGCCACTACTTCTTTAAGTCATTACCCACTACTTCACCAATCATTCCTCAATACGCCATTCACCTCTTCGTCACCGAGTCACTTCCCTTTACCTCACTAAGACAGTTAAATTATATGAGTACGTAAGTGCGTATCTGCACGTGCATCACGTGCATGTCTATATGCAGGTACAGATGCACATGTCTTTGTGAAAGTATATGTACATGGCTCCCCGAATAACCTAGTCAAGCGACGCCACTGTGTAGATGTCTGACTGTCAGGAAGTAAAATATAATCCACCAACCCCAAACTTATCGATGTTTTAAAATGTATTTAGCTAAACGTTCCCTCAGTGCATGTTTAACTAGTAAACCTCAGCGCGGCAGCAGATTTATTTCATACGACTCAGTTTGAAGATTTGAAACATCTTCATAGAGTTATAATCGTGAGATTATTCCAACATTTGACGCCATTGAAGGCCCTGAAGGTAGGAATGTTTGCAAAGACTATTTCGTTAGTTGCTACATGTGTATCAAAAGTACTTGGCCCAGATATAACCAGATTACACATATGTACTGCCGTGCTTATTCTAACTAAAGTAGCGGGTCACTACACTTTTCTTTTTAGTCGGACGACTTTCTTTGTCAGTTCAGATAGATATTAAGGAAAGTAACACGAACACTAATTTAAATTAATAACATTACATACTGGAGATTGTGATTAACAGCTGTTTGGCTTTTAAATATTCATATTTTAAGAACTGGCATTTACATAGATAGATCTAGGGTGTACAACGTTATACGGGTCAAGTTTTACCAGTAGCGTAGCGAGGGGGTGTGCGGGGGGGGGGGGGCATATGTCCCCGGGTGCCGACCTTAGGGGGCGCCAAAATGGGTTGGAAAAATAAAATGAAAGGTTGAGGGGGGGGGGTGCAAATTGAAAGTTTGAGGAGGGTGCAAATCGAAATCTTGAGGGGGGGGGGTGCAAATCGAAAAGTTTGTCCCCGGGCGCCGGGAAGGGTCGCTACGCCTCTGAGTTTTACAACACCCGTATGACAGATGACCCGTGTAATAAACAACCCGTGTAATCTAGCACAACAAATCTCCATAGAATTTCTTTCTTGACACTGTTTATATTTGAAGTGAAGCGATAAGCACGTCATGAAATTAAAAACGTGACATGTGTTACTGAATGTTACTGAATGTTACTCCTGTTTAACGTATTGTCTGCCCGTTTTATTAACGTAACGTGCGCCATTCTGAACGCCACAACCGATCGTCACATGTCACCAAAAAAAAACCATCCCTCATAAACCCAACCTTTGTAGAATTGTTACAAAGACCAACCAACCCAGCTTTGAAAAGTTAAAATTAGAATTTTCATTGTTTTGTTTGTAAGAAATAAAAACTAGGCAAGTGTGGACCATCCAGATATGTACCCTATGTTGACTGACCTTTGACTCCCCGCCGATGACGAAGCGATGTATGAAGTCGCCTGTGATTGTCTTGGCGTACAGCGCCACAGTGTCCATACCTCGTACAACAGCCTGAGGAAAACCAGTCGTGTTAGTCGTTCTTTAAGGGGGGGGGTGCTGCTTAATGATGTGTGGGTACAAGTTGGATGTGTGGGACTTAATGGGCTGTGGGGGAACTGGACACTTTAGGTGTGGGGGAACTGGACACTTTAGGTGTGAGGGAACTGGACACTTTAGGTGGGGGAACTGGACAATTTAGGTGCGGGGGAACTGGACACGTTAGGTGTGGGGGAACTGGACACTTTAGGTGTGGGGGAACTGGACACTTTAGGTGTGGGGGAACTGGACAATTTAGGTGCGGGGGAACTGGACACTTTAGGTGTGGGGGAACTGGACACTTTAGGTGTGGGGGGAACTGGACACTTTAGGTGGGGGAACTGGACACTTTAGGTGTGGGGGAACTGGACACTTTAGGTGGGGGAACTGGACACTTTAGGTGTGGGGGAACTGGACACTTTAGGTGGGGGAACTGGACACTTTAGGTGTGGGGGAACTGGACACTAGGTGTGGGAACCAGACACGTTATTTTTGGGCGTTACTAGGGCTGAGGGCGTCATAAATACATCAGCTACTTGAGCCTGTTGAAATTGTTGCTAAACTTATTTGGTCACTAGGGGGTTAATGAGCTTTGATTACTTTGATCAGTGGCAGGTTAATTAAGACGCACGATTACATTGATTATTTAGAGTCTTAAAATCGTCGATAATCTTGTTAGTTGGTAGTTTCTAAACATTCGATTACCTTGATCACTGGATATTTTTAAAGATTCGATTACCTTGGTTACTAGTAACTATTTTAAAAAGAATCGACTACCTGGGTTATTGTACATTTTCAAAGGTTCGATTATCTAGGTCATTGGTTACTATTCTAAAAGATCCAATTACCTTGGTTATTGAAAACTATTCTAGAGGATTCGATTACCTTGGTCATTGGTAGACGTAAGAGGATCTCAGGGTTGGAGCCGTTGTCCAGAAACTGTCGCCAGGTCCAGGCGATGATGGCGTCTTCAGATCGCTGTAGTCTGGTTGGGTCGTCCTGTTGGGGGGCAAGGGGGGCAAAGGGGGGGGGGGGAATAGTATTAAATCATATTAACTGTATATGATTAAATGGTTAAAATTAGCAACTTTAAATATTCACATTAAATAGTTTCACATTTCAAAAGTTATGAACGAGTTTTGTAACTTAAGAAGCCAAATTAGTGAAGCTAATGAGTGTAATCAATGAAACCCAAGAACTCACTGACCAGAAAGACGGTGGGCTGGAAGGGCACCTGGTTGATGACGGCTGTGACGCTTTTGGTGCTGACCGCTAGTGACGCCATCTCGCGGATATGGCGGTCAGAGGTGTTGGGGAGGCTGGGGTATAGGTAGGGGTCGTTAGTGGTGGGGTCAGTAGTGGGGTCAGTAGTGGGGTCAGTGGTGATGAGGTCAGTAGTGGTGGGGTCAGTAGTCGGGTCAGTAGTGGTGGGGTCAGTGGTGGTGGGGTCAGTAGTGGTGGGTCAGTAGTGGTGGGGTCAGTAGTGGTGGGGTCAGTGGTGGTGGGGTCAGTGGTGGTGGGGTCAGTAGTGGTGGGGTCAGTAGTGGTGGGGTCAGTAGTCGGGTCAGTAGTGGTGGGGTCAGTGGTGGTGGGGTCAGTGGTGGTGGGGTCAGTGGTGGTGGGGTCAGTAGTGGTGGGGTCAGTAGTCGGGTCAGTAGTGGTGGGGTCAGTGGTGGTGGGGTCAGTAGTGGTGGGGTCAGTAGTGGTGGGGTCAGTAGTGGTGGGGTCAGTGGTGGTGGGGTCAGTGGTGGTGGGGTCAGTGGTGGTGGGGTCAGTGGTGGTGGGGTCAGTGGTGGTGGGGTCAGTGGTGGTGGGGTCAGTAGTGGTGGGGTCAGTAGTCGGGTCAGTAGTGGTGGGGTCAGTGGTGGTGGGGTCAGTAGTGGTGGGGTCAGTAGTGGTGGGGTCAGTGGTGGTGGGGTCAGTAGTGGTGGGGTCAGTGGTGGTGGGGTCAGTAGTGGTGGGGTCAGTAGTGATGGGATCAGTAGTGCTCGGGATGCTGGGTTAAAGATAGGGGTCAGCAGTGGTCGGGTCAAAAGTTATAGGGTCAATAGTGTTCAGCAATAATCCCAAACACACATGTTCAGAAACTCCACACATAACTAATCTACTGAAAAAAAACACCAGTATTCTTCGACCTCTCAACTCCGCTTATAACAAGTTTACATTCTGAGCCACCCAACTTCAACCAACACCCCAACACTACCAAGCAACCACCCAACACCCCCCCCCCCAACCCTGAGCAACGCCCCCTGGAGACGCCCACCTCACCTGTCGTCACTGTTGCCGGCACTGATCCACAAGATGGCTGAGTCTGTGTACACCCTCTCTGTGGGGACGATGATGCTCAGGTAGTGCCACCAGAGGGGGGTCGTGGTCACTTCCTCTGGTCAAACAAAACGTGCGTTCATTCAACCGTGGAGGTCTTAGCGTGTGGGCTTATTGTGTGGCTAATCTTGTGGCTAATCGTGTGGTTAAGCGTGTGGCCTAATCGTGTGGCTAATCGTGAGGCTAATCTGTCTAAAGACTACACTAGAATTTAAACAACATTGGAATACCGTCTATCCTCTTTCACATTATTGGAAAGCGTGGTACGGCATGGTTGGACGCTAGAGATCACTACTACTAATATTTGTCTCATGTTCAGATCCAGGAGGCCTATCCGTAATATGGCGAGTTCATAGAAGAAAAAAAACCAACTGAACTCTACTTCTGTCCTGTTGCTCGCTAGGTCCTTAAGAGAGACTATTTATTTTTCATCAAGGAAGCTGTTGTTGTAGTTGTTTTATAACTTTATCTTGTAGTCTTAAACGCGAAATCGCGATCTTATTTAATCTTTTTCCATCAAAACCATGTGGATCTTTCATAAGTCGACTTTTGTCTTTAGGTCGATTACATAAAGTAAACAGATCTTTTAAATAAAACTCAAGTACAAGAGCTGTGTCAATACCAATTAGTACGTCCTTTACATATGTGATGCAAGGGCGCTAGGTAAGCTGACGTTTATTTAACAGTGTCAATGAACAAACCTGTCAGCCATTTTTGTGACGTCATGTTGAGGATGTAGACTTTAAAGCCGGCGCCATTGATGGTGGAGAGGTAGGTGAAGTCATAGTTCAGGTCAGGGGTGTTGACATAGTCGTCCAGGGGCGTAGACGAGAGGAGTGGGAGGAGACAGAGAGCCCACACCACAGAGGGGCTCAGGGCCATCGTTCTGTGGAATACGTCACACATTTTATCTGCTATTTTGGTGGACATTGTGCGTCTGTGGTGTAGTTTGGTTTGTACTTCACACAATGAGTACCTACATTTTGACCACTTCTGATGAAACGCCCCGTCCAACAGGCAGACTTTCTATTATAACTTTTAAGACAGAAAATTGTCTACATATCTCTCATAGGTGTAAGTCTGTATCTGACCAATGTATTCTTAAATGTACCTTAATGGTTTGTTTACATCTAAATCCTAATCCTAATATAATCCTAACACGGGACTAAACAATGTATGAAGTCATAGCATGAAACGTTTTCCCTCTCTCTCTCTCCCTCACACACTCACACACACACACATACACACACACACACACACACACACACACACACACACACACCTTATACTAACCAAACACTAAACCGTAACACAAATCGCTATTTAATATTTAAAACAGCCCAGTCCTAACCATACCCAAACAAACAAAAAACCGTTTTTATTCTTTTAATGAATCATTGACAGTAATTATAACAGACCTCGTTAAAAAATAAACTTACCTTAATCAGGCTAAACTTACCTTAATCAGACAAAAAACGTTTGATTCATTAACTCAAAGATAAGGACGACACACTCCCATAGACCAGCACACGACACGTGCAGGTACCAAGGTATTCTCTCACCTGTCCGACTTTTGTTCTGACCGTGTAACCGATTAATTTACCTGGGATCATTAACCGTGACCTACTATTGTACATCCTTATCCTAGGCTTTTGTTCTAGACTTATTTTGTGTTGTATTTTATTAGTTTCGTTAAGTCAAAGATTTCACTAATTGTATTATTTTTTTAAATATGAATAAATAAATAAAAGCTATCGTGTGTTTTATAGATACAATCTAGTACTCGTATGATATTTTGGTGTCATCTACTGGATCGTTAGTTTAGTGCCATCAAATGCAACTCTAGCTCTGATGTCACCAAATGCCACACTAGACCTGGTGTCACCACCAAATGCCACTCTAGCTGTCACAAAATGCCACACTAGAACCGGTGTTTTCACGAAGCCAAAACTTAATACAAACCAGAACTTACATCAACAGCAGCCTAGCAAAGGTTTTCATATTTGTCGCCCAGAAATTGTCACCTTCAAAAGTAGGCCTATTTAAGTGGTTCGCCTCGCTCTCACGACTGTTGAGTGTATTAGCTATAATTATGGTGGTTAGAGGATCGTGGTCGCTTGTCTGGTCCCCCCATCACCCAACACGATATACACCATACATACCAACATACGACACATTGGACACGTAAGACACATACGATATAACATAATCGATACGTGCTCTAAGCTTTAACTGTAATGTAAACATACAATAGGACATACTTAAGACATACATAGGACACAGATATGTTATACAAAGATCAAACATTGGACACAGGATATATAGGAAATAGATTGTACAAACATAAGGTATACATAGCACATACATAGGAACACTCTACATGAAACGAACACAAAGGCAATTTTATCCAATCAATTAGCGGGCTTTTCCTGTATTTAAGTAAGTCATTTAACTGCGCATTGAATGTAAACTTCCCAAATCATATCCGGGTACTTTGGAAAGTGACGTCAACTACACACAGTTATTTTTCTTCACTGCAAGGGATCAACCATACACATATTAGACGTAAAAATAATAGGAAGCTGTGTTATAGGGGTGGTCTGTTTTCTTGATATACCGTGTAATAGGGGTTGTCTGTTCTTTTGTTATACAGTGTTAAATGTGTAGAACCGTGTTGTATAGCATTATTTTAACAATGTCATCGGTTTATTTTTTAAATGTGTCCTATATTTCAACAATTCGTGGTGGTGGAGGGTGGGGGTGTGACTTTAAAGTAGTTTTTAATTGTTAAAACAGTGACTTCTGCCAGTGAACACACAGAAGGATCCCATACCAGATACACTCGCCACCACACCTCTCTCTACCTGCTCAACACACGACGCCGGCGTTCATTTACACAAGTCTGGAGTTTGTATTTAGTAGCTTGTCTCCATTAAAATAAAGAACATACTTCAGGTTATTTAATAGTCGTATCTTGGACAGCGTAGATAAATTTCTGGATGTCCAGATTTTGCGGGGGGGAGGGGGGGGGGGGGGTTGGAATGAACCAACTGCCTATCCGAATTTTTATGTCCTCACCTGCCCCCCGCCCTCCTTGTTTTCTACACTCCCCAGATATGTGAAGCTATTCACCTCCGAAATAGTCGTTCCTTTTATCTCCAAAAGCGCATTACACCATTCTTTTGTCCGGACAATTACCACCCATCACAACTTTCACCCCCTGCCCCTCTTTCCTTTCTCTCTCATAGGCTAAAGCAAATCTACAGTTCAGAACTATTTCAAGACTTTTCTAACACGTTCAAGGTAACAGCACAAAAAAAGACGACATCCACCTATTTTCTCACCTGCCCTTTGCTATATCGAATCAGATGATGAGATTACATCTCCTATGATAACAAATCAAACGGCACATTTTGAGACACAATCAATCTTCTAGGTCATCCGCACTCAATTACTAACCGATTCTTCAACACAAGATGTGTAACGATACCTTGATTATGTGATCTGTTTACACAGGACGATACTGGAATAGAATTATCGATACCGTGTATCGAAGGTAGATATAGGTATCTGATATATTGTATTGCCTGATTTCGGTTTTGTCATGTTTGCTTGGAAAATATTTGTGTGTAATTATTCTTTAAGTTTGATAATTCTTGTTAGTGCAAAGAAAGCCTTAATGTTTTAATTAAATTTGTGTACGACGTATTGTTAAACAATGTACGTATTAAAACGTTTGGTTCTAGATCTTCAACTTTACAGCGATCCAAACAAATGGCCATCTTAGTCATAACATTTTTAGTATTTAATAAACAGCACTTCAAAACATTATTTTAAAATAAAACGAAGTAGATACAGTTTTTTTAAAAACTACGTTAACTTTATCGAACTCTGTTTATTTTGTACGTTACAACATTAAAAGTTATATTTGTTATGATTATTATAATTCTAAACATGTATTTCTTTTGTTTATTTAGCGTATTTTGTTTATTTTTGTTTTTCAGCAAGACCAGACGATGAGGAGCTGTGTGTTTCTGCTGGCCTTAGTGACGTCATGGACGGGCGTCACCCAGTGCACCCCACTCGACGATTACGTCAACAAGTTCGACCCCCACTACTCCTACACCCTCATCTCTAAGACGGAGGGACCGGACTTTTCCCTCCACGTCCTCAACATGACGTCACAGAAATGGCTGGACGGTAAGATGACGTAGACATTGGGCAGGAGCATCAGTGTTGTCGCTGTTTGATATAGCTGACGATGTCTCTATGTCTGAAACAGGCAACTGTTTATCCCTGATGATACTAGGTGGCCTCTATAACCACAGTGACAGTCACCAAAAAATTAATTATCTCAGACAAAATAGACCAGACAAATTATCTCAAGGACAAATGACCTCAAGACAAAAAAATATAAAATATATATTTTGTCCATGGTATTATTTTCCTGATATATTTTGTCTCTGGGAACTTTTGTTCGTGTGATCATTTGTCCTGAGATGTTATGTCAAGGAATCTTTTAACGACCATTTCTTATAACAAATATATATAACGACCGTCTCTTATGTCTAAAATTTTTATAACCAAGACATTTAACAACTGCCTCTTATGTCCAAGACATTTAACGGCCGCCTCTTATGTCCAAGATTTTTAACCACCGTTTCTTATAACCAAGTCATTTAACCACCGTCTCTTATAACCAAGTCATTTAACCACCGTCTCTTATAACCAAGTCATTTAACCACCGTTTATTATAACCAAGTCATTTAACCACCGTCTTATAACCAAGTCATTTAACCACCGTCTCTTATAACCAAGTCATTTAACCATCACCACTTGTAACCATAGAGACGGTGACCAAGAAGCCGATCTGGTGGCACTACCTGAGCGTCATCATCCCAAAAAATCTGGACTACACTGACACTGGATTCCTGTGGATTGACCAGGGTCACAACACGGACAAGTAGGTCAAGGACATGGTCTCATCTCCGCTTTAAGCCAAATTTAAAATATTTTTAAAAAAATAACCTACACGTTGTTTAGACGTACCCAGCACTATCTTTATAAGTATCATCTCATATATAATACTTTTCTACTAGAATTCGATTCTTGTATCTTACTTCAAAAAAGCTCTATCCAAGACTTTATCTTAACCTTAGAAGTCTGTCTAATTAAAACGTTAACTTTGGATAGAGACCAAACAAAAGTAGATGACTTCACGTGTTTAATTCCCCCCCCCCCTCCCACCAGACCGCCCACCATAGCAGACGACTTTGTGGCTGGCATCACCATCCTGGCAGTTAACATTCGCGCCGTGTGTGCCACCATCAAACAGATCCCCAACCAGCCGACGGTTTTCTGGGTGAGTAGTTCTAGACAGGGGTAGGTCATGTCAGGGATAGGTCATGTCAGGGGTAGGTCATGTCGTGTGCCACCATCAAACAGATCCCCAACCAGCCAACGGTTTTCTGTGTGAGTAGTTCTAGACAGGGTTAGGTCATGTCAGGGGTAGGTCATGTCAGGTTGAGGTCATGTCAGGGATAGGTCATGTCAGGGGTAGGTCATGTCGTGTGCCACCATCAAACAGATCCCCAACCAGCCAACGGTTTTCTGGGTGAGTAGTTCTAGACAGAGGGAGTCATGTCAGGGGTAGGTCATGTCAGGGGTAGGTCTAGTCAGGGGTAGGTCATGTAAGGGGTAGGTCATGTCAGGGATAGGTCATGTCAGGGGTAGGTCTAGTCAGGGGTAGGTCATGTAAGGGGTAGGTCATGTCAGGGATAGGTCATGTCAGGGGTAGGTCTATTCAGGGGTAGCTCATGTCAGGGGTAACTAAAATGTCAGTTGTAGTTAATGTATGTGGTAGATCGTGTCAGGGGTAGCTTATGTCAGTAGCATCACATATTCACAGAAATACAGAGGACAGTCATCTTTGCTCTACTGACACATGACACTACTGACACATGACACTACTGACACATGGCACTACTGAGACATGACACAACTGACACATGACAAAACTGACATATGACCTTACTGACACGACTGACATTTTGTCAAACATCTTCCTAGTCTGACATGACACAACGGACGCATGACATAACTGTCATATATGACCTTACTGTCACATACTGACACGACTGACATTTTGTCACACATCTCCCTAGGCTGACCCCACCCTGATGAACAGGACCGAGGACGCCGTCATAGCCTGGACGTGGCGGGAATTTCTCTCCAACGGTTCCAACCCAGAGATTCTGTTACGTCTGCCAATGACCAAGGTACGCGACACACGTGTGTGCTGTTTAGAAACATACACATGTGTGCTGTTTAGAAACATACACACGCGTGTGCTGTTTACAAACATACACTCGTGTGTGCTGTTTACAAACATACACGTGTGTGTTGTTTACAAACATACACATGTGTGTGATTTTTACAAACATACACACTTGTGTGCTGTTTACAAATATACACTCGTGTGTGCTGTTTACAAACATAGACACGTGTGTGCTGTTCACAAACATACACTCGTGTGTGCTGTTTACAAACATAGACACGTGTGTGCTGTTCACAAACATAGACACGTGTGTGCTGTTTGCAAACATAGACACGTGTGTGCTGTTCACAAACATAGACACGTGTGTGCTGCTTACAAACATAATCAAGTGTGTGATGTTTACAAACATACGCATTACTGAAGACCATAGCACAGACGATTAATGTTGATTTCTGGAAAATCGAACATTGATAAGTAGCTTACAAACGGTTGAAATAAGTACGCTATTTGATCCGACTAGCTGTGTGGCAGATGAAGCGGATTCCATTTATTTCTGGAACACTGTGTGATCATATCAATGTCCAGCCGCCTGATCTTGAGCTAGATAAATATCCATACGGGATGACCTCAGGCTCTTCTTACGGACTTGAACTTGAGTCTTTCGTCGTGCTGGCAAATGTACGCACTGGTCGCTCGACCACTCCATTCCTACATTTTATCTGATGAGTTTGAGTTGATACTTTCTGATGGTAAGCTGGTACTAGGGATATGTTCTGTGAATTTCAGGCCGTCGTTCGAGGATTTGATACAGTTTCGGCCTACATGAAGATCATTGCAGGAATCGACATCCAGAAGTTTGTGGTGGCTGGGGCGTCTAAGGTATGGGTTCAAATCTTGTCGCATTGATTCTCGGTTGGCACATATGATAATAATTACCCCTATCATATGTAATGAATTAATAAAAGAGATCAACACTGACTGGTAACTCCGCTGTAGCACCGTAGTTAGGTGGAGTAGAGTTACGGTTAAACAGCTGGTGCTACATTTGACTTATCCTCTCCATGTCTACAGCGTGGCTGGACCACATGGACCACAGCAGCCGTGGACAAGCGGGTTATCGGCATGGTTCCGTGTGTCATGGACTTGCTCAACTTCCAGAAGGTAAGTGGCTCAATGTTACAGGTACAGTGGTGGGGTTTACAGGTAAATTGGTGGGGTTTATAGGTACAGTGGTGGGGTTTACAGGTACAGTGGTGGGGTTTACAGGTATAGTGGTGGGGTTTACAGGTATAGTGGTGGGGTTTACAAGTATAGTGGTGGGGTTTACAGGTACGGTGGTGGGGTTTACAGGAAAAATTCGTGAGTGCTATGGGGAAATTGATGAAAGATAACAGACAATAACCATACTCCTGGACCGTAAAACTTTGTATTGACCAACTCTGATACTGTTATTATTTGTATTGACCAACCCTGGCGTTATGTTATTATTTGTAATGACCAACCCTGACCGTATGTTCTAGAACCTCCACCACCACTACCGGTCACTGGGAGGTTGGACCTTCGCCTTTGACTCCTACTACAGCCTCAACATCACCAAAGATCTGGACAGCCCCAACATACCAAAGATGCAGGCAGTCATTGATCCCATTTGTAAGTTTTCGTCAGTCGGTGACCCCATTTGTAAGTTGTCATCAGTCGTGGACCCGTTATTCAGTTAACGCCACTAAAACTACATGTAAAGATATTAGACTGAAAAGTTGTGTACACTTTTGAATCGCTGCGTGAAAGGTTTCAAATTTCAAACGTGTACGTATATTTGGCTTGTTACACAATACTGCGAACAAATGCCTTCAGCGTCTCGCCTGTTAAATAACCGGGGTATTACATTCCCAGGGGAAAAGGCTAAAGGGGGGAATTTCGCTAAAATCCAAAGGAAAGTCCCTACAATTACCCCATCTCAAGCAATGTCTGGCACCATCGAATGGGGTGACATCACAAGAAAAAAGAAATCTAATTTAAAGAGCAATGCTACTTTCCCAAGTGACACCACATTAGCGATAGTTTTAGAACATTCTGTGTTTAGTTATTTAGTGGAATGGAATAATAGCCTGGTTTATATACAAAGTGTTACATAACGATAGATAGATCTAATCAACAATCATGTAATTCTGTATCTAAAATACATATGATTGACCAACTAACAATCATATGATCGTGTATATAACAAACCTATGATTGTATGGCTAACAATCATGTGATTGTGTATCTAGCAAACCTAAGATTGTATAACTAACAAACAATCATATGAATTTGCATTTAAAAGACCTATGATTGTACAACTAACAATCATATGATCGTGTATCTAAGATACCTAATATTGTATAAGTAACAATCATATGATTGTACATTTAAAAGACCAATGATTCTACAACTAACAATCCTATGATTGTGTCTCTAACAGAATATAACGTGAGGTACACAATGATTGTACAAATAACAATCCTATCATTGTGTCTCTAACAATCCTATGATTGTCTCTCTAACAGCCTACAACGAGAGATACACCATGCCCAAGATGGTGGTGACTACAGGTGGTGACGAGTTCTTTATACCTGACGACTCCCATTACTACTGGGACCAGCTTCAGGGACCAAAGTTCCTCAGGTATTTCACAGTATACACCTGTCAAAGTTCCTCAGGTATTTCACAGTATACACCTGTCCAAAGTTCCTCAGGTATTTCACAGTATACACCTGTCCAAAGTTCCTCAGGTATTTCACATTAAACAGTGGCCAATTTTTTTCAGACATTTTACATTAAACACCTGTCCAAAGTTTCTCAGGTATTTCACATTAAACACATATCCACATTTGGAGTGTTTTCTTATTTAGTACTTGTCCAAAATGTCTGACCCATTTTCACATTAATAATTGGCCAAATATTCTCAGATATTTTTACACTAAACATTAGGCCAACATGGTAAATATTTTCACCCTAAATATTTAATCTGTACAAAATACCCAAATCAAATTCAAACAGTTTTAGTGATAGTTTAGAAGCCCAGTTTGAAAAGAAAATTCTCTGTTCATCTATTTACAAAGTTTATTAAAAGTTTAATTCGATAACTAAGGTAATATGTTTGTTTTGATGATATTGATAATGACGTTTTGGTTCCTCTATCTCGTGAGAAATATACAAGTTTTATATGCTAAGTAAAACCAAAGTTGTTTACCGCTCAGGATAACACCAAACGCTGAACACTCAATCGTGGGACATTTGATGAGCACCATACTAGCCATACAAGGGTTCTTCTTCCACGTCGTAGAGAAGGCTACCTTTCCCACGCTCACCTGGACTCGATCCCAGAACAACACTTCTGGCACCATCGTCGTGACGACATCGGTCCCTCCCAGGGAGGTGACGGTGTACTACGCCCAAACACTGGACAACAAAAGGTAATTTTAACACTGGACAACAAAAGGTAATTTTAACATTGGACAACAAAAGGTAGTCTAAACATTAGGTAACAAAGGGGAATTTTAACATTGGACAACAAAAGGTAATTTTAAAATTGGACAACAAGGTAATCTTAACACATCAGACAACAAAAGGTAATTTTAAAATTGGACAACAAAAGGTAATCTTAGCATTGGACAACAAAAGGTAATGTTAACATTGGACATCAAAAGGTAATTTTGAACATTGGATAACAAAAGGTAATCTTAACGCATTGGACAACAAAAGGTAATTTTAACATTGGACAACAAAAGGTAATTTTAACATTGGACAACAAAAGGTAATCTTAACATTGGACAACAAAAGGTAATTTTAAAATTGGACAACAAGGTAATCTTAACACATTGGACAACAAAAGGTAATTTTAAAATTGGACAACAAAAGGTAATCTTAGCATTGGACAACAAAAGGTAATGTTAACATTGGACATCAAAAGGTAATTTTAACATTGGATAACAAAAGGTAATCTTAACGCATTGGACAACAAAAGGTAATTTTAACATTGGACAACAAAAGGTAATTTTAAAATTGGACAACAAAAGGTAATCTTAACATTGGACAACAAAAGGTAATTTTAAAATTGGACAACAAAAGGTAATCTTAACACATTGGACAACAAAAGGTAGTTTTAGCATTGGACAACAAAAGGTAATCTTAACACATTGACAACAAAAGGTAATCTTAGCATTGGACAACAAAAGGTAATCTTAACATCGGACAACAAAAGGTAATCTTTACATTATGTAACTTAATGTAATCTTAACAATGGATGACAAAAGGTAATCTTAACGTCAGGTTATAAAATCTACTCTAAGCATTAGGTATGTGTAGGCGTGGTCGGATGTAGGGTGAAAGAATTTTAACCCAAAAGTCTCGAGTTCGATTACTGGAATTGAGTCTGTATGAAGTATCTGAGCCTACTCAGTTATGATAGGTATAGGGTTAATTATGAAAAGTAAAACCGACTAGGTGTAGAACAGCTTCAAATGCCGAAGTCACAGAAATTGAAGTCGGTTCCGACAGGGTAACTAGGCCTATCATACAGAGAACATTTTGGGCACTAATAAAAACGATGTGGTAAAATATCTAAGTATCCTCTTGTATTCAGCATTTTGCCCGTATGTATTTCAGGCGGGACTTCCGGTTATTCACCGCAGACCCCCAGACTGGCAAAGCTTTATTCCATCCGGTCATTTGGTTCAGCAAACAAGCAACACGACTCAGCCTAAATCAGTACCAGGCAACAGTTGAACGACCGTCTTATGGCTGGGCAGCTTTCTTTATTCAGGTAATCACAGCTAAATCATGTGTCAAGTTACTTTAATTGCTGGGACGAGGTAAGAAATATTAATTTAGCAGTTATTTACAAAGATAAAAATTAATGAAAATCACGTTGTTGCTGTTGTTATTTTATGTTAATTTGAACAGCTTTGTCATAATTTAATTAAAAATATAACGACAACAATAAAATTGACATAAACCTAATTCAGTGAAATGTAGAGGCTAGTTTGTCGTAAATTCCTATACTTGCTGTAAATAATGCAAATTGTTAAAAAGAACTCTGGAATAGACTAAAATAAATTGTTAACAGAAAGGCCTGATTAGACTGAAATACATTGTTAACAGTTACTTGGTTAGAGTAATATAAACTGTTAACAAAGATGCTTGATTAGACTGAAATAAATTGTTAAGAAAGATGCTTGATTAGACTGAAATAATTTGTTAACAAAGATGCTTGATTAGACTGGAATAAATTGTTAACAATGATGCTTGATTAGACTGAAATAAATTGTTAAGAAAGATGCTTGATTAGACTGAAATAATTTGTTAACAAAGATGCTTGATTAGACTGAAATAATTTGTTAACAATGATGCTTGATTAGACTGAAATAAATTGTTAAGAAAGATGCTTGATTAGACTGAAATAATTTGTTAACAAAGATGCTTGATTAGACTGAAATAATTTGTTAACAAAGATGCTTGATTAGACTGGAATAAATTGTTAACAAAGATGCTTGATTAGACTGAAATAATTTGTTAACAAAGATGCTTGATTAGACTGGAATAAATTGTTAACAAAGATGCTTGATTAGACTGAAATAAATTGTTAACAAAGATCCTTGATTAGACTGAATACATTGTTAACAAACAATATGATTTGACCCCCACAGTTGAAGTTTGACGGACTGAAAGGATCGACCTTGGAGTTCACGACGGAAGCCAACATCGTGCCTGACGAGTTTCCGTTTCCGGATTGTTCTGGCCAATCGTGTCGCGGGACACTGGTCTGATAGTCGCAGGCACTGTCAGGTGTCACTGCCTGATGTCAATGTCAGATGACAACTGTCACCTATCTGTCAGTTTGATGAAAGGCTTACACCTAAATAAAACAGTATTATTATTCACTAAGATATGCACCTTTATCAATATATATAGTTTACCTAAACTTTATTATTTCTATCATTACATGTTATGAAATACGTTAGCCAGGTTTTGATGTCAAGGCCTGGCAACTCAAGTTGTTTACACGAATGTTGTCTTCATAATTTCTTGTTGTTGGCTCAGGCTTATTAATAAAACTAAATAAAATCAAACAAGTTTACTTTGTTTTGTTTCCTCGATCAAAGTTTTGTAATTGTTCCTTTATCAAATTTTAAAAAATAAAGTTGTATGAAGTTGATTTAAATATATCTCACAACTTTTAATGGTGCTGGTGGGGGGGGGGGGGAGAAATCAATTTACACGTACAATTAGGTGCGAAGCTTGCACGTGAAAGAAATCATAGAGGCCCAACTTTCTTTGTTTAAAACTACATGCTTTTGGGTTTCATGAACTATTTACGACGCTCTTGTAATCCTGAGATGGCCGAGTTGAAACTAATAAAATCATTTCTCACTTTTATATTCTTTCTTGATTAAAAAAACTCAAATTTGGGTCCTATACAAAGTATTCAAATCACCATCTAAAAACTGATCGCAATTAATTACTCTACATTAAAATCCTTGATAGTCAAGATAGGGATAATTTATTTCACACTTTCATAACTGCACTTAGTAAAACAAGTCTATTTATATCTATACTGATAAGATGAAATGATGTCAGTGTAAAATTTCTCTGCAACCTTGTGACAAAGATTAAGAAACAAACCTTAGATAAGAAAATATAGTGACAGTTAAAAACCTGAGGGTGTGGTGAGTATCTAACGTGGTTTGATAATAAATGTATCTTGTCACTGGCTATCATAATTTATCTCGAGCAAGTTTTCAGTGGCGTGCCAGCAAGTCTACTTTCAGCGAACGCAGGCATATAGGGAGATTATTGTCCGTTTCATAAGTCCGTTTTAATGCTCATTATATAATTTAGGGCGTCTAGAACACAGCTAAACTTCCTCCACCCCACCCCCTCCCCCCTTACTTAAACTTCCAGCCCATCATACCCCAACCCACCACCTTTCAAACTTCAACTCACTACACCTCCACACTGCCAACATATCCATTAATCGCAAAATACCTACCCATTCCAACCCTCCGTTTATATCGCATCACGACAACAAACAACAACGAACTACCAAACAGATTATAAAGCTGCTGTACTAAGACGTTGATCTAAAAGTAGCGTGTTCACCCCTAAGAGTAGTGTGTCACCACTTCTAAAAGTAGTGTGTCACCCCCTCTAAAAGCAGCGTAACACCGCTTCTAAAATTAGCGTGTCACAACTCCTAAAAGTAGCGTGTCGCCACTTCTAAAAATAGCGTATTAGCACATCTAAAAGTAGCGTGTCACCTCTCCTAAAAGTATCGTGTCACCACCTCTAAAAGTAGCTTGTCGCCACTCCTAAAGTAGCGTGTCACTACTTCTAAAAGTAGCGAGTCACCACTTCTAAAAATAGCTTGTCACCACATCTAAAACTAGCGTGTCACCACCTATTTGATAACAATACAAAAAATGATACGATTTTCTTCCAACCAAATCTGTCCATCTTGACACCACTACCCAATGCCCACCCCCTCTCTCTCTCTGTTACTTCTCGGTATGTTGATAACAATGTAATAAGGCACAACAAATCGATCATTACACAGAACTCCATACATCGGATAGGTAGGTGTGTTTGTATGTGCATGTGCGTGTATATAAGTGTGTATGTATGCGTGTTTTGTTTTGAATTAATATTTGACCTTGATCGTTTTATTTGAAGCAGATAGACTGAAGATCAAGTTAACACACTCTAATCTAGTGCCCACTAAATTATAACCGTACAGTTAGAAAGGTAAAAATTGTGATTTTAACATATTATTTCTATAGTATGTCGTAATATAATTTTATAATATGATCTAGGTTAGTTCGATAGGAAACATTAATTTCTTCTTTTTCTTCTTCATTCTTAATTCTAGTGTTGGATTGTATCCCTCCAACACACGTATTAAGTGTCAACTTGTTATGCGCTTTGCGCTTGACTCAGATTTCAGCCTGCTTTTTTTTTCTGGATTTTGCTTCCATAGCCTTTGTTCAACCAAGAACAAAAACCAGCAGTTGTTTGATTTTAGAGTTGTCTCTCCTATCCTCATCAGCCCGGGGGTTCGAACTCGGGACTGTTCGGCTAACAGACCCGACCAGGCCGTCTTCCAAATATCAATTTAAAATTAGATGTTAAAGAAGATAAACTTATTTACAGCGATTAACTTTATAAATCATAGAAATCATATTGACCGAACCGTGGCTTTACAACCTGGCGAAACAACTAAAGAGGAAGTAAGGTCAGATTTACGGTAAGACAGCGTTAATGGGGATCGGCGAAGCAGGTTTGATTCGCTTGAAAAGTGACATTATAATTAACTTGTAGTCACTTATCGGAAGTCCCGTTATGGAAGCGTCATGCAGTTTGAGTATGTTGACATAAAAATATATAAAGGGAGAGTGGGAGTGCTGTTTTGAAAAAATACATTTCTAATCTATGTTTGTATCATGCGCAATTTATGTTCACCTTCATGTGATAAACACGATATTTATTTCAGCTGTAGGATACGTAAACATGGGGCTGTTTATTTTGCTTGTTGCTATAGCAACCACGCTTTGCGTGTCACGTGGCACGCCGCTTGACGATTACGTCAATGCACCGGATTCTAATTATAGATACACGTATTTGACCTCCATCAAGGGACCTAACTACGCTGTGTACATGTTGAATATGACGTCACAAAAATGGCTTACAGGTTAGAAAAAAACTAATATTTAGAAATCCATAAAACTTGGAAGAGGACAAATACAGTTTTTTTTAAATCATACAGCATGATGTAATTGTGAAGTTTGACAAGATTTCCAAAGGCCACAAGGTCCGTAATTTTATCGGCAAATTTTGGTGACCAATTTTTACCCATTTCTGAAAACTCTTTGGTTTTGAAACTTAAGTTAAAAGATTATTTCAGTTAATACCACACATATACACATATGTCTAAATTGGAACAAAATCTGACACGAAAATTTAGTAAATGAAAATATTTGTGACAAAACTATGTAAAAGTCTTGGTCTCTCCCGCTTAATTTGTCATAACCTTGACATTTGAACACGCGCAAGATCACTACACATTACCAACATGGTTTGTACCCCCCCCCCCCAGAAAGTTTTTTTAAACCCCCCCCCCCCCCACCAAAAAAAATCATCTATGCCACCCACTGATCAGTAGAGGTGAGCTGATGATAACGAATCGTGCGTCAAGTTACTATTTCCTATGTCTTCACAAGGAGCAGATGTTGATCGTTTGGGGACTGTGTGGTTGAGTTTATAGAACGTCCCAAAGTCCACCCAGCTCTGATGGGTACCTGACTAACGTTAGGGGGAAATAGGTGGCTGTGCATAGATCTGATCACACCATACCCTTGTCTTGGGAATACGAACAGGAAAAAAAGATGATGGTTTATCGTTTAGAGAAAATAGAACTCGATGAAGCTACTGATCGTGTTTTAAAGCAAATTTTTTTTTATAGAAAAGTTGGGAGGCGATTTCAGAACGAGATGAATGGAAAGAATAAAGTAATCGACTTACTATATTAGTTTTCAATTACTAAAAAAGTAATCAAAATAAAGAGTAAACATATTTTAAATAACCTCTTTTTAAAAAAATATTATAGTGAAACATTGGTCCCTGTTTAGAATATTAAAAACATAATTTAATGCAGTTCTAGCATAAAGTATATCTGTCTATAATAGTCTATAGTTATATCTGTATACTTATTCCAGAGCAAGAGACGACAACTCCAATATGGTGGCACTACATGGCAGTTATCGTTCCTACAGAAGTTGTGTACAGGGATACAGGGTTCTTGTGGATAGGTGGCCATAGTTGGACAGGCGGGTAAGTCAGTGGGGGGCACGTCGTGAGGGACATATGCTGACAGGGGCATACACTGACAGGGGCATATGCTGATTTAGGTATATATTGATAGGGGCATATGTTAATATGGCAATAATTTAACAGGTGCATATGCTGATAGGGGCATATGATGACAAGGGCATAAGTTGATATGGGCAAACGCTTATAGATGGGTACTGGTAGATTTAGATGGTATTTGGTCATTGGTCTTGTATATAGGGGGACTGGTTGAGTTAGACGAAGCAGCTGTGAGTTTATGAAGGTTTCAAACACATTCATGAAAACACGATATGAACTAACATTGCTAGCTAATGGCCTCCATCCCCCATCCCACGTGACCAGGATGCCGACGATGCAAGAAGATTTCATCAAGTCCTACACGGCCTTGGCCGTCAGCACTGGAACTGTGTGCAGCGTCATCTACCAGGTGCCATTCCAACCAATCGTCTTCAAGGTAACATTTTCCACATCATACTAAACACAGCATCTTACCTTTCCCCACTGTCTTCCAGGAAAATTTTTTTTTAACATCTCCCACCCGATTTTTCATGACATAAGCATACAACTGGTGAAACGATTATCAAAAGAAACTCTCACTGTTTTAACCAATCACCTGGTTTCCATGACGTGACATACATCTTTTGTGTTGACCAATCAAATTGTTTCTATGACGTGACCTACATTTATTGTGTTGACCAATAAACTTGTTTATATGACGTGACCTACATATATTGTGTTGACCAATCAAAATGTTTTCTCTAGGCTGACCCCACGGGTCAGAAACGTGTGGAGGACGCCATCATTGCCTGGACCTGGAGAAAGTTCTTGGACAACGGAACCAATCCAGAAATTCTGCTCCGTCTTCCCATGACAAAGGTAGGTCTTGTCCATGTGGTAGTTTAATGGCTGGTCATTGGTAGGTCTTGTACATCTGGTAGTTTGATGACTGGACATTGGTAGGTCTTGTCCATGTGGTAGTTTGATGGCTGGCCATTGGTAGGTCTTGTCCATGTGGTAGTTTGATGGCTGGCCATTGGTAGGTCTTGTCTATCTGGTAGTTTGATGACTGGACATTGGTAGGTCTTGTCCATGTGGTTGTTTGACTTGATGGCTGGCCAGTGGTAGGTCTTGTCCATGTGGTAGTTTGATGACTGGACATTGGTAGGTCTTGTCCATCTGGTAGTTTGACTTAATGACTGGACATTGGTAGGTCTTATCCATGTGGTAGTTTGACTTGATGGCTGGACATTGGTAGGTCTTATCCATGTGGTAGTTTGACTTGATGGCTGGACGAAGGTAGTCTTGTCCATGTGGTAGTTTGATGGCCGGACATTAGTAGGTCTTGTCCATGTGGTAGTTTGATGACTGGACATTGGTAGGTCTTGTCCATCTGGTAGTTTGATGACTGGACATTGGTAGGTCTTATCCATGTGGTAGTTTGACTTGATGGCTGGACGAAGGTAGTCTTGTCCATGTGGTAGTTTGATGACTGGACATTGGTAGGTCTTGTCTATCTGGTAGTTTGATGACTGGCCATTGGTAGGTCTTGTCAATGTGGTCGTTTGATGACTGACCATTGGTAGGTCTTGTCCATGTGGTAGTTTGACTTGATGACTGGCCATTGGTAGGTCTTGTCCATCTGGTAGTTTGATGGCTGGCCATTGGTAGGTCTTGTCCATCTGGTAGTTTGATGGCTGGACATTGGTAGGTCTTGTCCATCTGGTAGTTTGATGGCTGGACATTGGTAGGTCTTGTCCATCTGGTAGTTTGATGACTGGACATTGGTAGGTCTTGTCCATCTGGTAGTTTGATGACTGGACATTGGTAGGTCTTGTCCATGTGGTAGTTTGATGGCTGGTAGGTCTTTTCCCTGGTTTCTTTACTCGGTGACAACATGTATGTTGTATAGAGGGCTATGATTAGGCCTTTTGTTTTAACCTTGATGCCATGTTATTGTTCACAACTATGTACATCCACAGGCCGTTGTCCGAGGGATGGACACAGTATCCACCTTCGCCAGGACAATCACTGGTCAAGTTATTTCAAAGTTCGTCATCGGAGGAGAATCCAAAGTAACTTTCAATTTCTATGTAACATCGGGATTTATTATCTCTTAGTCGTGATGCCAAAATTAATATGCTGATTAATCTAAATAATTAATCGTAAACTGAGATGTTAAAATCGAATCATCCTCACGTATTTATATCTAGCTATAACGGATCTATTTTCTTACTCCCCCCCCTCCCCCTAGCGTGGCTGGACGACCTGGACTACGGCTGCTGTAGACAAACGTGTTGTCGGCATGATCCCAACGGTCATGGACCTGCTCAACCTACAGGAGGTCAGTCAACTTTACCCGCTATGTCCATTTTAACTTTTTCATTTTGCTTGTGATTTCTTTGATTAACTTTAAATGTGCCATAACTTGGAAGATTTTAGCATTTAAAAAAATTGAAAATTTTGATTCACTTGCCGGCAAAAGATCTTTATAATATTTACAAAACAAATAAAAAATTAATCATACATCAGCAATCGGGCCTAAGCTCAATCTCGTAGAACATTTTTTTTTTCGACTTTTAATTTCAAATCCTCTTTGTTAATTAAAACAAGACTACGTCCTTACAATATTGTCTAATTATGTCTAGAATCTCCACCATCACTTCCGGTCACTCGGCGGATGGACTTTCGCCTTTGAAGACTACTACAACCTCAGCATCACATACGACCTAGACAGCCCCAACATCCCTCTAATGCGGGCGGTCATTGACCCCCTTTGTAAGTTGCAAAGCTATTTCAACCTCCAAAACTCAGATATTTTTTAAAGCCCTAACTGTCTATTAAAAGATTAATTAATTGCGGGACCTTGACGTATTTTTGTTTCACCCTTCCGTGTACAGCCTACGCCAGCAGGTACACAATGCCAAAGATGATTGTCACTACTTCCGGTGATGAGTTTTTCCTACCTGACGACTCCTACTACTACTTCGACCAACTACCAGAACCAAAATTCTTAAGGTAATCTAATTAAAAAATTACACCCTAATGAATACGATGTGACCAAGGTTTCAACAAATGACCCAACTTTTCCAGGGTAGTTCCGAACGCTGAGCACTCTATGACTGGCCACAGAATGAGTGACGTGCTGGCTATACAGAGTTTCTACCTGAACATTCTAGAAAACGCCACCTACCCGACCATCAAGTGGGTCAAGTCTAGTACGGCCTTGAGCGGTTCAATCACCGTGACCACGTCGAGACCACCAAGCAAGGTCACGGTCTATTACGCCCATACTCTCGATGACAAAAGGTTAACTTTCTCAACAAGATTATTTCAGTTTTCATATTGAATTAAGAGTTATATTAGAAAGACATAGTGTTTAAAAAATGTATTTACATTTCGATCTTTCTGTAAAGAAGCTAGATCAAACCTTGTGTTTAGCTTGAAATATGTGTAGACTATTTTAAATAATGAAAAAAATTTCAAAAGTTTTATAATTTTTATTTTAAAGAATTCATGCATAGACTCTACGATTATCTTTAATTAAGGCAAAAGTTTTAAAATTTCTATTTAGAAGAATGCATGAACAGACTGTACGATTATCTTTAATTCAGACAAAAGTTTTAAAATTTCTATTTAGAAGAATGCACAAACACACTATGATTATCTTTAATTCAGACGAAAGTTTAAGGAACCATTGTTTTTTTCCAGGCGTGATTTCCGGTTGGCTGTGAAAAGTCCAAATTCTATGGATCCATTGGTCCACCCAGTTCTGTGGCTAAATAAATCAGCCAATCAAATTAGCTCAACCCAATATCAGGCTAGCATAGACAAGCCTCTATTTGGATGGGCTGGGTTCTTCATCCAGGTCTGTCCCTGATTTACAAAGTATATCTAGCTTTCTCGACATTTATTATTTTTACTTATTGGTTGAAACGTCTTTATGTTGTTTTTATCTGTTATATATTATATGTCTTTTAAATATATGTGTTGTACCTATCTGTTGTAAATATATGTTTTAACTGTGTGTTGTATTTGTTGTAAGTATATTTTGAAACTATATGTTGTTACTATCGGATGTATCTATCTGTTGAATCTATATGTTGTAACTATCGGGTGTATCTATATGTTGTAATTATCTGTTGTAACTATCGGATGTATCTATCTGTTGAATCTATCTTTAGTAACTATCGAATGTATCTATCTGTTGTGACTATCTATTGTAACTATCTGTTTCCTACTGGACAGGTCCAGTTTGCTGGGGTCAAGGGTTCCACGCTAGAATTTACCACAGAGGTCAACATTGTACCAGACACGTTTCCGTTTCCAGACTGCTCAGGGGCTTCGTGTTATGGGACCTTAGTGTGATCTTATGGGACCTTAGTGTGATCTTATGGGACCTTAGTGTGATCTTATGGGACCTTAGTGTGATCTTATGGGACTTTAGTGGCATCTTATGGGACCTTAGTGTGATCTTATGGGACCTTAGTGTGATCTTATGGGACCTTAGTGTGATCTTATGGGACCTTAGTTTGATCAAATATCATGGGACCTTAATGTGATCTTATGGGACCTTAGTGTGATCAAATGTTATGGGACCTTAGTGTGATCTTATGGGACCTTAGTGTGATCAAATGTTATGGGACCTTAGTGTGATCAAATGTTATGGGACCTAAGTGTAACAAAATTTGCTATTGTTCAATATCTTCTAATAGTTAATCACTAATTTTCCTTCTTGTTGACTTTGTTACTTTTACAAAATGAATTCTAAATAAAATGTACCAGACCCATGGTGTTACAAACTTTAACGTGTGTTGATTTGATCCGGTTAAACTCGACCAGTGTTTCTTCCAGACTTTTTTCCAGGGGGGGGGGGGGGGGGCACTTGAAATTTTCGGGGGGAGGGGGCGGTAGACTTTCTTCGGGGGGGGGGGGGGGGCGGACACTGTCACTGTTAATAGTATATATTTTGTATATAAATTATATACATTTCATTTCCTTGGGGGGGGGGGGGGGCGGTAGACTTTTTCCGGGGTAGCTCAGCCCCCTCGAAGAGATGCCTGGAAGAAACTCTGAACTCGACACAAGTGATCTCTGTAAGTCTTTACAAGTGTCTGTCTGCTATTGATTAAATGCCCATTTATTCTCGCTTGGGCTTTAAGCCATAGACATCAGGTAAAAACTTATTTGAATTTATGTCCAATTTGTTTTATACCGAATTTAAACAAATAAGTAATTTAGCCTTATTTCGATTGGCCCTATTTTTTTTTTCATTTCTTAATATAGAATGGAGTAATTTGCTTTAAAAATTGCATTTAAAATACAATGTTTAAAAGTACGTTATCCTAACAAATTTCATTACATTAGGATTAATGGTGTTTTATTTTTACTAACAGTACTCAATTTTGTTTTAGTACCCATTTAAAAATATTTTTTTTTTAAAAAGCAACAGCGAATAGATCATTCATACAAAAGATAACTCAATGTCTAACTTCAAACCTGAAGAGCTAGAATTTACAGACTAAATATGCTGTAACTTCAAACCTGAAGAGCTAGAATTTACAGACGGAATATGCTGTAACTTCAAACTGCTGCTGACAGGAGACCAGAATTTTTGTAAGAGGTTCTATGATGGCCTGGATTACCGATGGCCTGACAACACGGTATTGGCCGCAACTTTCAGGCGTCTATCGGGGGAGGGGGCGGGGGTGTCATCGCGGATTTTGTGGCCAAGTGCGCTAAGTTTGTCTGATTTTATGAATCTCGACATTGATAAACTATGGATGTAGATCAAAGGGTTTTCAATGGAAGAATTCAAACATGGTACTCAGTTTAAATGAAGTATTAGAACCTTGTGACATTCCATATTGTTTCCATAAAATTGTATCCGTAGAATCTGTGCAGGACAAATGATGATCTAAACATTTAATTTTTAAAGCAGTATTTCATATAATACAACGTCATTCGCTGCGAAAAATAATAATGTCCAACTTCAACCAACCCAACGAAGCTATTAATCACTGAAATATACATCTCTTAAGATTTGGTATTTAATTGTGTTAAAGTTATTTTGCATGTATTTACGAGTCAAACGATAAATATAAAACTCCAAACGAATAAAAGCTAGAAAAAATGTTATAATACTTTTTACTAACACGTTTTTAAATACTGTAATTTACATATCTGTTTTAATACTATTAAATTCCACTGCGATTTAACAACTTTTTGTAATATACTTTTCTTACCTCCCTTGGTAATTATAGCTTTCTAAACGGGAAATAACTAGTGAAAAATTGATATTTATTTTAAATTTCGTTTAAATTGATCAATTTAATTTAACGAGATTTACTCAAATTTGTATCTATGTAAATTGGTAGTTGTTTTGTTTTACCTTAAAATTGCATCTGTGTAATTAGGCATTTTATGTTTTCAGATGAAGCTTTTAAACATAATAATTTGAACTCATTATTTTTGTCATTAGAAGTTGTTTTATTATTTATATATATATATATATATATATATATATATATATATATATATATATATATATATATATATATATATATATATATATATATATATATATATATATATATATATATATATATATATATATATATAAAATTCTCTTTTTGGAGACAATAGAAAACACCAAGCTGTAAGCGCGCTCCCTACCACCCCCACCCCTACATGGTCTGGTGAGCTGTGTTTCACGCTAAATGTTTCGTGACGGCTATAGGGGCAGATAATTTAGTTTGAAACGTTTTTAAACTTAGGGGAGGTAACTAAGAGGAGTTTATTTTCACGGGGGGGAGGGGGGGTTGGGCAAAAGAGGGGGGGGGGGGGGTTATCGTCCTTAACGAGCTACTGATAGTGTTTTAAAGCAAATATTTTCAGTGGCAGCATTGGTACTGTCGAATTCACAAATTATGAATTACTGAAAAGTAGAAAATAAAACAACTAAATAGCGGTGTGTGATACGCCGCGCGTCGGCTCGTATAAAATAAAAAGTTATCAAATTCTGAAGGTTTTTGAGAAACTGGAATATAGGATTTGAATTGTTTTTTGAAAATAAGCTGGTCGTTAGCTGTACAATGTTCGTGTTTGTTTAGAACTGGCAAACAAAGCTTTCTAAGTAACTGCAGGCTAAACTAACAGACTTATCTTAAGTATCAAGTTCGTTTTGCATGCATTGTTTGAGCTGTAAAACAATACTATTTAAATCAGTTAGTAATTATGTAAACAGCAAGCGAACACAAAAAGATTTAAATAAATGTCTTTTAAATCTAGAAATTAGAACATCAATTTTTTAGCGCAATTTCCATTCTGGAGAATTGCGTTTATTAACCCGTCATTTCTGGATGTATGAATGTATGAATGAATGGATGGATGTGTGTCCGCAGCTTTAACTCGTATCTCCTCCTCAACGAAGCAATATCGAGGACTAGTTCCAAAAGCAATTATGTTAAGCAAGTTACGAGGATGAACATAGGCCATAAAAATTACGGGTTTCTTTCATGGATTTCCCGTAAAAGCCAAAAAACCTCGGAAAAAAGCAGTTTTTGGCCCATATCTCGGCAACCAGACCACTTAGCGACTTGAAACATGTACCAATCGATTCCTGCCATAATTTAGAACAATATTGCCGAAGAAAGTTTTCAAAAATATCCTTTCGTTCGGTCACAAAATTTTTTTTGAATTAATTAAAATTTGGACCGAATTAGTAGGCATTTTTTCCAACCACACCACACGCGTCATCACGTTCAATAGCTGCGCCATCGCGTTCCATGGCTGCGCCATCACGTTCAGTAGGCGCGCAATGGTTTTTAGTCATGTAACTCTATTGTAAATAAAACGTAAAATACTGAAATTTTTTAAAATAAAAAACGTTTTAATAACTAACCAATGGTTTTACTAACCCTGCTCTTGATTTACGCTACGACAGAGCTATTTTTAGATAACATAAGGAAATTGCGCTAAAATTTTTAATTAACTTGTTTAACTCTTATTTTTACAGTCGCCGTCCGCAAGTTTCTTTCCTGGTTTTTAGCGCAATTTCCATTCTGGAGAATTGCGTTTATTAATCCGTCATTTCTGGATGTATGAATGTATGAATGTATGAATGGATGGATGGATGGATGGATGTGTGTCCGCAGCTTTAAGTCGTATCTCCTCCTCAACGAAGCAATATCGAGGACTAGTTCCAAAAGCAATTATGTTAAGCAAGTTACGAGGATGAACATTTCTTTCATGGATTTCCCGGAAAAGCCAAAAAAAAAAACTCGAAAAAAATGCAGTTTTTGGCCTATATCTCGGCAACCAGACCACTTAGCGACTTGAAACATGTATCAATCGATTCCTGCCATAATTTAGAACAATATTGCCGAAGAAAGTTTTCAAAAATATCCTTTCGTTCGGTCACAACATTTTTTTTTTAATTAATTAAAATTTGGACCGAATTAGTAGGCATTTTTATCCAACCACACCACACGCGTCATCACGTTCAATAGCTGCGCCATCACGTTCAATGGCTGCGACATCACGTTCGGTAGCTAGGCGCGCAATGGTTTTTAGTCATATAACTCTATTGTAAATAAAACATGTAAAATACTGAAAAAAAATTAATAAAAAACGTTTTAATAACTAACCAATGGTTTTACTAACCATGCTCTTGATTTACGCTACGACAGATCTATTTTTAGATAACATAAGGAAATTGCGCTTAAATGTCACTAGACTTTTTAATTAACTTGTTTATTTTAATTGTTTGACAAAACTAGATTACAAGGGTTGAAAGATGCCCGATCTAAATTTAGGCATTTGTTGATCTGATACACAACTTACGACACTCGGTAACCATCAGTTACTTACAACTATCTCTCACGTGACTCCCGACTTGAGTAACCATCAGTTACTTACAATTATCTCTTTGATAACACATCCCGTCCTTAGGATCGGTTTTACCATATTGTTATCAAAGGACGAAAACCTAAACCCCGTATAGGACTATCCTTGTGTGTGTTGACGGGACTTGGTGGTCAGGTGGTACAGCGCCTGTGTCAGACTGTGTGTTAGACAACTTGAATATTTTTTTTTTTGTTGCGGTTCGCGGGATATAGCAGTGTGAGGTTATTTTTTTCTCAAGGCCAATATAATTTAGAGCTAATGAATTACGATATCGAGTTAGGTTAGCCCTATATATCGCTTTTCAATTATCTAGCTGTTAAAGTGTTGAATGTAACGCTTTTTGCGTGCGTGACAAATGAAGTAGAGTTCAGTTGTTTCCATAAAGTCCTGGATCCGAACTCGAGACTTTCGGGGTTTCAGTCGAGGGCTCTACCGCCCAACCGTACAAAAATAAAAGAATGTGATCTTTTGATTATTTAAATTTCCAGAACCTTCGCATTAAATAAGTTTATTTTTTATATTTACGAACTTTAATAACACAAAAAACATGTAGCGTTTGTTAGTTATAGTGTAGTTCTAGTTTTCTGCAATGTATTGAATCAGAATCTTAGCTTTGAGTGCAGCTTATAGAGTATTCGATTTTTTATTCTTTACCAGAAGACTGAGATTATTTTAACCAAACTCTTTGTTTTATTTTTTCTCTCTTTGAATATAGAAACTAGTCATGGAGACCAGTGTCTGCGTTTTTCTGTTCGTCCTTATGACGTCAGCGGTGTCCGTGTCACGTGGGACGCCACTAGACGATTACGTCAACGCACCGGATGCTAATTATAGATACACGTATTTAAACTCCTTCAAGGGACCTAACTACGCCGTGTACTTGTTGAATATGACGTCACAGAAATGGCTCACTGGTGAGTTAGTTAGAAAGATATGAACTTCCAAAATATAGCGTTGGAGTTGAGGATATGGCAAAAAACAAAAAGCGGCACTTCCTAACAAGTATTTATCTTAAGATTTTAATTGGATAAACACGTATGATGCTGACTTCATTTTTCTTCCAGAGGAAATAACGACAACTCCTGTATGGTGGCACTACGTGGCAGTTATCGTTCCTACACAAGTTGTGTACAGGGATACGGGGTTCTTCTGGATAGGTGGAGGTAGCTGGACTAATAGGTGAGACATGGGTGAGACTTGGGTGAGACATGGGTGAGACATTGGTGAGACATTGGTGAGAAATGGGTGAGACATGGCTGAGACATTGGTGAGACATTGGTGAGAAATGGGTGAGACATTGGTGAGGCATTGGTGAGTCATTGATGAGACATTGGTGAGACATTGGTGAGACATTGGTGAGACATTGGTGAGAAATGGGTGAGACATTGGTGAGACATGGGTGAGACATTGGTGAGGCATTGGTGAGTCATTGGTGAGACATTGGTGAGACATTGGTGAGACATGGGTGAGACATGGGTAACAAATGGGTGAGACTAAATTGGTGAGACATGGGTGAGACATGTGTGAGGCATGGGTGAGACATGAGTGAGACTTGGGTGAGTTATGTGTGAAACAAATGGGTGACACTCATAGATGAGACGAATTGGTGAATTTTTTAAAAGACAAAATGGAAGAGTAGTGAGGTACTAAGGGTACAGAGTTACGTCACTTCCGTCAGATATTTTTGTTTGACCTAACGTGACCTTTGTTTTATTCTACTCCCAGACCGCCAGACGCAGACGACAAGTTCATCAAAACCTTCACCTCTCTAGCCGTTAGCACAGGTACCGTGTGTGGCGTCATCTACCAGATTCCTTTTCAGCCGACTGTTTTTCAGGTAGCTTTAAGATTTTCCATATTCCCAGGTAGCTTTAAGATTTTTCCATATTTCCAGGTAGCTTTAAGATAGTTTTTCCATTTTCCCAGGTAACTTTATAGACTTTTTCATATTCCCAAGTAGATTTGTAGATTTGTCATATTCCCACGTAGATTTGTAGATTTGTCATATTCCCACGTAGATTTGTAGATTTGTCATGTTCTCAAATAAATGTGTAGTTACAGTCGACCATCTTGCAGCCTATGTAAATCTTTGTTGCTACAGTACAGTGGATTAGCCCATTACACTTTGAAATGCAATCTAAGTTTCTGGAGAAAACAGATGCCTGTACTATAAAATGTTTACTTAGGTTCCGTTGCCCTTCCGTTTACCCTATCCTTGCCCTACTGTTGCCCAGCTGTTGCCGTCTCGTTGACCATCTGTTAACCTACTGTTGTCCTACTGTTGTCCTACTGTTGTCCTACCGTTGTCCTAACATTGTCCTAAAGCATCATGTCCTTGTCCTCAGAAAGACCCAGCAGCCACCCAGAGATACGAGGACGCCATCATCGCCTGGACTTGGAGACAGTTTCTGGACAACGGCTCCAACCCGGAAATACTTCTACGTCTTCCCATGACGAAGGTAGGCAAGTGTTTTTAATTAAGTAATGACTCTATAGATAATTAGATGATTAGCTAATTAGATGATTGCGGCTTTGAAATCCATGGTGCTAGTGGAGAAGAACCAGATGTTGCCCGTGTATCAGACGACACCGCTCTCTCTTCACACATCTCATTGACCCAACGGACTGTGGACAGCTTATAGAGGAAACCCAAATTTTAATGGGCCTCAAACCAATTTTAACTTGTTTTTTTTTTTTTTTTTACTTTTAGGCTGTAGTCCGAGGGATGGACACTCTCTCTAGCTTTGCTAAAACCATCACCGGAAGTACCGTCAATAAATTTGTCATTGGCGGCGAGTCAAAGGTCAGTATGTGACCATGTGGTTTCACTTTGTATTGCTAGGCTCTATTGTTGTCTCACTTTACTTTTGTTAGTCTCACCTTGGTAGTCTCACTTTTGTTTGTTCACTTCACTATTGTCTCACAGTATCTCTATAACCACGTCAGCCTTTGTTCACCTTTGCTAATGATGCTAATTAGAAACATGGTCCCCAGCGTGGCTGGACCACATGGACCACAGCAGCTGTGGACAAGCGTGTGGTGGGCATGGTGCCCACTGTGATGGATCTACTCAACATACAGAAGGTGAGTTGTGTTTGAACTAGCTAGTATCTCAAATTGCGATCACCTGAACATTACATCCCTTCTTTAGATGATACGTAGAGGTAAAAAAAATGAAGATTTATGGCACATAACATACACTTATTGAGAAATACAAAAAGAACTTAATTAGTTCTGTGTTAATCGTTTGTTCAAATAAGGCTACCTAGGTTTTATTTTTACATACATCAACTTTAAGTAAACATTTAGTTGTTTTTTCTTCATTCTTCATTTTTTTTAAAATTTATTTTTGTTACCTTAAAAACATATTTTTAAAACAGATTTAATTTAATAAGTGTTGATATTTTTGTTGTTGACAAGAACATGCATCATCACTTCCGGTCACTCGGAGGATGGACCTTTGAATTCTGGGACTACTACAACCTCAGCATCACATACGACCTAGACAGCCCCAACATCCCTCTAATGCAGGAAGTCATTGACCCCTTGAGTGAGACTCATTTAATAGAATTCTGCATATTTTACACACTATTCCACTTTCATACACGCCTATTTAATCAAATTTCTTTTTTAAAATTTCACAATATACATTCTAAATATAGAACACTCTATTGAAATTTAAACATAACTTCTTTTCAAGTCAAATAATTTGGAGGAACTTTGTTATAATGTACCCATTATTTTCTGTAATTAAAGCTTAATTGTGATCTAGCTTAATTTTTATCTTACAATAAACGTTTTAACCCCCCCCCCCCCCTTTCAAACGTGTACAGCCTACGCCAGCAGATACACAATGCCAAAGATGATTGTCACTACTTCCGGTGATGAGTTTTTCCTACCTGACGACTCCTACTATTACTTCGACCAACTACCAGAGCCAAAATTCCTGAGGTGAGACAAAATATGGCAAAACACAATTACGTCAATAAATCAATGTTATCGAAATTTGAATTTAATTAATTTTTCCTCCAATAAAGTTAGGTTTTGTAAATTATAACACTCTTCAAATTTATTGATCTTAGCTGAAAGTCAAAATCTGAAATTGAAACAAGAATAGTAAAGTATTATTGAAGTGTTCTGTTCTAACCCTATGTCTGTCCTTACCTAGTGTTGCTAGATGTTCTATCAAAACAAAAGTTCTGTTCTAACCCTATGATGTTTGTCATTACCTAGTGTGTTGCTGAATGTTCTATCAAAACAAAAGTTCTGTTCTAACCCTATGATGTTTGTCATTACCTAGTGTGTTGCTGAATGTTCTATCAAAACAAAAGTTCTGTTCTAATCCTATGATGTTTGTCATTACCTAGTGTGTTGCTGAATGTTCTATCAAAACAAAAGTCCAGTTCTAACCCTATGATGTCTGTCCTTACCTAGTGTTGCTAGATGTTCTATCAAAACAAAAGTTCTGTTCTAACCCTATGTCTGTCCTTACCTAGTGTGTTGCTGAATGTTCTATCTAAACAAAAGTCCAGTTCTAACCCTATGATGTCTGTTCTTACCTAGTGTGTTGCTAGATGTTCTATCTAAACAAAAGTCCAGTTCTAACCCTATGATGTCTGTCCTTACCTAGTGTTGCTAGATGTTCTATCAAAACAAAAGTTCTGTTCTAACCCTATGATGTTTGTCATTACCTAGTGTGTTGCTGAATGTTCTATCTAAACAAAAGTTCTGTTCTAACCCTATGATGTCTGTTCTTACCTAGTGTGTTGCTAGATGTTCTATCAAAACAAAAGTTCTGTTCTAACCCTATGATGTTTGTCATTACCTAGTGTGTTGCTGAATGTTCTATCTAAACAAAAGTTCTGTTCTAACCCTATGATGTCTGTTCTTACCTAGTGTGTTGCTAGATGTTCTATCAAAACAAAAGTTCTGTTCTAACCCTATGATGTTTGTCATTACCTAGTGTGTTTCTGAATGTTCTATCTAAACAAAAGTTCTGTTCTAACCCTATGATGTCTGTTCTTACCTAGTGTGTTGCTAGATGTTCTATCAAAACAAAAGTCCAGTTCTAACCCTATGATGTCTGTCCTTACCTAGTGTTGCTAGATGTTCTATCAAAACAAAAGTTCTGTTCTAACCCTATGATGTTTGTCATTACCTAGTGTGTTGCTGAATGTTCTATCAAAACAAAAGTTCTGTTCTAACCCTATGATGTTTGTCATTACCTAGTGTGTTGCTGAATGTTCTATCAAAACAAAAGTTCTGTTCTAACCCTATGATGTTTGTCATTACCTAGTGTGTTGCTGAATGTTCTATCTAAACAAAAGTTCTGTTCTAACCCTATGATGTCTGTTCTTACCTAGTGTGTTGCTGAATGTTCTATCTAAACAAAAGTTCTGTTCTAACCCTATGATGTCTGTTCTTACCTAGTGTGTTGCTGAATGTTCTATCTAAACAAAAGTTCTGTTCTAACCCTATGATGTCTGACCTTACCTAGTGTGAATGTTCTCTCTAAACAAAAGTTCTGTTCTAACCCTATGATGTCTGTTCTTACCTAGTGTGAATGTTCTCTCTAAACAAAAGTCCTGTTCTAACCCTATGATATCTAACCTTACCTAGGGTAGTGCCCAACGCCGAGCACTCGATGAAGGGCCACTACATGGCCAACGAACTGGCAATCCAGAGCTTCTTCCTCACCATCCTGGAGAACGCCACCTACCCGTCTATGTCCTGGGTCAAGACCAACACGGCTCTAGGTGGCTCCATCACCGTCACCATGTCCAGAGAACCGAAAAATGTCACGGTCTACTACGCTCACACGCTGGACGACAAGAGGTAACTAATGGGCAACAATAGGTAAATAATGGGCAACAATAGGTAAATAGTGGGCAACAATAGGTAAATAGGGAGCAACAAAAGGTAAATAGTGGGCAACAGAAGGTAAATAGTGGGCGACAATAGGTAAATAGGGAGCAACAATAGGTAAATAGTCGGCAACAATAGGTAAATAGGGGGCAACGATAGGTAAATAGTGGGCAACAAGAGGTAAATAGTGGGCAACAGAAGGTAAATAGTGGGCGACAATAGGTAAATAGGGAGCAACAATAGGTAAATAGTCGGCAACAATAGGTAAATAGGGGGCAACGATAGGTAAATAGTGGGCAACAATAGGTAAATAGTGGGCAACAAGAGGTAAATAGTGGGCAACAAGAGGTAAATAGTGGGCAACAATAGGTAAATAGTCGGCAACAATAGGTAAATAGTGGGCAACAGAAGGTAAATAGTGGGCAACAAGAGGTAAATAGTGGGAAACAATAGGTAAATAGTCGGCAACAATAGGTAAATAGTGGGAAACAATAGGTAAATAGTGGGCAACAAAATGTAAATACTGGGCAACAAAAGGTAAATACTGTAGGCACTTCTAACCTTTAAGATAATTCTTGAGACACACTTCTGGACAAATGTTTATGATAGGTTTTTTATAAAGTGCGTGCAATATAAACTTGTATTCGTCATTTTTTCAAATGATAATTTTTTTTTAAATGTACCCATCTATTATTACCTGTCGCAGACGAGATTTCAGATTGTTTGTAAAAAGCCCAACATCCATGGATCCTGTACCACATCCGGTTGTCTGGCTTTCAAAATCAGCCAATAGAATTAGCCCCACACAATTCGAGGCTAGCGTAGACAAGCCTCTATTTGGATGGGCGGGGTTCTTCATACAGGTTGGTTGTTTATTGACATTTATATTACAAGTTTATGTATACTAGTCAAGCATAACAAACTTCAATTGTATTATATTAATCTGTTTCCTACTGGACAGGTCCAGTTTGCTGGGGTCAAGGGGTCGACGCTAGAATTTACCACAGAGGTCAACATTGTGCCAGACACGTTTCCGTTTCCAGACTGCTCAGGGGCGTCGTGTTATGGGACCTTAGTGTGATCTTATGGGACCTTAGTGTGATCTTATGGGACCTTAGTGTGATCTTATGGGACCTTAGTGTGATCTTATGAGACCTTAGTGTGATCTTATGGGACCTTAGTGTGATCTTATGGGACCTTAGTGTGATCAAATGTTATGGGACCTTAGTGTGATCTTATGGGAACTTAGTGTGATCTTATGGGACCTTAGTGTGATCTTATGGGACATTAGGGTGACCTTATGGGACCTTAGTGTGATCAAATGTTATGGGACCTTAGTGTGATCTTATGGGACCTTAGTGTGATCTTATGGGACCTTAATGTGATCTTATGGGACCTTAGTGTGATCAAATGTTATGGGACCTTAGTGTGAAAACTTTTTGTAATGTCCTTTTTATCATATGTCAATACCTTATTTTGAATAAAATTGTCAGTTGAATCATTCTATACTTGTTAGAATTTCCGTTTATCGGAAACTACAAATATATGAAATTTCGTCAATCAAAATAAAACGTGTTTACTCTCACACACACACATACACACACACACACACACATACATACTTATCACACAAACAACTGCTGCCTTGTAGTTTGTTCTTGATTGGACAAAAGCTATGGAAGCTAATTCAAAAGAAAAACATGCTGAAATCAGAGTCAACGATCTATATGGTGCATGACTAGTTGACATTGGTTAATACTTTAATTGTGTTGGAGGGAATCCTCTCCAACATTTAAACTTTGGGAGTGTAGTTGTTTCCTCTATACTCCGTATACGAGGAAGTAAAAAATAGGCTGGTAAGTTTTAAATTTAATTTTTAAATTTGAATTTTTCTTTATTGCAATGCTGAGCGGGATTTCCGCCAACACAATTAAATATCACGTGACGAAACGGTCCGTTAAACACGTTTCCTTTATTATAAAGTGTTTTAAACAATCAATTTTAAAGACATTTAAAGTGGGCCATGTATTCATACTAGTGTTTTCTTTTAGCTGGGTACCTTTGTCTTGGATACTGTTGTCTTAATCAAAAAGACGGTAAGAAGTAGGTGTTACGTAAAACACAAAAAAACTCAACATATATGCTTTAGTTTTGTGAAAATGGAATAGTAGGTTCAGTGAAAAAAAAAACAGCTTATTCGTGTATGTGCATATAAATTAGTTTATACGTTATAATAGTAATTAACCAGGATCTCACCTAAACTTTCTCGAATATTCTTATATAAAAGAACAGGGGATGTGAACTCGGAGATAGACATGATTTTTAATCCATTTTAAATACTTAAAGTTTTAAAAATAGAATAAAATCTCGTGGAAAAAGAATTGCACACCAAGTGAACGCCAAATAAAATGTGCATAATAGTGCGGAATATTATTAGTACTTTATAAATTTACATTAGTTTTTTGAGAAATCGGAAATAAAGTAAATTACTACTTACGGTCAACGGAAATTACTCAAAATTTGACAGAAGGTAGAGAATTAGATCTTTTACTTACATTAGAAATTTCAATTATTTATCTGAAATAGTATTTAAGTTATAGGCTTTTGAAAAATTCAAAGCAGAAAAAGTACCACTTTCGGTTATCGGAAATCGCTCAAAAGTTGATAAGGATCTATGTATTTGATAAAATACTTATATATATGAAATTTCATCAACCTAGCTGTGACAGTACTCAAGTTATCGTGTTTACACACACACACAGACACACATACACACACACAGACATACGGACAAGATTGCAACAATATGTTTTTCCGACTCAGGGAGGTGTAAAACGTCGAGATTTACAAAAATCTCGATTTTTTTTTTCACGATTACAACTTTCTCTAAACTTTGTATATACGAGAATGCCTATGAACACACGTAACCTAAAGAGCATTTTTTTCTAATTTATTGTTTTCAAACATTAGCAAATGTGCAGTTTCTTAACATTATCTGGGCAGATATCATGTGATTAAATCACGTGCAACAACCAGTTCAGTATCTTTAAAGACATCCGATATATTTGTTATCACAATTGACTATGTCAAGTACTGGCTGTCGCTATCTCTTAGATATTTTAAACACGTGTGTACAACGGTCTCATAAAGTACACACATATGTGTACATCTGTCTCATAAGTACACACTAACTATTTATTTCTTACACACATCATGGCATTGTTTACTTTATAAGTTATACAAATATATTTTTAATTTGATTTATTGAAGGATATACATGACGTAGGTAGGTAACAAGAGTTATGTAGGCGTATATATTTAACTCTTAAGAAACTAGATCTAGAACGGAATTGTGTTTTTACTTTGAATTAAGTAACAAAATCGCTTGTATTTTATTCTTGTTTAATTTGTCTGTATGCACACGCATGCAGACTTTATTTGTCTGCCTGTATTTCTGGTGCATAAGTCAGAGTAGAAGTAGATAGTTTTGTCTTACTTTCTATTGCATTTTAAACCGGATAAGTTTGGGTAAAATCCACGTTTTCCAGTCAAACTTTTAAAAGTTTTTATTATTCATAGACTGATCTAGATAAAAGTCGACTTTAGTCTTGTATACGCCAGAATTAACAAGCATCAAAAGTCTAACAGATTCCATATGAAATTTCTACCTAAGTTTTGTAGTGAAAAGTAAACAATAACTATCATACGTCTCGTGTTTACAGAGTATAAAGATGTCCACTGAACTGGTTCTCCCAGCATTACTATTGGCTGCAGCTATACTTGTTAGCGTGACACCCACGCCACTGGACGACTATGTCAGACAGCCAGACAGCCACTATAGCTACTCTTTCATCTCGTCCATCCAGGGTCCGAACTTCGAGGTCTACATCCTCAACATGACGTCACAAAAATGGCTGACTGGTACTGGCTCTCCTGCTTTCTTAAACAACATTTAGGTCGCTTTTTATGCAACAGCTTAAACTTTCATTTTAACCACATCTGTGAATACTTCTTAAGCTGCAGCTAGATTTTTTTTCACCAAAGTTTATATGACAAGATTTCATTAAGGAAATATGAAAGCGTTACATTTTTCAAAAGACAATCATACAAAAATATGTTATATGATTTAACATTTTTCAAAAGACAATCATACAATAATATGTAATATGATTTAATATTTTTAAAAAGACAGTCGCACAAATTAGTACAAAAGTTTGTTATCTGTCTTAACATTTTTAAGCAGACAATCGTATGTTGTCTGTTTAAATTAAGTCTGTCACGACAGTTGTATGTTGTATGGTTTACTTGAGGCCGTCACGACAGTTGTATGTTGTATGGTTTACTTGAGGGCGCGACAGTTGTATGGTTTACTTGAGGGCGCGACAGTTGTATGTTGTATGGTTTACTTGAGGCCGTCACGACAGTTGTATGTTATATGATTTACCTACAGAGGTCGTCACGACAGTTGTATGTTGTATGGTTTACTTGAGGGCAAGACAGTTGTATGTTATATGATTTACCTACAGAGGTCGTCACGACAGTTGTATGTTGTATGGTTTACTTGAGGGCACGACAGTTGTATGGTTTACTTAAGGCCGTCACGACAGTTGTATGTTGTATGGTTTACTTGAGGCCGTCACGACAGTTGTATGTTGTATGGTTTACTTGAGATCATCACGACAGTTGTATGTTGTATGGTTTACTTTTAAGGTCACGACAGTTGTATGTTGTATGGTTTACTTGAGGCCGTCACGACAGTTGTATGGTTTACTTAAGGCCGTCACGACAGTTGTATGTTGTATGGTTTACTTGGGACCATCACGATAGTTGTATGTTGTATGGTTTACTTAAGGTCACGACAGTTGTATGTTGTATGGTTTACTTGAGATCATCACGACAGTTGTAAGTTGTATGGTTTACTTTTAAGGTCACGACAGTTGTATGTTGTATGGTTTACTTACAGAGGCCGTCACGACGAAGCCAATATGGTGGCACTACGTCAGTGTGATCGTGCCGTTGTCGCTGAAGTTCAAGGACACAGCGTTTCTATTTATAGATGGTGGGGATAATACCGACAAGTGAGTAATGATTACTTACCATTAATTAGTTACAACAGTTGTAGAGCAATACAAATAGAAAAGCTCAAGTATATTAAGTGAGTGTGTTTGTGGTTCAGTGTGTCAATGCATATTTATATAATTGGTTTTATTATCCGTCGTTAGACTTCCAAGCATGGAAGACCAGAGTTTGTCTGGCTTTACTGCCATGTCAGTCAGCACTGGAGCTGTTTGTGCCGTCATCGGGCAAATACCCAACCAACCAACAGTTTTCCTGGCAAGTTGTCGCCCTTTTTCTTTGTTAGTTCCCTTGTTATTTCATGGAGAGAAAATGAACAACACTGAAATAGTACCATTCGACACAGAACCATACGAGATAGAACCATACGCCACATATAATCTTATTATCTCCATCGCACACATATGAAATCCCCACATCATTAGCATAACGTTTTAATTTAATTATTCTATTCACAAATATTCACAAAACAACGTAACAAACATAAACACAAATTCAAAACTCCACCCCCACCATATTCAAACAACATCCATACCACATCCCTAAATCACCCCCCACCAAATACTCACCACATTCCCACCACATACCCCACATCATCCCCACCACATCCCTATAACATCCCCACCACATACCCCACAATATCCCCACCGCATCCCTTACAATTACCACATCACTACCACATCCCATAAAATATCCAAACCACATCCCTACCACATCCCTACAATATCCATACAATATCCCCACCACATACCCTACTACATCTCCACCACATACCCTACTACATCCCTCCACATCCGTACGATACCCCCACCACATCCCTACCACATCCCTACCACATCCCCATACAAGATCCCCAACACACCCTTATACAACATCCCTACATCATGATTCCTATCCTACAGGCTGACCCTAAGCGAGAAGACCGTTACGAGGACAGCATCATAGCTTGGACCTGGCGAACGTTTCTAGAGAACGGTTCCAATCCTGAAATTATTCTACGTCTGCCCATGACAAAAGTAAGCGCTTATCGATATTTCGTCTGTGCTTCCTTAACCTCTTGAACTTATTTATACATAATTTTTCAGAGTGATTTTCTCTTTTTTTTCATTGAATCAAAGGCGTGTTACCGAACATAAACCTATGTTTTTTTCATAATAGTTCTTTCTATGAATGGGGTCGGTGGGGAGGGGTGGGAGAGAGACGGTTTACTTTAAGAAGTTGTGTGCAATTTGCCTCCATGTGTTTTGATGATGTGATGTTTCAGGCTGTAGTCAGAGGGATGGACACTGTTTCAACTTTTGCCAAAAGTTTGACTGGATTTGAAATTAACAAATTTGTAATTGGCGGCGAATCAAAGGTAAGAATTTAATTAAAGCTGTTTGCTAATTTAATATATATTAATGTAAAACATGTATTTCTCAATAGAAGCTCTTTAAAAAAAGGAAAAATTATTTACTCATAATAATATTTCATTGCTGATTTTATTCAAACCTATATTTTCTTCTGCACATAATACAAAAAGTTTTGATACAAATGAGTTGAGAAACTAATTAATTATGTAATTATCTATAGCGTGGTTGGTCAACATGTACTGACCATATGCAAAAGTTTTGATACAAAATTCATAATTTCACTATGTAATTACGTAATTAACTCCAGCGTTGCTGGACGACCTGTACTAATCATAGACAAAAGTTTTGATAATTTAACAAACTAATTAATTATGTAATTCACTGTAGCGTGGTTGGACGACCTGGACAACAGCAGCCGTTGATGCGAGAGTTGTTGGAATGGTGCCAACTGTCATGGATCTGCTCAACATACAAGAAGTAAAGTAACTTTACTTTTCTAATTTCACAAGAAGTAAAGTAACTTTACTTTTCTAATTTCACAAGAAGTAAAGTAACTTTACTTTCTATCATCACAAGACATACAGTAGCTTTATTTTTCCTAACATTCCAAGAAGTAAAGTAACTTTACTTTTTTAGCGCAATTTCTTTACAGGAATTGCGATTATTAACTCGTCACTTCTGGATGGATGGATGGATGTGCGCAGCTTTAAGTCGTATCTCCTCCTCAACGAAGCAATATCGAGGACTAGTTCCAAAAGCAAATATGTTAAGCAAGTTCCGAGGATGATTGTGGGCCTAAAAAACTCCCGGAATTCCTTCCTGGATTTCCCGGAAAAGCCAAAAAACCTAAAAAAAAAATGCAGTTTTTGGCCCATATCTCGGCAACCAGACCACTTAGCGACTTGAAACATTTACCAATCGATTCCTGCCATAATTTAGAACAATATTGCCGAAGAAAGTTTTCAAAAATATCCTTTCGTTCGGTCACAAAAAATTAATTAAGAACATTTAAACTGAGCATCGTGTAGGCCTAGGATGATATTTACTTTTTAAACTGAGCATCGTGTAGGCCTACTCGTTAAAATAAAACTATTTCCTTTGATATAGGTTAATGTAATTGTCTTTTTTTTAGCGCAAAATTGTTTACTTATTAATTCAAACGTTATTTTTGTACCCTATTAATTTATTTATAATTTATATGAGAGTGATAGGGAGTTACAATTACAAGGTTTTGTTTCGCTAGGCCTAATCATTTTTCACATTCTTACTTTCTCGATTTTACGAAGTAGAGAGAAAGTCTTGTAATCGTGCAAAAAAAATCGAGATTTTTACAAATCTCGACGTTTTACATCTCACTGATACGGAAAAACATAATTTTGCAATCTTGTCCGTATGTCTGTGTGTCTGTCTGTGTGTGTGTGTGTGTGTGTGTGTGTGTGTGTGTAAACACGATAACTTGAGTACCGTTACAGCTAGGTTGATGAAATTTCATATATAACTATTTTATCAAAATCGTAGATCCGTATCAACTTTTGTGCAATTTCCGATAACCGGAAGTGGTACTTTTTCTACTTTGAATTTTTCAAAAGCCTATAAATTGAGTACTATTTCAGATAGATAAATGAAATTTTACATGTAAGTAAAAGATCTAATTCTCTACCTTCTGTCAAATTTTGAGTAATTTCCGTTGACCGGAAGTACTAAGTTACGCTATTTCCGATTTCTCAAAAAACGCATGTAAATTTATAAAGTACTAATAATATTGCGCACTATTACGCACTTTTTTATTTGGCGTTTACTTGGTGTGCAATTCTTTTGTCTACGAGATTTTAAGACTAAGTATTTAAAATGGATTAAAAATCATGTCTATAGCCCGAGTTCCCATCCCCTGTTGTTTTATATAAGAATATTCGAGAAAGTTTAGGGGAGATCACTCCCGGTTTATTTTACGAGATTCTATTCTATTATAAAAAGTTTAAGTAATTAAAAATGGGTAACAAATATTGTCTATGTCCTGAGTTGCCATCCCTTTAATTTTATATTAGAATATTCGAGAAAGTTTAGGGGAGATCACTCCCGGTTTATTTACATAAAAAATGTAAAGTAAATTTACTTTTCTAACATTACAAGAACACAATTTTTACTACGGCTTCACCAGCTATACCCTTAGGTAAACGTAGTTCAACTATTTTGTTCTGCTATACACTTTGATAAAAAAATATTTTTTAAGTTATTATTTTCTTTGTCTAGAACCTACACCATCATTATCAGTCACTTGGAGGCTGGACGTTCGCCTTTGAAGATTATTATAACCTCAACGTGACCCTGTATTTGGACAGTCCGAATATGCCCTGGTTAAGGGCGGTCATTGACCCTTTAAGTAAGTCTGAATTGGCTGAACCTTAGGGTTAGGGTTAGATCTTTAAGTTTTTAAATTCTAACAAAATAGATAATGATAATACTTTTACGGTAATTTTTTTAAAAGTCTGAAGAAATCAAAAGAATAAACTGCCATTTTGATATGCACTTATATTTTTGTCTATCTATTTATATCACTATTTATTGTAGGATTATTTGTCATATATTTGCATATATTTATCTCACCAAGTTGTCCGTTTATGTCACAATTAAGTATACTTGCTTTAACCTTTTCATCTTACTGACTTATTATTTTAATTCTCTATCTCATCTATTTACCTCACCACCTCATTATTTTATCTCCCCACCTCACAGCTTACCTCATGAGGTACACCATGCCAAAGCTGATTGTGACAACTTCCGGTGACGAGTTCTTCCTACCCGACGACTCCTACTACTACTTCAACAAGATCCCTGACCCGAAATACTTGAGGTAACTCTTCCTCCTTCCCCTACTACTTCTGCTACTGCTACTACTACTTCAACAAGATTCCAGACCCAAAATACTTGAGGTAACTCCTCCTCCTCCTACACTACTACTACTATTACTACTGCTGCTGCTACTACTACTACTACTATTACTATTGCTACTACTACCACCACCACCACCACCACCACCACTACTACTACTACTACTACTACTACTACTACTACCACTACAAATGCTACTACTCTCTACTACTACGACAACTACTACTACTAATATTACAACTACTACTACTTCTACTACTACTACTACTACTGCCATTACTACTACAAGTTCCCTGATCCCAAATACTTGAGACGACATTACATTCAAACTCTTCTGTCATGCTCCAATGATCTCGGCATTCTTAAGCTATTTTTTAAATCTTAGGCTATTTTTACACCCCCAAAACGTAATAATATTTGAATTAAACGAATTATTTAAAATTATGTACGTAATTTTCAGGGTAATCCCCAACGCTGAGCACTCACTCAGTGGCCACTACCTCAGCTATCTGATGACCGTGCGGGGATTCTTCCTGAACATTCTGGAAAACGCCCAGTTCCCGAACGTGACCTGGGTTCGAACCAGCTCCTCCGTCAGCGGCAAGACGGTGGTGCAGACGTCTCGACCACCCAAAAACGTCACGGTGTATCACGCTACGACTCTGAGCGACGGCCGGTGGGTTAATGATTAATTAGTCAATTAGAGAGCCGGTTGCTCAAAGGTCAATTAGTCCAATAGACCGACGGTGGGTCAGAGGTGAATTTGTCCATCAGAGCAGTACATTTAACCTGACTGGATGCGTGGCTAGGTGCAGGGTTTCTTTCATACATTTCTCGGGGGGGGGGGGGTGATTTTAAAATATTTTTTGCTTTATTAATTTAATAATTTTTCTATATAGTCGAAGGGGGTGGGGTGGGGTGGGGTGGTGTGATGGGGACGTGCTCCTGGTGCCTGAAATAAATACCGGCCTGGCGGAGAGAAGGCACCGTTTTTATTAACGTATCTTTACACTGGGGGTGTAACGGATATATATATATATATATATATATATATATATATATATATACACACACAAGGAGTAGACACGCCTCTGGCTACTAGTGGGTAGTGATACACTACTTGTTTATTTAAATTGTGTCTTGTCTGTAATTTTGTATCCTACTTTTTCAGTTTTTGAAAAATCCCCCTATGAATCTATAAGCAATTAATAGATTTTTATTTACCATCTATTTTTAGCCGCGACTTTCGATTGGTTGTGAGAGATGCGAAGACTGGTGGGAAACTCCCCCATCCGGTGTTGTGGTACAGCACGACGGCCAAACAAAACTCCCCGACCGAATACGAGGCCGAGTTCATGAGACCCGTCAACGGCTGGACTGCCTTTTTTATTCAGGTCAGTGGGGCAACCAATGTGTTGATCCGCTTGAGTGAATATGGGTCACCAGACTGTCGTTTTAATACAGATTAGCAGAAAGAGTGTGTACTGAAAAAGTTCTGACCCCAAAACACGAACATTTTAGGCCTTGAGACCAGAATATACCATACTAAAATAGATTCCTATTTAGATATAGCGATCCATTGGGCAGATGAAGTAGAGTTTATATGTTTTTTTAACTTCGACATATGAAGGAATGGTCCTACAGTCGCAAATCCGAACCGAGATCCGAACTCGAAACCTTCGGGATGGCAGCCAACCGCTCTATAATTTGACCATTCCGTCCCATATACCATGCTTGGGTCCAAGAACCGAACTCAAGCTATTCAGGCTAATAGTAGTGGACTCTAACACACGACCACGTCTTTAACTAATGCATTAAGCACTTGTTTAACAGAAAGACTAAAATAATGTCGGTCACTAATACATGAAAAAAGTAAACACCGAAACGAAACCATTAGGCATTGACGCGTACAGATACCATCATTATTTTTTTACATTTAGTCCATTAGGAACACAGGGCCCGTGTCCAAGCTGTCCATTCCCCACGCTCTCCTGACAATCTGTACAGTTTTTCCCAAATCCTCCCCTACCATTTCAGCCTCCCCCCCTTCCCCCCCCCCCAGTGTTTCTTCCAGACTTTTTTCTCCGGGGGGGGGGGGGGCACTTGAAATCTTCGGGGGGGGGGGGGGCGGTAAACTTTCTTCGGGGGGCGGACACTGTTAAAAGTATATATTTTCTATATAAATTATATAAATTTCATTTCGTTCGGGGGGGGGGGGGGGAGGGGGGGGAGATGCCTGGAAGAAACTCTGCCCCCCCCCCCCCCCAGCACTTTACGTCGTCAGGTTTTCTTGTATGAAGACATGTAAAGATTTACAGCGGAAACATTCATAATTCAGCAAAAATATTTTAATATTTTGGTTCAGCGTGGTTTAAATGAGCTTCCTCGTTATTCGTGTCAGCTAATGAATTCTAATATATCCACAGCTACAGTTTGACGGTCTGTATGACTCAGACGTGTCAGCTAATGAATTCTAATGTATCCACAGCTACAGTTTGACGTGTCAGCTAATGAATTCTAATGTATCCACAGCTACAGTTTGACGTGTCAGCTAATGAATTCTAATGTATCCACAGCTACAGTTTGACGTGTCAGCTAATGAATTCTAATGTATCCACAGCTACAGTTTGACGTGTCAGCTAATGAATTCTAATATATCCACAGCTACAGTTTGACGTGTCAGCTAATGAATTCTAATATATCCACAGCTACAGTTTGACGTATCAGCTAATGAATTCTAATGTATCCACAGCTACAGTTTGACGAGTCAGCTAATGAATTCTAATGTATCCACAGCTACAGTTTGACGTGTCAGCTAATGAATTCTAATATATCGACAGCTACAGTTTGACGTGTCAGCTAATGAATTCTAATATATCCACAGCTACAGTTTGACGGTCTGTATGACTCGACATTGGACTTTACGACGGAAGTTAACGTTGTTCCCGACACTCTGCCGTTCCCGGATTGTTCCGGGGTTTCCTGCTTTGGCAAGTTGGTGTAGTTCCCCCCTCCCCTCACCCCAACTCTGGTGCTTTCCCCCTTGTTCTGCTGTCAGAGTTATCTGTGCATGAATCTGTTGTTGGTATTAAAATACAGTATTTAACAAAGGACATGGTGTTTGTGTTTTTGTTTTTGAAATAAGTCGACTCGGTGAGTGAATGGACATAGTGCATGGAAAAGTTTTGGCAATAATACATCTCATTCAACTTTTGTCACACATTATTTGTTACACAACACGTCACTTAAGATTTGCAATACAACAATGTCACAATACGTGTCACACATTACGTGTAACACAAAACGTGTCACAACACATTACGTGTCGCATTTCACTTTTCCCACACAAAAATCCCTGTATCAAAACCCCAGTCTACACCCTCGTCCCACTTTACTCACGTGAACAAGCACGCTCGGCTGAATCTAATTCATAACTGTTCCAGTCTATACAACAATCTAAGCAGAGGCGTAGCGACCCTTCCCGGCGCCCCGGAAAGAACTTTTCGATTTGCACCCCCCCCCCCTCGAGATTTCGATTTGCACCCCGCCCCCTGTAGATTGTAACTCAGTTGGGGCTTTAGTCTACCCAACAATCTCAACACAGATAGACTAAACGTCTCTAGACACTAACTCAGAGCTTAAATTCACAAAGAAGATACTCGTCAAAAAATTCCTAACCACCTGTTCTGAATAAAGGAAGAATTCAACAGTGAACTAATAGAGATGTTTACTCAAGCTTTTTCCGGGTTTATTACAACGAAATCAAAACAACACAAAAGTTTAGTAAAACAATATTTATGAAATCATGAAAGACTTTGGTGGATGGGGTGGGTGTTGTGGGGTGGGTAGTGAGGTAGTGGGGGTGGGGCAATGAGGGTGGGGCAATGGGGTGGAGTAATGAAAGACAGAAGTGATGCCTGTTTACACTAAAGACCCGTGGCACGCCTCGCCGGAGCAGTCAGAGTAGGGGAAGATGTCTGGCACTATGTTCATCTCTGTGGTGAACTCGAGGGTGGAACCTTTGACCCCTTCAAAGTGGAGCTGTGGGAGAGAAGGTCAGTGTCGGTGGTTAGTTGGGGGTGGGTACAGTTGGCAGCATGATTGTTTAGTGTGTGTATGTGTGTGTGGGTGTTTGTTTGTGCATCTGTGGTAGAGCTGGCTATATGATTGTTTAGTGTGTGTGTGTGTATATATGTGTGTGTGTGTGTATATGTGTGGATTTATGTGTCTATGGTAGAGCTGGCAATATGATTGTTAGTACTGGGGTACTGCAGTTGGAGGTTAGTGTGTGTGTTTTTTGTGTGCCTGCGTGTGTGTCTTTGCGTTTGTGTGAATATATGTATGCATGTGTGTTTGTGTGTCTGTGGTAGAGCTGGCAATACTAGAGTTAGTTGTGGGGTACTGCAATTAGCATGTGTGTGTGTGAGTTTTTCTGTGTGTGTGTTTATTTGTGTGTGTTTAGTATATTTAACTTAAAGTATTTGAATGTAAAAATTCATCCAAGGTTCACATATTATACACGCATTTCTTATGATGATATATGGATGACAATGAAAATATGACAGGATGTTTAGTTGCGACTGGTGCGATTACTCTAATGATGCAGTACACGTCCTGTTGACTCACCTGTATGAAGAAGGCTGCCCAGCCCACCTGAGGCTTGGTGCCATTACTCTAACGATGCAGTACATGTCGACTCACCTGTATGAAGAAGGCTGCTCAGCCCATCTGAGGCTTGGTGCCATTACTCTAACGATGCAGTACACGTCCTGACGACTCACCTGTATGAAGAAGGCAGCCCAGCCCACCTGAGGCTTGGTGCCATTACTCTAATGATGCAGTACACGTCCAGTCGACTCACCTGTATGAAGAAGGCTGCCCAGCCCACCTGAGGCTTGGTGCCATTACTCTAAAGATGCAGTACACGTCCAGTCGACTCACCTGTATGAAGAAGGCAGCCCAGCCCACCTGAGGCCTGGTGCCATTACTCTAAAGATGCAGTACACGTCCAGTCGACTCACCTGTATGAAGAAGGCAGCCCAGCCCACCTGAGGCCTGGTGCCATTACTCTAATGATGCAGTACACGTCCAGTTGACTCACCTGTATGAAGAAGGCAGCCCAGCCCACCTGAGGCTTGGTGCCATTACTCTAATGATGCAGTACACGTCGACTCACCTGTATGAAGAAGGCTGCCCAGCCCACCTGAGGCCTGGTGCCATTACTCTAATGATGCAGTACACGTCCAGTTGACTCACCTGTATGAAGAAGGCTGCCCAGCCCACCTGTGGCTTGAGGACCTCGCCGATGTAGTGGGTGGGGGAGACTTGGGTGGCCGAGCGGCTGAACCACAGGACAGGGTGGACCAGGGCCTTGCCTGTGTTCGGGTCGGCGATGACCAGGCGGAAGTCACGTCTGAAACATGGACACGGGTCAGATAGACACGGGTCAGATAGACACGGGTCAGATAGACACGGGTCAGATGGACACGGGTCAGGTAGACACGGGTCAGATAGACACGGGTCAGATGGACACGGGTCAGGTAGACACGGGTCAGATAGACACGGGTCAGATAGACACGGGTCAGATAGACACGGGTCAGATAGACACGGGTCAGATAGACACGGGTCAGGTAGACACGGGTCAGATGGACACGGGTCAGATAGACACGGGTCAGATAGACACGGGTCAGATAGACACGGGTCAGATAGACACGGGTCAGATAGACACGGGTCAGGTAGACACGGGTCAGATAGACACGGGTCAGATAGACACGGGTCAGATAGACACGGGTCAGATATACACGGGTCAGATAGACACGGGTCAGATAGACACGGGTCAGATAGACACGGGTCAGGTAGACACGGGTCAGATAGACACGGGTCAGATAGACACGGGTCAGATAGACACGGGTCAGATAGACACGTGTCAGATGGACACGGGTCAGATGGACACGGGTCAGATTAGACACGGGTGGATAGACACGGGTCAGATAGACACGGGTCAGATGGACACGGGTCAGATAGACACGGGTCAGATAGACACGGGTCAGATAGACACGGGTCAGATAGACACGGGTCAGATAGACACGGGTCAGATAGACACGGGTCAGATAGACACGGGTCAGATAGAAACAGATAATATGGACATGGGGCAAGATAAACGCGGGCCACGTATACACGGGTCCAACAAACACGGACCACATAGACCAGATAGACACAGATCACATGGACAAAGACCACACAGAGTCAAGAACACAGATCATTTGGACACGGCCAGGTATACAAAGACCACATAGACACAGATCACATAAACTCAGACCACACGCTAATGTTAAACAGAGATATAGAGCATATGGACAAAATCACATAGAAATAAATAGCATAGGGCCGAGTATATCATATTTTACTTTCAAAGCTACCAACATGCTTTCCACTCTTTCAGTTCCGTGTAACTATAATCGTTAATACACACTGTTGTACCCATGAGCTATAGGGGAACTGACCTTTTGCTATAGGGGAACTGACCTTTTGCTATAGGGGAACTGACCTTTTGCTATAGGGGAACTGACCTTTTGCTATGAGGGAACTGACCTTTTGCCATGGGCTATAGGGGAACTGACCTTTTGCTATAGGGGAACTGACCTTTTGCCATGGGCTATAGGGGAACTGACCTTTTGCCATGGGCTATAGGGGAACTGACCTTTTGCTATAGGGGAACTGACCTTTTGCTATAGGGGACTTGACCTTTTGCTATAGGGACACTGACCTTTTGCCATCCAAGGTCTTGGCGTGAAAGACGGTGACCTGCGTGGGAGGGACGGAGGTGTGGACCTCGATGGAGCCAGCCGTAGAGTTCTGGCTGAGGGTCCAGTTGACCGCTGGGTAGGGCACGTTCTCCACGATGTTCAGGAAAAACGCCTGCATGGCCAGGACTGTGCTCAGGAAGTGACCAATCAGGGAGTGTTCGGCGTTTGGTGTAATCCTGGGGGCACAGTAGACAAGTTCACACTTTAAAAACTATCGTTCATTCTTCTAATTCTCATCCAAATATCGAATTATCATGGTATCGAATTATCATCTAATACCAAATTATATACCAACTCTGATGGGTACCTAACTCACGTTAGGGAAAGTAAAGGCGGCTGGGCATAGTGCTGACCACACTATCTGTTCATATGCCGAGGTCACAGAAACAAGTGAACTCTACTTCACTTACCCCATAGACCGTCAGGTTTGAAAGGGAAACTTTAACTTTTAACCGAATTATCCTCCTAGTATCTAAATATCAAATAGAGAATGTTTGCCAAAACGTCATTTGCCTCAAATTGGTTAGGAAAAAAATTGTTTTTCTTCTCTATTTTTTTAATAATAAAAATAATAGATAGTTTTTTATTTAACTATTTAATTTTTTAAAAGTTTGGGAATGGTTAATTGACAGGTAGGAGGGAGGAAGATGTTTTTACCTGAGGTACTTGGGTCCAATAAGTTGATCAAAGTAATAGTGTGAGTCGTCAGGTAGGAAAAACTCGTCACCTGAGGTACTGACGATCATCTTAGGGAAGGTGTACCTGTCTTTGTAGGCTGTGGACAGGTGGGGGAGATTTATAGCTGGCAGTTAGTGCACTCTCACCTGGTGGGTTTCATAAGTCTAGACAACGGCAAGGTCTTTGATTAGTGTTGAGTTACTGAAATGGCCAATAACTGCGGGTGCTACGCTGATACATGACCATGTCAAACTAAACTTTGTTGTAAGCAAGGCGCTTCATTGGTTCAGGCTATGCGTATAACGTTATAGCCGTTGGGTATGGCGTGGTAGGATGGTTGAGCACACGACTGCTAACCTGAAAGTCTCGAGTTCGGATCCCGGACGTGAGTCCAAGCAGCTCTGATGGGAACTATCCCCCTCTATGCTGATGGGTACTTGACTCATGTAAGGGTAATTAAGGCGACCGGGGTTAGTGATGAGTAGGCCTACACTATTTCCCTGTAAGCTGAGGTCATTGAAACAGATGAGCTCTACTTCATCTGCCTCATGTCTCTCAAGCAAGAAAAGAGGATGAGCTACAGATGATGTTGCTATAGAATCTCGTACCAACTGTGTTGAGATGGGAACCTTTGTACCAGTTAGATGGTCTTTAGAATCTCGTACCAACTGTGTTGGGATGTGAACGTTTACTCACTGAGTGGATCGATGACTGCCAGCATCTTGGGCATGTTGGGTGAGTCCAGGTCACGTGTCACGTTCAGGGTGTAGTAGTCACCAAAAGCAAACGTCCACCCTCCCAGGGAGCGGTAGTGGTGGTGGAGGTTCTAGGGAATTCAAAGATTGGAGGATGACACCACAGCAATCAATTTATACTTGACAATTAACAACCTTTTCGACTATTGCTACAAGTTAGTGAACACCGAAGGAACATAAATAAAAAATAAATAAATATGAATAAACACTGAGGAAATGTGAATGAACGCTAAATAAATGTGAATACAATTTGTAAAAGCATTTAGGTGGCACCATATTGCTGTTGGTGATCTAGCAATCAAAAGTCTAATCTAAAGGAAGGCAACTTTTGTAGGGAATGCTGTCATTGGTTATCGTCCCTACCTTCTGTGTGTTGAGCAAGTCCATGACGACTGGCACCATGCCGACAACTCTCTTGTCCACGGCAGCGGTCGTCCATGTGGTCCAGCCTCGCTATAATAAAATTAATTTGAAATTAATGTCAACCCCTCGACAACCAGACGTCCCTTTGGTGAAATGTGTAACCAATACCATTAAAGTATCTTTCAGGCGTCTCTTCCTGAACAAAATATAATTTAATCACCACTCCCAGCGAAGCTTTCGAAACACCACAATTATTTTAAAAATCACTGCCTTTTGATTGCACTAATGAAAGTAAAATTGCTCAATACATTTATTAACAACGATTTTACTATTTTCAATTAATTAACTCTTAAGTAGCTCGATCAAAACGAAATGACCTGACACATATTACTGCCTTACTTAACGCCCAGTATCCCATTCACCCAAAGCTTACCTTAGAGGCCCCGCCCCGGCCAAAACGAAATGACCTTACTTAAGAAATTACCTGACATATTATGCCCAGTATCCCATTCACCCAAAACTTACCTTAGAGGCCCCGCCCACTACGTACTTGGTAAGGTCCACTCCAGCTTCGATCTTGGAGTAACTGGCCATGGTATCAAACCCTCGGACGACAGCCTGTGGGTAGGGGTGGTAGTTTAGATTGGGTATTCACACATCATACTGTGTGCGTTAATGATACACTTATCTAGTTAGGGTTAGGGTTAATGTTCATAAATGTGACTTGTCTAGGCCACTTGATATGTGCTGTAGACTTTGACCGTCTACTTGAAATGAACCCAGTATTCTTAAAGTCATCTCATTAGATTTGTACTGTGGGCTTTAAAGTCATATCACGTGACTTGTGCTGTAGACTGTAGACTTTACGCGCCAACTTCCATTACGTCGTATCACTACCTGGTCGGCCCGTCATGTTTGCTGTAGTCTACTTGATAACAATAATGTCCAATGAAATACAAAGCAATGGGTTGCCTCCCTGTTCAGGGGACACAACTCAAACTTCCTTGTTTATCGCCCTTTATTTGGACACGAAAACACAAAATCACGTGATCCAGTGAATATACATTGACATTTAGTCACCCAGAAAAACATACGTATTGACTTGAAATTTACGGTCGACAGACGTGGTAAATTGCGACGGAGAAATAAATCCGAAGGAAATGCACGCTGTAGATTCTTGAATAAGGTTAGAAATATATATTTTTAAGGAAATGGAATTAGTTATGAACAGGAACTAATATGTCCTGTAATGATGTGAACTGCAGATGCACATAAGGTGATGTTTAAATAATTTTACCAACAAATGGGACAAGGTCTGATTGAGTGGCCATCTTAGTCGTAGGTGTTATGAGTACTTAGCCGTAGGTGTCAATGGTGCTTACTTTAGACGTAGGTGTAATGGGTGCTTACCTTAGTCATAGGTAAACGAAGGAGTACTTCCGGGTTAGATCCGTTGGCCAGAAAAGTTTTCCACGTCCAAGCGATGACCGCATCCTCGGATCTACTTTTTTTAGTGGGGTCAGCCTGGGAGAGAGGATAGGTGGACACATTGTAAGATGTTTTAGTAGATACATCATGGGATGATTGGTGAACAAATCATGGGATGTTTGGTGGACATATCATGTGATATTTTGGTGGACACATCATGTGATATTTTGGTGGATACATCATGGGATGTTTGGCGGACACATCACGGGATGTTTTGGTAGATACATCATGGGATGTTTGGTGGACACATCATGTGATATTTTGGTGAACACATCATGTGATATTTTGGTGGATACATCATGGGATGTTTGGTGGACACATCATGGGAGGTTTTGGTAGATACATCATGGGATGTTTGGTGGACACATCATGGGAGGTTTTGGTAGATACATCATGGGATGTTTGGTGGACACATCATGTGATGTTTTGGTAGATACATGTGATGTTTGGTGGACACATCATGGGATATTTTGGTGGACACATCATGTGATGTTTTGGTAGATACATCATGAGATGTTTGTTGGACACATTATGTGATGTTTTGGTAGATACATGTGATGTTTGGTGGACACATCATGGGATGTTTTGGTAGATACATCATGGGATGTTTGTTGGACACATTATGTGATGTTTTGGTAGATACATGTGATGTTTGGTGGACACATCATGGGATGTTTTGGTGGATACATCATGGGATATTTGGTGGACACATCATGTGATGTTTGGTGGACACATCATGGGATGTTTTGGTAGATACATCATGGGATATTTGGTGGACACATCATGTGATGTTTGGTGGATACATCATGTGATGTTTTGGTGGATACATGTGATGTTTGGTGGACACATCATGGGATGTTTTGGTGGACACATCATGTGATGTTTTGGTAGATACATCATGAGATGTTTTGGTGGACACATGTGATGTTTTGGTGGACACATCATGTGATGTTTTGGTAGATACATCATGTGATGTTTTGGTGGATACATGTGATGCTTGGTGGACACATCATGGGATGTTTTGGTGGACACATCATGTGATGTTTGGTGGACACATCATGTGATGTTTGGTGGACACATGTGATGTTTGGTGGACACATGTGATGTTTGGTGGACACATCATGGGATGTTTTGGTAGATACATCATGGGATGTTTGGTGGACATATCATGTGATGTTTTGGTGGACACATGTGATGTTTGGTGGACACAGCATGGGATGTTTTGGTAGATACATCATGGGATGTTTGGTGGACACATCATGGGATGTTTTGGTGGACACATCATGGGATGTTCTACATATTTCATCGTTTAAGATCTTGTGATGTGTAAACATATCGAAACATCAAAAAGTTGTATTAATCGGGTGATGGATTAGCTTATTATACAGTTAAACAACTTGTGTGCTCTACTAAATTAATATAAGTGGCGGATTTTCTCAGTAGTTGCTCTGAGATTAATAGTAGTAAATTAAGGTCTAACTGTAGGTTTACAACAATGATGTTTACAATCTTGATATGTTTATAGTATTGATAGTTTTACAGCATAGGTGTACTCACAAAGAAGGTGATTGGCTGGTTGGGTATTTGTTTGATGGTGGCAGCAATGGCGCCGGTAGCCACAGAGAAGGCTGTGATTCCAGCCACAAACTCGTCTTTCTCTGTTGGTATACTGGAGGGGGATAGAAACAAGTCATTTTATGGTAGGGGTGGGTATGACGTCTTTCTCTGTTGGTATACTGGAGGGAGGGGGGGGAATAGACAAGTCATTTTATGGTAGGGGTGGGTGTGACGTCTTTCTCTGTTGGTATACTGGAGGGGGATAGAAATGGTGACATGTTATGGTGGGGGTGGGTGTTACGGGTCATTTGGAGGTTATGTCGTTAGAACAGGGTAGAGTGGTGTAGATAGTGCGTATGTGAGATGGGTTAACACAATGCATTTATGTATTGTTGTCCCAATGTTGAATGCAGGTGTAAAAGGTGTATGAACGATTGTGATGGGGTTGTATCTGTTTAGGTGGTTGAGGTTGTGGCCAGCTTATGTAGCCGGACATGAGAATAAAAGGAGTAAAGACACTGTGATGCACGGTGTTGACGTTATTCAACTCGACTTTAAAAAAACGCTGGCCAGTGTAAACAAGAGAGTGAAAGACAACTGAAACATCTGGATCTCGGACAGTCACCCAGAATGTTGAAGTCGTCTTTCATTCTCTTGTTCTACCATATTCTACCATATTCTAGCTAAGCTCCTAATGACCCTTAACAGTGGGTTAGAGGAGGGATATTTTTCTTGCAAGTGGCATGTCAAAAATCAACTTTCGGTTTGAGAGGCCAGTTGTTGGAAAACTTAATTGAGAAGATGAATAATTATTAAGGTAAAATGTCTTAGTAAACAGTGTGACTTCAAAGGGACATAACCACACAACTTACCCATCATTGTTACCTCCCCCATCAATCCATAAGAACGCCGTGTCCCTGTAGACTGTAGACTGACTTCAAAGGGACATAACCACACAACTTACCCATCATTGTTACCTCCCCCGTCAATCCATAAGAACGCCGTGTCCCTGTACACGATGTCCTTGGGGATGATGACACTCAGGTAGTGCCACCATATCGGCCTTGTGAGTACCTGCTCTGATAGGTGGAAGGTGGGCGTGAGTAGACAGAAAGAGAATAAATTGGGCCTAATAAATAAACAAATGTATTTCAAATCAGGTATTTTTTTTTAATTTGGTGAAGTGGCTGCAATACGCCATGTTATGCAGGTTATGCGTTTTTTGTTGTTGTTGTTTTTTTTTAAATATAATTTGTAACGTCGTCCTATATATAACGACAGAGCGAGTGGGTTTTTTTTAAATAATCAGGAACAACGTCAAAAAAAAAAAAATTAGGAGCCAGCATAAGCTAACACAAAAGTGAGAGGCTACCGGGCTAGTGATGGACTACTAGCCAATGGACAGTTTACCATTCGTTAAGGTTGATAATATGTTGGTTTAATTGTAATTTAAGCTTATTGCTTTAAAATGGAGCGTGCTTTAGAAAAAAAGTTCAATTCTTTTGATAGTTTAAAAGATTCTTTTAGTCAACAATTGACGTACACACCAAACGTGTAATATTTTATTCTTTGCTATCTTACCTGTCAGCCATTTCTGTGACGTCATGTTGAGAATGTGGAGCGAGTAGTTAGGCCCGTCAATTTTCTTGAGAAAACGGTACGTGTAGTGGGGGTCAAATGTGTTGACATAATCATCCAGAGGCGTGGCTGATGTGGCCAGCACAATGGCCGCCACTACAAGAAGAGATGCCAGCTTCATCTCTCTGTGGGAGAAAGTAAAGTTTATGTAGGGAGAAAGTAAAGTTTTGAAATGTGGGGAGAAAATAAAGTCTTGAAACGTGGGCCGCAAGTAAAGTTTTGAAATGTGGGGAGAAAGTGAAGTTTTAAAAGTAAGGACAAAGTGAAGTTTTTATGTAAAGATTCCATCCAATTACTTTCTACCTTTATCGAGATGAGTAAATTAATTGTGGAGCAGGAAAGTAGAGAAGGTAAGTGGAGATGCATAGGGCACACTATAAGAAAGACAATTGTGTGCGGCACCCGATTTAAGTGTGTTGGGTGTCAGATGTCGAATTTCAGTTTTGACCTAATTATTAAAGTATATCCATTTCTGAATACAAAACCACATAACATATTGTTGGAAAATGCTTATTTTTATTTTTATTTTATTTTGAAAGACTAGTGTTACCCTACATAGTAGAGAGTCTGCAATCATTTTCACTCTAGCCACCTCTATGTAAGAGTTCAATAGTGGCCTTCATTGCGCTTGTGTAAAGAGTGTTTAGCACAACCACAAATGATTCGTCAAGTTGTTGCTATACGTCAAGTTATGCATGTTGATAAAATAGGCTATCATTTTAAAAAATAAATAAAATTTGGAGTTTGATATAAAGAAAAGGTGGGACGGCGTGACCTAGCGGTAGAGAACTAGACTGCTAACCCGAAAATCTCGAATCCGGGTTCAAGTCAGTAGAACGTCCCTGAGGCCACCCAGCCATGATGGGTACCTAACTCACGCTAGGGAAAACTAAGGCGGCTGGGTATAGTTCTGACCACACTATCCCTTCATATGACGAGGTTTCTGAAACAGATGAACTCTACTTCACCAGCCCCATGTGTCTTGGTCACGAACGGCAAAAGATGAGGAAATTGAGAAAAGACAAGAAATCTATTAGACCACTAGGATATTTTCAGGCTTATTGGCTTCAATAATTATGTAAATTAATAAATTTGAATTCCTAAACCTTTTAAGTGTTTGTCAAGAAACAAATATTTGCTTCTCTTCTTATGTAGATAAATAAACCGACAATTTAAAAAAACACATACCTGCTGAAGATACTGATCACAATGTATAGACGTATCTGAAGATAATGGACACGCCTCCTTTAAGCTTCAAAGGCAGCTGACAAACGATATGACTTTTTTTTTACTGCGAACCTTGACTTATAACGTGACGATTAGATCTCAGATAACAATACAACGAGCAACCACTTCAAGTAAAAACTTTAATCTGTCCCCTCCTGCCTACAATATATAGCACAAACTGTTTACACTTAATATCCTTCCTCTTGAGTGGGGCCAAGTTGGGGAAATAAATAAAGTATTTCATATTTGTCCACGACCTCTCAACCATTTCCTCATAGAAAGCCTGCATACAAGAGAGCGCTTTAGAAATACTAAATGATAAAGTCCTATTTCAGGGTTGAATGGAGAATATTTAATGTAAATACAGTTCCAACCGTTGGAGAGTGTTTTACAAAACAAAACACGTTATTGGTAATTTTTCTACTCTTAATTATAGTGAACATTGCCATAGATTTATTAAGCGAACATCACACATATTTTTAAAAAAAATCTGAACAGAAGATAAACTTTAATTTGCAAGCAACAAAACATCTCACTCTAAAGGGGTGATGCGTATGCTAGATCGGGTGACGGTGACTCATGGTGTCATCCTCAACAAGTGGATTTTGTTTCGGTGTACCCCCTCCCCCCATCCATTTTTATCTCACCGCGTGGCACTACTACTACGAGGCATATTTTAATTTTTTTTTATGTTATGCCTTTTGGCGAACCTTATGTTTGTGTGCATGTATGTCTCCCTTCTTGAAAGATCTTTCAGCGTTCTGTGACGGGGGACATAAGAATGTAGCAAAAGTTCTGGTACTCATGTAGTCCCCAAGTGCATATACTTCCCTATGCAATGTTAGATTGTTACCTCACTGGTTTTAATATGTAACCTACTTCAGTTTGTAATCATGGGATTGAACCTTGTTTTTGTTCGTTTTTTTTTTTAAATTATTATTGACAATTTGACACTGTAAAAAAAGTTGGTTGTAAATTAATACATTTTAAAGGTAGTATTATGCTTCATATTTGTAAAGGTAGTATTAAGCTCCATATTTGTAAAGCTAGTATTAACTTCTTTTGTGGGTAAGAAAGACGTCTCACAAATCTAGACAGCAACATAATTTTCTTTCTTTTATATTTACGTCTGCTTAGGAAAGCTTGATATTTATTGATAGGTCTGCACTTGAGAATTTCCACCAATGGATTATATGGATAGCCAGTTTTTTATACAACTATTCAGATCAACAACCCGGATGTACATTATCCAGGACCTGTTCTGCAGTAGACGGAAGAGATAAATAATAAAAAAAAACATGCCAAGGGAGATAACTACTGATTTACTATTATAAACCTAAGTATGTTATATGCTACCTCCCCTGAAAATATCGAGCAGGAATTACCAAGACATAAGAACCAAAGTGTCAGTATTGAAAAACAAAGCACACTAGTTATTGTTGAAGGGGTAAAAAACGCGTCTCCACACCTATTCTCTTCTATCCCTCCATATATATTACTACACATTTATATAATGATTTCATGAAATTCAAGATCTGGAAATCAAGGAAACTTTTACTTTTAACCTGTTTAGTCTGAACAAATGACATTAAAATTAAGCTAGCCAGTGAGTATACTGTAACAAGCATAAGTATGAATGATGGCAGTTGTTCATCTGAGCCTTCGTTCAGTGGCAGATATTTCTGTTTGCTTACACGTACTAAAAAACTATACTGCCAAAATGCTGAGTAAAATGTTTTCCCACAAATTTCAAAATGAAGGTTTATATTTCAGAACATAACCAGAGTTGAGGAAATTGAGGCTGTTTGAGAATTTCAAAAGCTTTTCTGAAAGGCACATATATTTAAAAGTATATTTTATTCCTTTTTTTTAGCTAATCTTATTTTTACTGTCATTCAAAAATGTTAACAATAGAAACACTTCTAGTACCACAAGAAAAAGACTAACTACCTTGAATTTTTGTGTGCATCACATATTGTTCTTGAAATATCAAGTACTCAGACCTGCGAGTACTAATTCCATACATAAATGTGTTCCCAATAATTTTTAAACGAGTATTTGTTTTTAAAATATTTAACAGCAGTATGCCAATTTGAACCAAATGACAAGACAGTTGTAGTAAGTAATCAAGAATTTATTGTTCCCCAAAAACATCTATGTTATCCATAATGTGACAAAAATAGCTGCATGCACCAGACAAGTTATATACAATTAGGAAGCTGATCACAGCTCTCTCTGCTATCTAAGTAGTGATGTAGCTATTTTAGAAACGGATAGTTTTCATTAGGCCTGACACACAAGAAAAACCACATCTATCATAGTCCGTTTTGAGATAAACATACAAGTATTACATACAATTTGTTGATTAGTCATATATTTGATTCAAGCAATAATTGGTCCCAAACAATCATATCAACTAGACTTGTTCAGCTTTTTAAAGCTTAGTATTTGTTACATTATATCAGAATTGTTCAGTCACATATACTGCATGTTGAAATCAAGGTAAACAATGAAATTATATATATAAACATATCAATGTAATTCTTATTTCCATGGACAATATTTGTGAAAAGGTTGTAATAAAGTATGCCAATGATAACTGCTTCTTTCATTCCCATATCTACTGTTGTAAAGCTACAGAGAGCATGCACCAAGAACTAGCAAACCTGTGACAACAGAAAGACAATAAAAATATATTTTTTTAAACTACATAGAAACATTCATTACTGTAGCATAGAAGCAAGCATCAATAGAACAAATAAAAAAAATATAGATTCATCCACTCTGGTATACAGATCACTCCAAAAAATATTTACAAGTAGGGAAAAATGTTGATAAGCTTTCACTCTTATGTTACAGTTTGTACACTAGCTCTTGATGAGGAAAAGAATTGAATGATGAGGTTTGCAAACAGTTGAAGAGACCAGAACAATTAGTGCAAGCTGAGCATATTGGGACAGCAGCCTAGGGAGGGGGGAGATGATGGGCACACATACACACAGCCACCATAGTAAAGCCAGCTAAGATATCTAACATGGCAAAGAAAATTAAGTGTGCAGAAATTAATCACAAGAAAAAAAATCACTTTTTAGCAAAATACTGTAAACCCTTTAGAGTACAAGTCAAAGGAAACACTTCAAACAGCAATTCTTATCCTTCACTTATCCCATGTTATAAAAAAAATGTATCTGATATTCCTTTAATCTCAACTAGGTATTATGCTAGATTATTAAATATATTAGTTGAAAAGTTTACATTTGCTTGGTGGTATATTGCTGACATTAAAAATGGTGTAACACAAAGTTGTTGGAGCAGTAAGTGAATACACCATGAACTAAATGACCCCACTACATAACCATCTTGGTATCTTTTGCTTTCAATTATGCTTTTTAAAAAAGAGTCCTAAAGAAATACTGAAAAAAGTGTATGGCGTCCCTCCACTTCAGCACCAAACATAGCTGCTACAACCAGGAAATTCTTCCATCCTTAAGGTCTGTAGTCTAAGTTGTTCCTTCATGCACAAAAGGGCGGATGTGGATTAGGCTTTCATTTTTTATCATAACCTACCTATAATCAAAAAGCAATAAAAGAATAATTAAAACATCACATTTTTTTTAAACAGCATTAAGTTGATTTATTACTAATTTTTATAAATACTTTCAGAATATTTGTGAAAATTACAAAAGAAATAAAAATAATAGTGGAGAAAAAACAGAACAAAATTATTATAAGAATTTGAACTAATTAAAAAAAATTTAGTTAATATTACTGGAAGAAATTTTAAATAACTAAGTGATTGCAAGAGTCAATAAAAAAAAGATGTGCCCACGTGTTTAGATGATCCAGAGCGCTGAACATCCTCTCTAGATCCACTCTCTCGTCTACCAACTATACCTGGAGCAAGACCTGATATTATGCTGCCTTGCTGAGCTTGACCCATGGTCATGCGTGAAGCTTCTCTCTGCATCTCTGTACTTGTAGGAATACCTCGATGAAGTCTGGTGCTGGTGCGGCGTTCTCTTTCTCTGGATATTGGTCTGGGTGAAGCATCTGTAAATTTTTTCAGCAAACAATAAATATTCATGCATTGAGAACATAATTGCGAGCACTGACTGCTTTTATTCCTAACCCTGACAATAACAAAGTTGAAAGAATAAGAATGTACCACAGACAGGAAGTCCTGAATTAGACTGGTACAAGAAAAGAAACGAGATGAAAGATTTCTGCTCAAGAAATAGAAAGAAAGAAATAGTTTGCAAACATACTGATAGAAGATACCAATACAGGGCAAGTTTGTTTGTTGATTTTATTGTTGTTGACCAATATCACAACATTAGACATGTACATCTCTAAGCACACATCAAACATATGCCAAATGTAACTGTATATACAAATGTGCAACAGCAATAATAGTGATTTACTAAAAGTAGCTCTACTATACCATTCTCTTGGAAATAATAGAATCTATAGTATATATGATAATACACACTTTAAAAATGAGCTTTCAACAAAGAAAAAAAATATATTGTACTGTATTTTAGTGATTAATAAAACCATGTTTGAAGCTTAGTAGGCACACCTAGAAGTTGTATTTAAAATTTACAAAAAATAATAAACTTGAAATATAACAACCATGCAAAATGGATATTTTCAAAAAGTTAATGTACAAATAGAAAAAGTAACAGAAAACAATTGACTGTTCTGCATCAATAGATGTGGTGTGGGTTGTGTAACTGATCCAAGAGGGTGACATTCTCAAGTTAAATGATTTCATCCTATGATAAATAAATCCACTACATACACCTTGTTGCACACGACTCCAAATTTTAATTTATCAAATTAGGCTGGTTTATGAATTCAGAAAATTGTGGATATCCCTCATTATGTGATTACAGCTCACAAATACATCATTTAAAAAAACTATGAACATGTTTCTGTGATCAAGGTGAAAGATGTGTGAATGCCACGAACTCAATGAATAAAGCCTAGAGAGTACAATAAGCCCACAAAGCAGGGAAATTAACAGGTTGTGCTGCAGGATCAACAGTAAGGGGAATAAAATGGCTGAATAACCTGAAAAAGATGGCCCAAAGAAGTTTACTGAATTGACAATTGTCAGCGGATATTACAATATAACATACCAGACAAGCCATCCTTGCTATTTTTACTTTCCATACAAACTTTTAGGGAAATTACTTCAATATTAATTCTAAATAACTCCCTTGCCACTTACTTATAAAATAATAGGGTAAGAGGTTAACAATGATCAAGCTTCTAGTCTAGTAACTAAATCCATAGTTGGCACCACATTGGGATCATTCATTAAATGTCAGATACCATTTTATTTCACTTCTACAGGCTTGCTTGTACAACAATAATTGATAAGATTGGTAACTATTACACATCAGCTAAGTATAAGCATTAAATATACAGCTATAATATTATCAATCAACTTAAAACTTATGTCTGGAATAATTGAAACAATGAAAGCACTTGTATAATTATGCTTTCTGTTAATGAGTAAAACATCTTTAACTATAACATAAGAAACTGGCTCTCCTAAACTAAGTTTGAATGTTCAAAACGCAGCGCTAACTGTAAAATACATTTTAAAATTTTTATTTCTTCTTTGAACACGTACTTTATTTTAAATAAACTGATGAAGCTCAATACTTTTTTGTTTATTAAGAAACAATGAAATAAGTTTTCAGAGAAATGTTTTAGCATCATGGTGAATCTAACAACTATTTTTTCAGGTATATCTTATCTAGTAAATTAGAATTAAAGACATCTGCAGAACAACATAAATGTAAACAACAGCACATTTAAGTTTTCACAATCCATAGTATTAGTCCCTTAAAATAGATTAGGCAGTGCTCGATTGACAAATTTTGCAATTGTAAAAACTACTTCTGTTAATTCATTTTTACTTTCTCGTATATACGAAGTATAGAGAAAGTCTTGTAATCGTGCAAAAAAAAAAAATCGAGATTTTTTGCAAATCTCGACGTTTTGCATCTCACTGATACGGAAAAACATAATTTTGCAATCTTGTCCGTATGTCTGTGTGTGTGTCAGTGTGTAAACACAATAACTTGAGTACCGTTACAGCTAGGTTGATGAAATTTCATATACAAGTATTTAATCAAAATCGTAGATCCGTATCAACTTTTGAGCGATTTCCGATAACCGGAAGTGGCACTTTTCCTACTTTGAATTTTTCAAAAGCCTATAACTTGAGTACTATTTCAGATAGATAAATGAAATTTCATACGTAAGTAAAAGATCTAATTCTCTACCTTCTATTAAATTTTGAGTCATTTCCGTTGACTGGAAGTAGTACTTTACGCTACTTCCGATTTCTCAAAAAACTAATGTAAATTTTAAAAGTAATAATAATATTGCGCACTAGTATGCGCTTTTTTATTTCGCGTTCACTTGGTGTGCAATTAATTTGTCTACGAGATTTTATTCTATTTTTAAAACTTTAGTATTTAACATGGATTAAAAATCATGTCTATAGCCCGAGTTCCCATCCCCTGTTATTTTATATAAGAATATTCGAGAAAGTTTAGGGGAGATCACTCCCGGTTTATTTATTAAGAAAATTCAAATGTATGATGAAAGGTCTAGACAATATGTAAAAATTTTAATGTATTACCTATATAATTAAATATTTCCAAATATAACATTTGAGCAAAATATGGACATAGAAACTGAGCTGATAAATGAAATACATTATGAGAAAAGTTTGATAAAAAAGTCTTTTATGGCTAAATATTTGTTTTAAAACTATTTATGCGTAAGATTAAGGTGACATTAAAAAACTACACTAACTCTAACAATGTTCATGTGTTAAATTTTACGATTACTAAGCACAGTATGGAAACAAAGTCTTACGGTTAAAATAACTGGGTTAAAATAACTGGATTTGCGCTGAACACTATTTACAGAACGGAAAGTCAGTAAGCTTGTAGTACTTGAACCTTGAACTTCAATTTGAAATCATAGTAAGCCATAAGAAAATACTCAAGATTGGCAATATTTGCCCCTATGAAGTGATATCACAGCTGAACTAAATGGGGAAAAGTTTCACTTACTAGAACTTATTAAATATTTGGTATAAATTTCAGAGAAACATTCAAGTAGTTTTAACATGCAAAAACAAATATTAAATCAATATTTGTAATAAAAAAACTGTCAGTTAAAATATAACATAATCAACTTATTTACAATGAATATAATCAATATTTACAACCAAAAGCAACTCACCATGATATAATATATATATACATAATCTGTTTTTAAAATAAAAAAGTAACAATGGCTGTGAATGATTCAAGTAACTTAAGTAGCAATGACTTGGGGTGGACTATTTGGCTGTGAGATGGTACAGTGGTAAATTAAAACCTTGTCAAATTAGTCTAACCACCCTTGTCAGGACTCAAGATAGTGAGACTGGTGCACTAGAGAATCTCAGAAGTTCTAGCCTAACCTCCCCAGACTAAGCTTTTTCTCTATTTGAATATTCCTGCATAAAAGAAGAGACTGCTAAAACTAAAGGCAGAGAATGTTAATGCAACAGAAAAAAAAAAACCCCCACACCAAACATTGGACTTTATTACCCGGACAAAAAAGGATCATTTTGAGGACCATTTTCAACAAGTTTTGATGGAAACAGCAGCTTTTATCTTACTGGTTAATTATGTTGAAGAGAACTGTTATGCAACTTTTCTTTTTACTACAGCAGACTATATATCTTGCAAGGTTATTGTGTTTTATCATTTTAATTTAAAAAATAAACATTCAATGAAACCATAAAATCCTAAAATAAAATGCAAAAATACAAATGATTAACAATTTGATGAAAAACTAAGATTTTGCAAAGAAAAAATATATTGCTTGAAAAAGTTTGAACTAAAAAGCATTCTTTTGTCTCCACTTCAGTTTAATAACATGACATACTATTGCTGGAAATTGTGTACAAGTTTTACTGAATAATCACAAGAAATGTAACCTTCCATCACAATCAAGTCTTTCAAATTAAATCATGACTGCGTTAACTTTTTCAGCGCTTTCCTTTGCCTTGCCCATCTGTAGTCATTCGTCTGAACTTAGAACCATCTGTTGTTGCAACTGGCACAGGCAGTCCTGATCCTTTAAAACTGATTCGGCCCCCTGAAGATGGTGTGGCTAGCCGATCACTTACTCTACTGTCACCTGGTACAGCTTCTTGAGATTCTGAACCTTTAGTAGCCAATGACAAACGTACAGGTAGACGCTCTTTGCCCCTCCCAGAATGACCTCTAACATCTAAATGAGAGGTGGTGAAAGAAAAATATTGTGACTAGTTGATCACCCCTTTCCAACAAATTATTTTCAACAAAATACTACTGCCACAATTACTGTTATTTATTATATCTTTTAAAAATCAACCTTTCCATGTAAGTTTTTTTTTTTTTACAGAACAGAACTATATAGTAGTTCATTAAATCTTAAAATCTTTTGGAAATAAGTAAAAATATTTCTAAAATTTTACTTCTTTAAAACAAAACATTTAAATATACACTAATAAAAATTACTTAGTTACAATTTACACAATTGCATTAGTTTTTCTAAAATGGATACTAATAGCAGTAACTTTAAGTCTAAAATCACTAACGCTAAAATGCATACATGCCTTAGAAATAGCGAACAAAAGCAGTAGAAGCAAATGAATAATATAAATTCTTATTCCTTAGTGAAAATTTTTTAACAAATGTAAGTTCTTCAAACTAAAGCATAATTAAGTTTTCCTTAAACAGATGTAATTATGAGGTTAAATTAGAAAATTGTATACACCAACAATGAGCAGCCTTTTCCAGTATTACTGAGGCCATAAAGTTGCATGTAGTTTTCTATATTTAAATATATTACAACTGATGAGTAAGCAACAATAATTTACTTCTTGTTAAATATTAATATAAGTGGTAAGGTAAGCTAACCTCTTCATGTGCAACAGAATAAGTGTGTATAAAGAAAACTGTCAAAGAACTCAACTTCAACTTTAATCACTTTTACTCATCTTCAAAAAATATTTTCTTATTTTGTCTACTTAAAAATAGTACAGAGAAATTACAAAATAAAAGGGTAAAATGTCAGCTTACTATTAGGATGAGTAAAATTACACGCCATACCCTCAAAATTATGAAGTTTAGGGTAAAAGGGTATTTAAAAGTACCAATATATTTGCATGCAAAAAAAAGCAATGAAGTGGGGATAATGAAAACTGAACTACAAATACAATACACCACCACAATATTTTTCTTTTACAAATAAAGCTCTTTTAATTTTTGAGTTATTTTATAAACATGCATGCATGTGCACAAGGATCAAAATGTAAGAAATATTCTGAAAGTATGACAAGTGGGTGGAGAGAAAGATGCAGTTTTTAAGTTCATTCATTGCGAACAGCTTCTAATAACTGAAAGAAAAGCTGCCATATATAAGGTGTAATTGATTTTAAGATTAAATACTCAAATCTGCTTTTGGTTAGCTAGTATGGAGTTATGAGTGTACTAATCCATAAATAATTTTCATAACAGTGAAATGTCATTTTGTGCAAAATGAATTTTCCTGAAGGTGCAAAATAAAGGTGATAAAAATTATCAATAAAAAAATATCCAACCAGAATCCCCCATAAGGGTGAGGATTCTTAAAAGCTCAATAAAACTCATTGTTTCTTTTAGAAGTTGAGACAAAGGAATAATTTGAATTTTTTTCAAACAAGACTTGTAAAGAATACATTATATTTTTTTTTTAAATAAACGCATTAAGAGGACTTTAAATACTACATTACAAAAACATTTTTAAAAAAAGTTTGTTTTTGTGATAAATGTAACATCCTCAATAGTTGCACCTCAACAAAAAAAAAAAAACCAAGCGTTTTCAAAAGTGTTACAAAATGCATCTGAGCAGTCTTGATATTACAGAAAAGGACTTCTACTATAACCTTTAGTCCTTGCAATGAAATGCAGGCAAATCTTGCTATATGGTAGCTATTCTTAAAGAGTTGAAAACAATACAACCTCAAAGCACTATGGAAATATATTGAAAATGGTATGTTACAATAGTCACAATAACACGAAGCAGTCTAAACTTCACAGAAAAAAACTAAACAGTCACTTTCTTCACCATTCTAATTCAAAAACGTGCTATAGAAATAAATAATAAGTACCAATATGACCCTCTAAACCTAAAATGAAAAAAGTACACAATTTAATTTTAGAAATTGTAAACACACTTTAGTAATAAAAAAACTTTACATTTATATCAAGCTTTAGTAACCTCTTATCAACAGACCGATAAATCTTAACATGCTGAATATACATAAGTTTTTTATACAATTAATCTCTCAAACAATTCAAAATGCAAGGTATTAAATTTCACATACATAGATTCTTGGCTATAAAATTCAAACACCATGCTCATTAGAGATGAGCCCAAGAAATAAGCTGCACTATAACAATTATTTTAACAATAATATTAAAATATTTACAATCTGATGCAAAGTTTCCTTGAAACCTTAGCTAAAAAATAAGATCAGTAGCTTTCTATTTTTTTCTTTGAAATAATCTTCAGATGTGTGCAGTTTGTTAAGCAATAACCATGTGAGCTAATAAGATGATAAAAAGCTCTGAAAAGGAAGGCTTAAATGGTAAAAAAGAAAGAAAGCAAATTGGATTGCCCCAATAATCTTGCTACAAAAGCCCTTATGATGCCAAAGCTGCTATATTAGAAGCATTATGGTATGCAATGAGACAACTTCCGAGGCTATTTGTATATTGGAAGTTAAATGACAAGTGTTTACATACAATTCATGTGCAAACTGTTTTTATTCTTTTACTTTACAGGACGTTGGCTATGACAGAAAGAAGGAAACAGATTGACTGTCTTTTGGATAGACAAAAACATATAACAGTATAGAAATTTCCCTTCCAACTTCTTTTTCTTTAAAAAAAAAAAAGGAATAAGGGAAAGAATGAGAACATGATGCATCATAATATTGTAAAACCTGATTACATTTTTACATATTAATACCCTACTGCAGCACCCACCAAGCTATTGCAAAGTAAATAAAATATAGCTGCAATTAATGCTAAAAATCAGGTTTTACTAGTTCAATGCTTGCTAAGTCCATAATTTAACTTACTGTTGAAGTCCCCTGAGTTTGGTCCTGGCTGAACTGCCATTTGGTCTGTGCGTCTAGGCAATGCAGTGACAGGCAGTGCCCTAGCTGTGGAGCTATGCATCTTGCGATCTCTCTCTAATTCTTCTGTGCCCCTACCACCCTAAAAACATAACCACTCCATTAAGTTTCATACAAAAAAAGACAAGTGATCAAATAAGATTATGACACATAATGTAATTTATCAAAGTATGAATGCTTATTACTCACAAATTTGAGCATATTCCAGTCAAAAACATAATCATATGTAAAGCCTTGCCGGTGGAATAAATTTCTGAATAGCTGTCTTAGGTAGGAATAATCAGGTTTGTCATCAAATCGCAATGAACGACAAAAATTTAGATAAGTGGCGAACTCAGCTGTGAATATAAAAAAGTACATTGCATCAACACATGTGCTAAACTGTAAAACACATCGATGTGAATTTTTTATAAGATTATTTCAACAGTTTACAAAATCTCTTATAAGAACTATTAAGTTTTCACAGGCAAGTAAATATTAACAATAAAAAATATCATACATGGAAAAGTTTTACACAATTCCTCAATTGGGGTTGACATTTTCTTTTCACTGATACGTTCATATTTCTGACGTTTAGTTGCTGCCTTAAGACCTTGCCATGGTAAACTTCCACGCAAGAAGTACATGAAGACATAGCCCAAAGACTCCATATCATCTCTTCGACTTTGTTCTGTAATATAAATATATACAACACCCGATTTTATAAGCAAAGACTAACCTTCTAAATCATCTTAATGTTAAACTTGAAGTGAGTGAGCTATCTAATCTATAACTGTCAGTGCACTCACCAATGCCTAAGTGAGTGTTGATACTGGCATATCGAGCAGTTCCGGTGAGATTTTTATTCTCTCTGTATGGTATATGTTGATGTGTTCTTGCATCACGATATTTTTTTGCTAGACCAAAGTCAATAATGTACACTAGGTTTCCTTTTTTACCAAGGCCCATTAGGAAATTGTCAGGTTTAACATCCCGATGTATGAAATTTTTCGAATGTATGTATTCTATTCTGCTGATCTGGAACATAAAATTAAAATATCTGTAGCTGTTATTGAAAAACAGGAACAATATAATCATGTAATCACCTTCAAAGTTAAGAAATTAATAGGAAGGATAAATAAAAATACCAGCTGATCTGCCAGTAACAGGACTGTTTTAAGGCTAAATTTTCGTGAGCAGAAGTTGAATAGGTCCTCAAGGCTAGGGCCAAGAAGCTCCATGACCATAACATTGTAGTCACCCTCTGCTCCGCACCATTTGATTGTTGGAATTCCCACTGAAAAACGATTAATAATAATTTAAAGCCATGTCCTCAATGCTACATATTTAAATATCTCTATATAATTTATACAAGTAAAGCTTTAATTTTATCCTAGAAATTATTTTACATAGTTCTACATGAGATGATAACGGTTCGTAAAAATAGTTTAAAAACAGATGTGAACAGCAGTATAAAAGACCTGTGATCCTTATCACAAAAACATTTTTTTTTTTTAAAATTAGATGTACTACTATTCAATATAATAGAAAAATGGTGAATTTTATCACAGACAAGCCACAAGAAATTAAAACAAACATGCTTACCACCTCCCTGCATCATTCGATAAATTTTACTTTCAATGTGTAGCTGCGGGTGCTTAGTTTTAACACATTCTAGCTTTATGGCCACTTCCTCTCCATTTGATATATCCGTTCCTGAATTAAAATACATGTTATTACTATACACCATATTTAAATGTAAATTATTTGAAGAAAGCTGTAAAATTTCTCAAATGGACAAAGCTGTTATGATGATAATACTAACAACCCAACACCCCTTTTTTAAAGAAGATTCCATTATCGGACACTGGTATCTATAATCATCCTTATGTTGTATAACAGGCAAAGATAAAGGGGAATGTAGATATTGATATTGGGAAAATGTGAGTAAACTCGCCCTATTCTGGAAAAACCATAACATTATACCTTGTTTTAGCAGCCATGGAAGCCAAAGATTCCAGAGCTTATGTTTTTATAAATATTCCACAGATAAGATTTGTAAGAAATGTGAGTACTCTAGTTAACAATAAGACTGTATCTTAGTATCTTGGGTATGGTGATTAGTCTACTATCTGTAGGTCTAAACATGATTATTATTTTTTTATTGCTAAGGAAGATCAAAGATTAAAATTTAACATTCCAGTATGGACTATCATTCTACTGGTTGGCATCATTGGGCCTATAATCTGTGAAACGAAAAATAGTTCCTGCTGTTGTACACTGTGTACAGCTTCAGTTAGGATACAGATAGAATCAAGAAAAATATTTTAGAACATTTTTATTTGAATGCTAGCCGGAATAAGACGCATGCGCAATGGAGAGAAACTATGACTTGCCTTCGGGGCGATGTTTTCGATGGTACTAATCCTATCCCTAACCCTAATCCTATCACTTACCCTATCCCTAACCCTAATTCTAAGCCTAGCCATAGGTCACTGCGCATGCGCAGAGCTATCTTTAGCCGACTAAGTGGAGACATTGGGGAGAAAAATCTTCCGAGTAGTCACTTCGTTAAGTATTAGCACATCCTAAACTTAAATTAATAATTAGCCTGCCTACACAACTTTTATTTAATATTTTTTATGTAGGCCTACAAGTAAGTAGGCCTTGATCTAGAAATCTAGTCTAAGTCTGGAGTCTAGGCCCTAGCTGCTAGCTAGTCTTAGAGCTACAAAGGTAAAATTTATTAGAAATTGTGAACTATATTATTAAGTATGCCTAGATTTATAAGATCTAGATCTAGAGATAGTGAGTGCCACTGGAGTGAGTGAGTGAATGACAAAAATTGCTCAACTCACAAGGCACAATCCAGTCATTGCGATGATCAACTCAGAAAACAAAAACTGGAATAGTCCAAATAAAAGTATAAAAATTATATTGAAGTAATAATAATATGCCTACATACCCAGGTATATATCTCCAAAAGACCCACTACCAATCTTCCTGCCAAGCCTGTATTTATTTCCAACTCTTAACTCCATCTTCCTGATGAGAGAAACAAGTTAAAACATCTGTATTTCCTGATTCTTTGTATGCGACTTCGTTCACATCAACCAAATAAAAATATAAACAAATCTTTTGGATTATTGTAGTATCCAACAGATCACCAACACATTACCTCTAATGATAAGGCCTTCCCAATAACCCCCTCCTTGGGTCGGAAGATGAACAGTATCACTTAAAATATCATTAATTGTGTATATGGACAATAGAGAAGGACGGATGTTGATGATTTTATCAGCTATATTTTCCTACTCCGGACGCCATTATTTACTTTGGTTGCTCGAGACGATATCTACGCAGGCGCTAAATTGACTTCCGGTTCTTAAAGATTGGCCTTCTACCCCCATAGCAATGTTATAAACTCGTCGAATGTGTCCAATGGGTTGGGTTCATTGTTGTAGTGTAGGCAGCTGGTGAAGCTGTACAGTAATGAAATGAGTTACCCGTGTACTGGGTGATTAATCGTCCTATTACGCATATAGGATTTTCCGATTAATCTAATGTTATAATAAATAAAATAACTTCTTAATATTGAAATAGAATAAAACATTTTATTAAAGCAATAGTGCTTACGTGTTTTCCCACTATTAGTGTATACGTTTTTCACCAATTCTCATTACATTGTTATGCGTAAAGGACCTGAGACTTTGGGGAACAAGATATGTAGGCTAAATGGGTGTTTATAAGAAAATGTGTTGGATAATATAATTATTACCCTTCCTCAATATCGGTTAATGTTGATGTGACTATATATTGTAATAGTTTGTTACTTGAACTACATAAAGGGGTTATTACAAAATGACTTTGCATGCATTTAGAAATTAGTGGGCACATTTTAAAACAAAAAATGACAAAATGTATGTTATGTTTAAAAATATTTTTTCGATTGTATTGTTTTTTGAAGGAGGGGTTTCCTATCTGTCATTACAATGTATTGATTGGAGGGGGGGGGGGGGGGGGGGATAGCGAGACATCATAGCATGACCCTATTTCTGCTTGTACAGAGGCCAATGACATAAGTTCTTTTTAAAACCATCATTGTAACTTAGGCAATGTGAACAGCTGTTATTACAAACTTTAAACAGCTACGTCCCATGCTGTTCTTAACATAGGCCTACCTGACACTACCTGTGAGTGCGAATGACCTAACCCACATCTCTCTAGACAGTTACATACATTGTGTATTGTATGGTCTCTTGTGTGATGTCAGATATTGATTTAAAAAAAAAACGAATTAATTAAATTATAGTAAGTCTAAAGCTTTTACACGCACAAAGCACAGAGACTTAATACACAATGAAATAACACATTAACAAAGTGCAGCATACGGAAATAAACGCAGGATACTGTTATCCCAATACATTTATATATGTGTGTAGCCCATATACACATACATTCAGAACAAGTTTAAGAATGTAAAAATAGCAGTTTTATAACATTCTGAATTTAAGCATATCAAAAGGGGGTGTAGCTTTAGCTCTTACTAATCGTAAGCAGTTAATGTTTTTTTTGGTGGGGGGCTTTAACTCTGTGTTGACACCCGCTTGCCTGATCAAGACCAGTTCAAACTTTGAAACCTAATTTTTCCCCCCAAGATTTGGTTATTTCTATGAAACATCAGATTTCCTATCGATCCCCCCACCCCCCCCCTGAATTAACTAATCACCATAGCACAGCACGCATGTAAATCAATTTTGTGACAATTTTTATCAATAAAAGCTTTAAATCCTTGTCGTAGCATGAGCTTTTCACCAGTTGCACTATTTAAAAAAGTAATTAGGAATCAGATTTATCCAAATGGACCATGCTGTTATATTTCTATGTATAAAACTAGAATGTGTGGCAATTGAAATACCAGTCCTAACATTTGTGCTATTTTAACAATCACAGTGACAGTTAGTAAGAAAAACAAAGACTTTAACAAAATCATGTTAAATAGTTTTAATTTACCAACCATACAACACCTTGGTGTATTACAATAATTAAAGTTTTTACATTAAAAACGTAACACTTATATACAGCAAAACATCATCATAAAAATCTATTCACATGTGAAAGTAAATCATTGTAGTCAGGTGTCACTACTAGTTTATGTCTGACTGGACCCAGCACCACCATCTGACCTGGGTTTTGGTCTGTCCTAATTGAGACAAGTTCCTGAAAAACAGACAATGGTTATATAAATATCTACGTATCAGGGTTATAGATCAAGGGTCATATATACATCAGGGTTAGGAATCAAAGGTCAAATAGATTGTATAAAAGACAAATATGCAATGTGTTGTTTTTTTGTGAAATCAAAGCTAAAATTAAGTGTTTTTTGTTTTTTTTTTTTAAAAATGTAACAGAATAAAACAAAATGTGTCTTCATCTTGAATGGAAACATTAAAATTTTTTTTTACCATTAACATTTTTTTGGACTGAGATTGATAATGGAAGATTATCAGAAAAAGAAAGAAAGTTGAAATATTTATTACCTGATGAAAATTAATTGGAATACCAGGCAACACCTCCATGACATTTTCTCCCAGAATGAGCTCAGCTTTCCCAGACTTCCTAATTCGAAGTTTACCCATATAGCCCTCTGTACAATCTTTCAGCTGACAAGAGTTCAACCTTTTAGCTAACTAGAGGTAGAAAAACAACAGAAATCATGTAAATCCTCTAATGAATCCAGTAAATGATTACAATCATGAGATTTGTATGTAAATAGATGCAGGACTCTAAAGATGTTCACCTCATCTTCCATGCTGGTTGTGCTTGTGGAGGTTTTGGCCCTGTCAGCCTCTAGGATAGTATCTGGTAAACCTGGCAGGGTATCTGGAAACTGTATAAACAAGAGCTCACCCTTCTCTGTAACAAATAATTTCAGACATGAACTAAACATCTACAAGTGTTACTCATATACTCTACAAGGAACACCCTTACAGTCTATACAATACATCTTTTGGAAGCCATAATCAGATTGTCAAATCAAAATTTTTAACTATGTTAAATAGTGTATGTAATACAACATATTATTTTATCAAATTTAGGGTTATATTAGGGTGAAAGATGTGACTTACCTGCTTTGACAGAAACTTTCAGTATGTCCATCACACTTGAAGGTGCACTCATGGACTGATTATTGGAGAACCTAATGCCATGAATATTTGGTTTAACATCTTCAACTGTATCTGTTTCATCAGTATCCATATGCTCTTCTGAATACATTCATCAGATAGCATTATTATAAAAAGCAAAACAAAATATACATTTTCAAGAATTAAAATAATTTTTTTTTAGGTCAAGTTCAACAATAAACATACAGTAATAAAAGAATTATAATATTAGCAGCCTTACAATGTTTTGAGACACAAAATAATAGATTTTTATATCAATTCGTTAAACTAATTTTCTTTACCTTTGACTTCAGATTTGATTGCATCTTTACCCCATCCACTGTTCATATTTAATGGTAGTCGTATGGGAGCCATATTTGGATCCCCTATGGCTAGATCAGAGATAAACTGAAACAAATAGACAGGTAAAGCTTCTATATAAAAGTAGGACTAGAAGTAACATTTTTACAACTAGGGATTATTTAAAAGTAAGACTAGAAGTAACATTTTACAACTAGTCATTATTTAAAAATAGGACTAGAAGTAACATTTTTACAACTTGGGATTTTTAAAAAGTAAGATTAGAATTAACATTTTTACAATAGGGATTATTTAAAAGTAGAACTAGTAATAAAACTAAAACAAATGAACGTACATCATCTTTCATTAAAGTATCAAACAATTTTTTGTCTTCTTCTGATCCTTTAGTGCGTCTAATGGCTGTTTTAATAGCTGTGGAGTCAGCCTCAGCTCTGCCGCCACCTCCTGATCCACCACCTCCACCTCCTCCTCCCCCTCCATCCCTGCCTCGACTCCAACCTAAAATTTGTGGAAATTGTCATGGGTCAGTTGTAAGTTAGATTAGAACAGGCTAGAATAGTCTATAAAGTAGGAAAGAGGCATGTGTGAGTTAAGTTAACCCTGGGGTGTTTATGTATTGTTATCCCAAGGTCGAGTGCTGGTGTAAAAGCTGGGAGTGAACAATTGTGAGGGGCTTTTGTATGTAGCGGCTAGGGATGAGGGCTTGTGGTGTAATGATAAAGATGACAAGTTAAATAAAGGTTTAAACAGTGCCTTGAATCATGTTTGGAGTTGAACAAAAGGTTGATTGTAACATAAATTTTAAAAGATTATAATTATGCTAAGCAAATAATAAATCCAACATTCATGTGTTATCATATTAATAAATAGGAATATTTTTACAAACAGGTTCAATTAAACATCCATATAATTTCTATTTCAATGTGTCAAAAAAAAAACAACAAACCAACCCCTATGAAATTCATTTACCAGAAGAAGAAGAAGATCCTCCCATGGGGCCATATGAAAACTCTGACTGCAACTGTATGGTCCTGTCCTCTCCCTGACCTCTGCCTCTTCCACGACCTCTCCCTCTGTCTCCACGGCCACGACCTTTCCCTCTACCGCTCTCTTGTTTTTCTTGAGGTGTTAGTAGAGAGCCAATATTAGGCTTTGGACCACTATAAGTTATAAGATTGAACCAGATGATTTTTAACATAATAAATTATATTTAAAACCAACAATTTTTTAAAGCACATCAGTCCAATATTAGGCTTTGGATCACAAGTTATACCATTGAACTAAATGTTTTTAACTTAATAAATTACACTTAAAGCACATCAGTTCAAGGTTTCCTTAACTATATTATATCAAAATCATAATGGTAAATGAAAAATTAAAGCCCAAGTAAATTATATAGTGACTCTTTTTCTTTGAGACAATTTCAATTATTTGAATCATACTAAGATTTAGACATTAAATTTATAGACATGATGAAAAATAACTATGAGATACTTATGTTATAAAATTCATTGACACTATTCTTGAGCATGATTCACTCATACCTGTACTATCATGTCTTAACAATCTATGTACTTGAAAGTTAATACAACTTAGAAAGTAAAAAGGAGCAACTGAATTCAAATTTTGAACACACATTTAACAGTAGTAGCGTGTAGCCTAAGATTTTAAATTTCATTATTGTTTAAGATGACTTAAACAATTAAAATCTACATTTATTCACCTTTAATTTGATACCAATTTTATTTATCAAATTTAATCGGTAGCCTAGAAAATGATTTGTGAAAAAACAAGTTTGTTTTTAAATGGCTACGATGATATGACTGCTTTTCAGTAATACAGTGGGTTAGTTTTTTAAGGAGTGTTATTGTGACGTGATTTACTTTTCACTGCCGTTCAGCAGGAATGTGTCGTCTGCTAGATTTCTCCCCATCCAAAAACACAGTGGGCAAGATGTGCGGGCTTAGTTAGCTTTTGTCTCGATCAAGTTATTTTCTATAAGTTTTGTTTTTACTCTGCATGATTTTTAAAACATTAATGACATTAGTTTTGTAGAAAGCAAGTTATAATTTTCTATAGTTTAGAATATATTTTCAGTATGTTTAGAACAATATCAAATAAATTAAATAACGTTTTGCTTACTTTTATTATGTTCTGCTCGATATTCTCAGTGATTAGACAAAATAATGTACAAATGGCAAGTTTGCATCAAGCACTAGTCGTCCATTGTTAAAACTAGAGCGGTATTGTTGAATAATCACAAAAATAATGGTTTTAGGTATATATTTCTGAAATGACCATGAAACATTGTTAAAAAACGGAATCACTGTATTATTGTTTTTGGCAGCCATCATTACCATGACGATGGTAAAAAAAAGTAGGTCGAGCGACAGGCTAACAGTAGTAGTAGTCTTTAAAACAACTTACTCTTCCTTGCTAATTGATTTTTTTACAGCAGCTAAATTTGGAGCAAAAACTTTTCTTTGAACACCACCCAGAGTTAGGTCACGGTGGCCCCTGACAGATGGTAACCTGAAAAACATATAATTTTTTAATGAACAACTTTTAACATAAATCTAAACAGCATTGCAGTAGTAACAGAAAATATAAATAAATGACAATTAGTCTCCTAAATGACTATTAGTCATGAATATTAGTCTATACCTGGATCCTCGTCCAATTGGAGTTCCAGTTCTGTTTATGAGACCTCTAGGAATATCACTGCTATTGGGTATATTGTCATCAGCCATGATTACAAGTACTAAATCAAAAATCACTAAAGATAGGATACCTAAAAAAAAAAAAATTAGCAATAAAATTCATTTAGATCTAGAATCAAAAGTTTGAAGTTGAAGAATGGTTTAGTATGATGACAATCCATTGTGATTTTAAAGTATTTAAAGCTAATTAGCAGCTTTTTTTTTAAAAAGTTAAAAATAAAACTTAGTAATAAACAAAGTTTTTAATTTAAAAGGCCTACAGTTAGTAATAGTTGTATGTCACTTGGCTGGCCACAAAGCAGCTCTGACCCAAAGAAAAGACAGTGACTAGGCATTTTACTTTTGGTTCTGTCTATGGAGATAGGAGCCCGCACTAGAATGAATAAAAATACAACTTGCATTTTTAATCCTCATTATGTTAATGTGAAGCTATTACCTAATACGGCTATCCCATACATTATCACAGGTGTGAAGCTAGACAGTGGCCAAATGGTGGCATTTGTGCTACTATTTATTGTATTAAATTTAAACAAAACCTAAGGCAAGAGATCTGGAGTGACCCCTCTACTGCTTGTATTGTGTAGGTGTATACGAAAGATGACAACCAACAACTTGAACAATCCAAAAAAGCTATAAGAATAAATAAATTTTTATAAAGGCTAGGCCTATATCTATTCTACATATATCTAGTATAGTCTCACAGTGACCCCCTGGACCATGTGGTGATTTTGCTGCCCCTGGCAAGAAAACATAAGCCAGTGATTAGTAATAGTTTTACATGCTATTTAATTTAATTAAAACAGTAGGCCTAACGCCACAGCAACGCTTGTTTTGGGCCTCAGGCACCTACACTACAATTTTTAAAAATTTGCCTTTTTATCTTAACATAGATTCTACAAATTGTTTTTTCTAATTTATTTTACACTGTTCTAATTAACACACAATTTCATTAAAAAATCTAGAACTAGATCTAAATCTAGAAATCTAGTAAAGTCCTTGTTTTTGTTACTAGATCTTAGGGTCTAGACTAGACTCTAGACCTAGATCTAGTAGTAGACTAGTAAGTTAGTAGCATTGATCTCTAGTAGATCTAGATCTAGATTCTAGTGACAGAGTAGATCTAGATCTAGTGTAGGCCTAAGTAAGCCGGTCTAGATTCTAGTGATGGTATGGTACTGATAGTGAAAGTGTTGCTTGTGTGTGTCGGTTGTGCTTGTTGAATCCGCTCTCACCCTCATTGACTCAACTCTTGACTGGAGGTAAACGTGAAGCGGCAAATAAAATACGCTAAAAATGGAGTTTTACGATGTAGATCTAGATTTAGGTAATCCCTTAGTTTAGCGTCGGTTATTATTCCGGAATCGTATAGCAGTAAAAAACAGTAAAACAATGGCAAAGTCTGTCACACACTTCCGGAATTCACCGGAAGTACCGTAAACCATACTTTATTTGGCGTCTTCTTTTATTTTTATACAGAATGTTTAAAATTTGGATAGATTTATTTTTGTAATCATTTTTACATTTTGTAATCATTTTTACTATTTTCGTAATCTAGATTTTTTTACTTGGCCTAGCAGCTAGATATCTAGCTAGATCTAATTAATTAATGGTCGCAAATCCGCTGCAAGCCAAAAACATTAAATTATTACATTTGATACATTATTTATATTTATATTAATATATGTTTTTATTTTTAGATCTACTAATTTAAATCTACTATTATATTTATTCTTGTTTCCTTTTGTCGATTAAACTTTAAAAAATAAAACATTAATTTACTACAATCGACTTTCAATTTATTATTATTTCAATGGTCAAATAAACCATGGTTTACCGTAACTCTAATTACCGAAACTCAACAAACATTACCCGATAATTTCCGACGCTAAACTAAGGGATTACCTAGATTTATATTTAATATATAGATCTAGATCTAGAGCCTAGGCTCTTATAAATATTTAATATAGATCTACAATTTCAAAGAATAAAGAACAAATAACTCCGTACCAGGACCAGTCAACTAGACTACTAGATTCTAGATCTACATACGACAGCACACATGTTTTGTTGATCAAAGCAAACAAGATTTCTGATTTCTAATTGCCGAATGATTTGATTAACATTGAAAACTATTGTATGTATTTTTGGAAACAGGCCTCCAAAGTTCAATGTTTCTGATAGATATGATTTTATGCGTATTAAATTTTTTTTAGTAAGATAGCTTAAGTGTCTATATTGTTTCTGTGGAATTTGTGTCACAAGTTTCAATTGTGTCAGTCTGATTAGCAAAGTTACTAAATTAATCAGATGAATAGGCCTACAATACATACTAAATTGGGGACTTCCCTAAATGCCCTCACGCATTTTTAACGATTTTAATTTTTTACTCCTCCTCCCTTCTCACGGCCACATAGCGTCACAAAAATGCAACCCCCCCCTGCTAAAATGACGTCAAACTTCAGCTTACGACCCACCCCCTCCCCCTTTCAAATTTGCAATTTAATTTTTTTTAAACATCGACTTCTTTTTCAATTATTGATTTAGCTAGATCCGCATAAACTATTTTTATAAGTTTATATTACAATTTACAAAGATTGTTATTTATCCATGATTCCCCCATCGTAGGTAATTATACAGGTAATGTTACTCTTGCTTCTATCATCAATTCTACACAATCCCTTTGAGTGCAACGGCATTGTCCGTATAGAGCAGCACCCAATAGTCTACATAATTACTAGGTAGGCCTATATAATATATTATTAAAAACGTTTTAATATCAAGCTTTTACGTATGCACTAAAATAATTAAATAGAATTCCTTTCTTTAAAAATATAACAATGCACCGCTATTAGTGTGTCGCTTATTCAATTTTAGTTAGGGTAACATTAAATATTATTAAATATAACGGTGACCCTTTTTTCTTTACAGTAATTAAAATAGACATAATGGTGCAATATATATATATATATATATATATATATATATATATATATATATATATATATATATATATATATATATATATATATATATATATATATATATATATATTCCTCTCTGAAAGAAATAGTTGTTTACAAGACTTATATAGGCCCCCAGATCTATATTAATTTCTGTAGTTAGATTCTGTATGTTCATAACATAATGTTCTAAATTCTAAAGATATAAAGATATTTTTTTGAAAAGCTTTCCGTTTTTTTTCCCACGTAGAATCTAGATCTCGTAAAATACACTAACTTTTTAAAACCTTCAGCCTTCAAGTTTAATTAATTTAATAATTTATCTTGATTTCTTTTAATTTTTAATGGTGATTACTCCAAGAATCATTGATTTAACGATTTTGGATGATTATTTTTTAGATTACAAATCAGATCATATTAACTTATGTTATTTGGACCCGCTTTAGGAGTAGAATCTAGATCTAGAATAGATCTAGATCTAGATTCTAAGTCTGGAAAAATTCTAAGGTTTTTTTTAAGTTTTTATTTTTATTTTATGGATCTTGCTCTTGAATGTGACTCTTGAATCAATCTTGAATCTTAAAAATTAAAAATTCTTAGGCCCTATTCTTATTAATCTAGATCTAGATTCATTAGCCTGATAATAATAAATCTTGATCTCTAGATTGAACTAGATTGATTATATTATAAATCTTAAATTCTTATGTACTATGTACTGTGATGTAGGGCGTAGGGCATGTAGGGTATAAGTATAAACTACTATATTATTTACGAAGTGACTACTCGGAAGAAGATTTTCCTCCCCAACGTCTCCACTTAGTCGGCAAAAGATAGCTCTGCGCATGCGCAGTGTCCTATGGCTAGGGTTAGGGCTAGAATGAGGGTTAAAGATAGGATTAGGGCTAGGGTTAGTGTTAGGGATAGGATTATGGCTAGGGTTAGGATTAGGGGTAGGATTAGGCCATCATTTGGGTTGGTGTTAGGGTTCTGCGGTTGTAAACACACGCATGCGCAGTACCATCGAAAACATCGCCGCGATGGCATGTCGTAGTTTCTCTCCATTGCGCATGCGTATCTTATTCCGGCTACCATCTGCCTATTTTTTAAGAGTGCCATGTAATATTGTAATAGTAATAGTAATAGTATTACCAGTAATACGGATGAGGTGGGCTACTAATACTCTATGATTACTATGATATAGGCCTATTAATATAGATCTATATGATAGTTGACTAAATAACAGGCCACCTAGGCTGCCCATGAGCACTCCTATGGCACCTAATTTCGTTTTAAATACCACCCCACTTGACATTCAGTGATTAAACCAATCTAAACAAGGGGCCATACCCAGAGTCCCTGCAGTATTGTAACTGATGGTTACTAAGGGCGCCCCGAAACGCCCCATGACACCTTAGCGGTCACCAATGTGTGTTTTAACTTACTTATAGGGAGAGTGATTAGCGTACACTCAAGGCTGTCATGCAGCAGGGTGGTAGCGTGGACAATCCTGGGCCATAACAACTGAGACCCAAGAAATATAGCAACAGCGTTTTTACTTTTAAATAACTGGATTCTAGAAATCAAGGCCACATGTCTAGAAATATGGTAACGCATAGATGAAATCCTCTTAAAATATTGCATCAGCTCGTAGCAACCTGTCTGACGGGTACACTCATTATAGTATAAATATAGAGCTTAGAGCCATCGGTATTTGCTGGCTCATTCTCTTAAAATTACTTAAATTAGCTTGGCCTATATGCCTAGGCTAATTTTAATTATTATTAGAGCTTCAGTAAATTTGAAAGTGGTAATATCTTTAAAATTTAATATAAAAATACTTTAGTAGTAATAAATATAACCAATAGTAGTCTTATGATTAGCTGCAAAAATTATAAATTATTAAAATTACTTTTTTAAATATTACAGATGGGAGATCCTATACTGGCAGTGTTGAAACTGTATTCTGCTATGTTGAAGTTCATCAGCTACCCAGTCATCATAATACATGATGATCATGGTATTGGTGTATGGATACAAAAAGAAAAACTACTTTAGATTGATTATGGAAGATGCTTCAGTACAGAAATCTTAAGTTTTATTTAACTCAAGAAAACTGGTTGCAGTTTGCCTAAATAATAGATGTATACATTTTAAAATCTTCCTTATGAAGTCACATCTGATGCTCTTTACACCATTAACAGTTAACAGTTGTTCATCTTAAGGTGGAGCAATTCAAATTTGTTTTAAAACTAATTATGCACTTTCTCAAGAAAATTTAATAAAAAACAAATATGTTTACCTCAAACAACTCTGGCACTAGAAGTGAATCTGAAATGAAAGTCTTTGAACAGAAACTCCAGGAGCAGTTAGTGTTTGGTGATGACAGTGTAGATTCTGAAATTTCTGAAAGCAACACAGAATCTTATGAAAGTATAAATCTGTTAGATCTACCTTGGGAACAAGTCCTCAGTAGTTTTTTGCTTCCATATTTAAGCATTCGTGATTTATTTAAACTTCGTGCAGTTAGCAGTGGCTGTCGTGATTTAGTGCAGACTCACTTTCGTCTCCAGTTCCACATAAACACAAGCATGCTGGGGGACCATTTTTCTACGCTGGGTTTTAACATTATGACAAAGGATTGTACTAGTTTGAAGTCCATTTGTGTTCGTGGTGCCAAATCATGGCTCACAAGTGATGCAATGCTACCCATAATCTCAAGAAACCCTCGTCTTGAAAAAGTTGATCTCACTGGGTGCACAGCTTTGTCTGGTTCAACTGTTTACTCTATAGGTGTCAACTGCACTCACATCAAACACATCTGCTTGAAAGATTGTATATGGCTTAGTGGAGACAACTTTTTATCCTTCTGGAGTAAAAAACACCATATAGAATATCTGGACTTGTCAGGGTGCTGGAATGTTGATGATAATTTAGTTGTTCAGCTCGTACAGTTTACTCCTAAGTAAGTAGACGTAAATCAGTCGACATGTAGACCCACATCAACTTAAATCATTTAATAGTTTCTAAAATAAATAAGAATCTTAGCTGTAAATGCAACCTATTCTGGTTAGTCAGATGCTACCTAATATTTTGTTTTGCTAATATAACCAACAGTTATGTTTTTCTTGTTATTGGGATTAATCATTTTAATATGGTTAAAATTTGTTTCAAGAGCTACATAGTTTCAAATTGCATTTATCTTTCATTTGTGTTTAGGATAAAGCATTTGCTGCTGGCTAACTTGTATGGATTAACAGACAGGGCAGTGGGAGCTATTGCTCACGGCTGTCCAAGCTTAGTCCATCTGAGTCTTAGGGGCTGCTGGAGAGTCACAGATAACTCAGTTAGGTATGTGGTTGAACAGTTGCTAGTTGCTTAAGATATGTGCTAGAACAGTTGCTAGTTGCTTGAGGTATGTGCTAGAACAGTTGCTAGTTGCTTAAAAACAACCATTTTAATTATCTACATATACGTTTATGTAATTAAACCGACACATTTAGAAATTATAATCTGTTTAAATAAACGAAATTGCATATTTTCCAGACTGCTGGCACAGTACTGCTCCAAGCTGAAGGGTATACAGGTACGCGAGTGCAGAGATATTACAGAAGAGAGCCTAGGTTATTTACGCAGTCGCAAGGTACTAGTGGACAGACCACCACCCCCTGGTCCTCATATCTTTAGACTAGAACGGCCAAACAATAATCCACACACACCCAGGATTAACTTAGTGCTCTAATTCAGTCTTTTTATGTATAATCTGATTTACTTCCCTTTAGTCTTCAAATTATAAGATGTGAAATTTACTAGTTGCTTCCCTTGAATCCTAAAACTTCAACACATAAAAATCAAAGGAAACAATTCTACTTAAAAAAATAAACTGCAGTAAAAACTCTACTTCTTCATGCGTTTTAATAAAAATAATTCCTTTTAATTTTTAAATTTTCATTTGTGTTTTTAAAAACTGTGATTTTATTATTAAAGTGATTATGTTTTTCTAGTTACTTCCTTTCTGTTTTACATTTTATATTTTTGCTGCAATTGAAGTAGCTAACACAATTAGTTTCATATTAATATCATTGAGATCTACCTAAAATAATCCTGATGTGCTGTGTTGTTTTTGTATTGGATGTATTGAACTGATACAATGCATTCCTTATGTTATGTCTTTCTTTAAACAATCTATATCAATACTCAGAAAGTTATTACATACACATCTGAGGTGATTACTGGGTGTACCAGTGGTTATGTTTATGTGTGTGTTGGAAGTATGGGTGGATGAGACTAGCTTAAAAAAATGGTGATAGTAAATCTTAAATGTGCTATATATGGAATGATGGGGATTTCTACACTTGTGGAGGAAAAAAAAGAAACATCTAACTTTCACATCAAATAAATATGCAGTGGTACCTTGATACCTTACTTGTATATCAAACTGCTTGTATTTCAAAGTAATTTTCTCCATTGAAACTGATTGAAAAGCCATTAATCCATTCCTTACCCCAAAATGCATCCCCATTTGTTTTTAATGTTTTTTAATTAGAAAAAAATTTATACATGACAAATATTGTCTTATAACCTTGTTTGCCGAGGTGCAACTGTACTAGTATTTCTAGTTAAACCACTTTGCATAGTTAACTTGTAATGTGTTTTATTATATTTTTACTGTTGTGTTTGTATCACAACACTATTCTACTTACTCTATGGCAGGGGTCTCCAAACTTTTCAGTCCGAGGGCCGCATTAACTATCAAATTTCAGTTCGGGGGCCAGTTTCTTCCAGGCATGTCTTTGATTTTTCTAGGCAAAGTTCCTCAGCCTTCACCAACAAACGTTTTTTCTGTGGACAAAAAGATCTCTGTGGGCCGGATGAGAGGACCTCGCGGGCCGCATTTGGCCCGCGGGCCGTAGTTTGGAGACCCCTGCTCTATGATGTTGTGCTGTGAGTGTTTTATCTGCTCAGTAATATTAGTCATCCTATATTCTAATGGAAGACTTATTTAGAATTGCACTCTTGCTGTTTCTTATTGTTCAATCTTGTAGTAAATATTGTATATTACTTAAAGAAAAACAGATGTCTTTCATGATTATAATATACCAAATTGTTACATGTATTAGTACAATTTACCATTGCATTATAATTTTATAATTGATTTTTTAAAATTTGCAATTTACATTTAGTTATAAAAATTAAAATGTAATGTTATTTGTATGCTTCCAATATCAAACCAATACATTAACATTGATTGTAAATGAATGCTTAAGAAGTCATTTTTTAAAAGTGAAGGTTGTGAATTGTAATTTTTTTATTTTGATGATATAGCGAAAGCTACATGCATTATTTTAAGTATAACAATTTCGTTACATATTATATCTTTATTGAGATTGTTGAAGTTTGAATGTCTTATTAACATTGAAACTACATATTATTTTATAATAATTTTTTTATAATACACTTAACAATAATTGTAGCAATATAGGAAACTTGCCAAATTAAAGAGTAGAAGCTGCTCCTGGCTCATGTAATTTAAAGTAAAGCTAGCTTTTTGGTGAATTATTGGTGTGATCTAAATTCTTTTTATGGGTCCTGTTTTAAAAACTGGTTTTACTGTTTAAACATTTTTTGCTAAGTCTGATGTCAAAGCAATGAAGTATTTTTTAATTTACTAATGATTGGGTAAAAAGAATAATCAAAAGATAATTTTTATGCTAAGACTGAGCCACCCGTAAGCTTTTGACACATCTTCACCTATTTGAAGCAAGTGCTGACTTAAAATATAGAAACACACCAGCGTATTTGATTTGAACAATTGAAAAATGCTGCTGTCCTGCTGGGCGAACCAGGCTAAACCTTGTTGTTCCTGATCCCTTACCAATAATTAGTATTAAAATAAGTTAAAATAAAATTGTTTAGGCTATACCTAAATTATTTAAATATTTTTTTTTGTTTTAGTTTTTAATTCTAAAAACTAAATAAAAACTATGTTTTTTTGTAATTTTGATTCTTTGTTATAAAACTGACCAATGTTTGTGTTTTATTGACCCTCTAATCTTGAGTATTTGGTTGCCAAGTTGTCAGTTTGTATGAAAACCATTAATCTAATTTTTTCAACATTATTTAGTAATGTTGAGTTAAACAGACTTTGATGATAGTTCAACAATACTGTATACAAAGGTTAAATAGGCCTGTTTTCTCAATGTGTAGTATAATTTGTCTCCCTATAACTCATGAAGTTTTGAAATAACACGATATTTATTGTTTAAATAATTATTTATTTTGTTAAATAGAATAATATGATGATAGTTTAGAAATATAATTATTCGTCATATTCTGTTTTACCGAATGTGTTAACTTTGCTGTCTTTCAATAAAATAAAAGTGATGTTTTAGTTATTAGTCAATTAACACATTCTTTATTTCAATTATTTCTGTAAAATGTTTAACTTGAGCACACACAACATACTAACTAGCAGTCAGATCTTGTTGGGGGTGTATACACTAAGTTGTTGTCAAAGGTTAAACAATGAACAGGGGAGTTAATTCAGTTGTTGAATATTACATAGACAAAGGGAAGTAGTAAATTAAAGGTTAATAAAACAATTATTTAAAACTAAACTGTAATAATAAACTTTAAAATGCACTGTTAATAAGAAAACAATGAAGTAGGCTAATATGCTTGCTCTGATAAAAACATTGTTCGCTCATGAAATTAAGTTAATTTAAAGCTTATTATTATAACGTCAGGGGAGACAACTCGTAGTATATTTGTTTTCCAGAGTATAAAAAAAAATAAGATTGCAAAACACAATTGTCGGAGTCAAGGAGGTATTTTAAAAAAGCTCGATTTCAATTTGTTTGTACAATTAAAATATTTTCTCTATACTCGTTATACAAGAAAGAAAAAAGTTAACCTGTTCAATAAAGCATAACCATGCTATTGAATGTTTCTTAACATATATTTACAACAACAAAAAATATTTAAACAAAATGGGGTGAAATAAAACAACGTACATCTGTAACAATTGACATTACCTTGATGAACTAGGGACAGATCTAATATCTCTACCTGATGGGGATCTAGGGGATCGATGAGACCTCACGTCTCTCAAATCTTGCTTGGAGATGATACTCTCTACAATGGAGGAGACGTCCTCTTTCTTGGATTTAATGGAAGGACCTGGACGCAATTTTCTTAAATTTCGTATGCAGCATATTTAGCACTTCTGTTAGGTGCAAGTTGTAATCCATTGGCAGGGTGTGGGGGTGAACAGGGAGTGGGGGGGGGGGGGGGGCTGTTACTGGAAAAAAAGTCTGATGTGCTTGATGAAAGCCACTTTACTCAAGCTATTTTCATTTTATTATTACCGTCCTCCACACGTAACCGTTCCATACATTAGCGACTTTCTTGTCCCATCGACACAACCATTAGCGCCGCTACTTATACTTTATTTGTGGCCCGTTTGGCTAAAAAGCAAACATCGCCCATTACCCCAGCCCCAGTCAAAGACGATAAACTTCCAGCTGCTCGCATAAATCCTGGCTCACTTTTACCTTCGCTTTGATCCCGCTTCGATCAATCAGACATGTTAAGGCCATTTAGCTCAAATATTCCCATAAATCAATCACACTTTGACGGAGCAGGCACCGGCACAGTGGTAAGTCTTATAGATCTGTATCGCCAGCATGCAGTTTTTCCTAGATTTGAGCTCTGTTAGATAAAAGCTAATTTACTTTAAAATAAACTGCATAAAGTAACCCAGTACATGCCAGTATTAAAACAGTATTTAAGTGTGAAACAGCGAGATATGTGATACCATGTAGGCTACACTAATGAAGAAGTCTTTGATTTCAAACTGTTATACGTACACCATTTATCAGGTTTCTATGGAGCATTATTAACAGAAACTGTGACCATGGATTATATGTTTTGCTGGATGGTGATGGATAAAATGTGACTTGCAATTAAAAGGTAATTAATTTAAAAATTTAAATGGAAAAATATGTTATCTCATGAACAACAACAGAGAATCTTGTTTTGTGAAGAGCAATAATATAACTTTTTAAATGAAAAAGTCGCTCATATGGCGTCATGGAATTTCAGGTAATTTTTATCCCCCCCCCCCCCCCGTTTCCTGCTTTTGCCACACGTCATCACAAAAACTAGATTCTCCCCTTAAAAGTGACGTCACATTACAGAGATCCACACCCCTAAAGCAATCATATAAAAAAAAATAAAAACGTTTTGAACAATTTTGTTTCTACAGAAATACAAAATATGTAATACGTAATTTCTACGTCATTCCCACCTCCCCCACCAACACATCGTCATAAACAGAGTTTCTTCCAGGCATCTTTTCGGGGGGGGCAAAGCCCCCCCCGAAAAATTTTTACCGCCTCCCCGAACGAAATGAAATTTATATAATTTATATAGAAAATATATACTTTTAACAGTGTCCGCCCCCCCGAAGAAAGTTTACCGCCCCCCCCCCCCCGAAGATTTCAAGTGCACCCCCGGAGAAAAAAGTCTGGAAGAAACACTGGTCATAAATTCAACCCATCCTCCCCTGCCCCTAGACATGTGACGTCATTAATGCAGAGCACCTAAAGTCACATTAAGTCGTAATAACACAGAGATGTGTAAAACCTAACAACAACTAATCTTAGGTGTAGGTAGGCCTACATATCTTAACCAGTATTTGCTTTTGGAATGACTAATTTCTTACATACAGAAAATGAAGAATTTGTTCGATTAATTCGATACTTAACTCGAGGAATACTCATGCTCTGAATTCATCGCCATATAGACTGCTTTATGTTAACATTTAATATCCTCAACCATTATACTAATAGTTGATTTGAATGTAGCCCTATGGACCAGTTTATTTCCTGCCCAATCCCACAAGAACTGGTAGCTACATGTTCTTGTTTCAACAGTTTTGACCTCTGGCTTGTTCCAGAAAATGTGTGCCTCGTCCCTCGAGATCTTGGACAGTCACCCTCGGTGGCTGACCGCCATCTTGAACGTGCTGACCCAGCGTCTAAAGGACAGGTTGGACAAAGGCAGCCTTGACCTGACGTTGTTTGACCTTCAGGTAACTTCTAATTTTTGTGTTCGGGTGTTTTAAAAATGT